AATCGCTTTCTTCGACGGTACCATTGGAGATCCTTGAGCTGCTTTCTGGGCATACGTGGGTGTTGCAGGCAAGTAATTAGGTGTTACCCTTTGCTCCCTTAATTCGTGTAACTGCTGCTCGAATCTGTGGGACATCTCCTTGAGAGATTTGTCGTGTTTGTCCTGCTCTTCACGTATGCACTTTTTGAATGTGCTTTCTAACTCACCTTTTAACTTCCCGACGGTTTGCGTCATCACATCGGTGAGATGCTCAGCTAACGAAAGTATATCAAAACTACGCGCTCCGTAATTTTCATTAGCGGTTCTGCGTCTCTTATTTAAATTAGTATTGAGTCTTTGACTCTGTCTCCTCCCGTGTTGCGACGCGTCGAGATTTCCTCGCGCGTCAGCAGCACCGAAATCGAACGATATATCGTTTAAAAAGTGCTCACCTGTGAATTCGGCGCTTGCGGATTCACTGGGAGGGTTTTTATGCCCCTCCGGCAAATCGGCCGATTTTCGATGATGATCGTCCATCTGGCAGTGGCCTGATTTTAAATGCGATTTTTCTTCCTCTATAACTAATCTTGGAAATACTCTAATGAATATTGGTCCAAATACAAGGACAAATAGCATAACGGCATTGCGTAGGATTGCAACTTGCAATCTATCCTGAGGTTCTGGGTTCGAATCCCAGTTTGTCCTTTTTGCACTATCTCGCAAATTATTTTTGACGTATTACATGTTCACTCGCATTTTTATCTGCTGATATTTTATACTTCCAATGAGTTCTTTTATTATTAATACAGTCTTACCTTAGTAATAAGTAGATCGCCAATTGCGGGAGCGGTAGGAAAGGGACGGAAGATATGGATAAATGTATTTTAGCTAATAATTATAATAATACACTATTGTAATAAATTTTTTGACTATTATTATCTCATATTAACTGTTTCAAAAGAACCATCATATACTTCAATAATGCTGAGATCTGCTACACGCGTGGGTGGAATGAATTAAAAGGCTATAATAAACTGAATATACTCTAAAGACTCAATTTTCTAGAATTCTTCCACGTGCTACTACACAACCGCTCTCCTGGGCTGGTAGAAGCTTACGCTCATACGCTACTGGTGCAGAACCATACGATTTAGTCGTTATTGGTGGTGGTATGTTTAAAATAACGTATAGTTTATTAAAGTATACTTACATTTCATTCTACAGGTCCAGGTGGTTACGTAGCTGCAATCAGAGCAGCTCAAGAAGGTCTTCGTACAGCTTGCATTGAAGGCCGTGGCTCACTCGGTGGTACTTGCTTAAACGTTGGTTGTATCCCTTCAAAAGCACTCCTTAACAACTCCCACCACTATGAAGCAGCCCAACATGATATGGCACACCGTGGTATTGACATCGGAAACGTCTCACTCAATTTGGACACTATGATGAAAGCTAAGAACACCTCCGTTACCGGTTTAACCAAGGGTATCGAAGGTCTCTTCAAGAAGAACAAAGTTGACTACATCAAGGGTACAGGAAGCTTCGCTACTCCAAACAAGATCGATGTTGCACTCCTCGAAGGAGGCAACAGCCAAGTTGAAGCAAAGAACGTCATCATTGCAACTGGTTCTGAAGTTTCACCTTTCCCAGGTCCTGGTTTAGAAATTGACGAAAAACAAGTCATTTCCTCAACTGGCGCTTTATCACTTCCAAAAGTACCAAAGAAAATGGTTGTCATTGGTGGTGGTATCATCGGTTTAGAATTGGGTTCAGTCTGGAGAAGACTCGGTGCTGAAGTCACCGTTGTTGAATTCATGGGCTCAGTTGGTGCTGGTATGGACGGTGAAATTGCCAAGAACTTCCAAAAGATCCTCGCTAAGCAAGGTGTTCAATTCAAGGTCAACACCAAGGTTGTCTCAGCTGAGAAGAACGCTGATGGCGTCAAATTGAACGTTGAAGGTGTCAAGGATGGCAAAGCCGAAACAATTGACGCTGAAGTTGTCCTCCTCTCAATTGGTCGTAGACCAGTTACATCTAAGCTCGGCTTGGAAAACATTGGTGTCGAGCTCGACAACAAGGGTAGAATTCCAGTTGACGATCACTACAACACATCAGCTCCAGGTGTAAAGTGTATCGGTGACGTTACATTCGGTCCTATGCTTGCTCACAAGGCAGAAGAAGAAGGTATCGCTGCAGTTGAATTGATCAAGCACGGTCACGGTCACGTAAACTACGACGTCATCCCATCTGTCATCTACACTTACCCAGAAGTCGCTTGGGTTGGTCGTAATGAAGAGCAATTGAAGGAAGCAGGTGTTAAATACAAGGTCGGAAAATTCCCATTCCTTGCTAACTCACGTGCAAAGACAAACATGGATACCGAAGGTACTGTCAAGTTCCTCATTGAAGCTGACACCTACGAAATTCTCGGTGTTCATATCATCGGTCCAAACGCTGGTGAAATGATTGCTTCAGCTGCTCTCGCTATGGAATACAAGGCATCAGCAGAGGATGTTGCTCGTACTTGCCACGCTCACCCAACACTCTCTGAAGCATTCAAGGAAGCCGCTCTCGCTTCATACTCCAAAGCCATTCACTTCTAAAGAAACTAAAATTTTTGTACAAATTGAAAATAATATAGATATCTTTTATCTCTCAAATTGCGCGTGAAATGGGTATTATGTATTAAGTGAATAAATAATCTGCTTAATTAGTGTCGCCATACTTTTCATGTAGAATACCTGTCCAATAACCAGCTGCATACCAAGCTTGAGATAGCTGGTGTAAGACATAATCTTTACCAGGATCGCCTGTATTGATGTTCTGTGGATTTTGATAGTGGGTGGAAGGTGTTTGTGTAGTATCAGTCGTGCGATTTCTACTACTGCTTCTATTATCATCTTTCTCCTCTGGGTCGTGTTCATCATCTGAAAGTTCTCTTTTTCTCTTATTCTGTTTGTTTTTCGCTATTGTCTGTTTTGTTGCTATCTTCCCTAAATCTGTATTACTGTCATACCAAATCATTGAGGGTGTTTCTAACTCATAATTTGGGTCTGATTTCCAAGATTTATCGCCATGCAGCAATTTATATTCCTCATTCGCTGCATCCCAAGCGTCTAACAAAGCGCTATCATCCCAAACGTCTAAACTACCATCGATGAGTGCTGCATCATTTAATTCGTCCTCGTCACAATCCTCGTCGAGGTTGTCGTCAATCTCATCATAATATTGTGTCATTATATCGACTTTATCTGAGTGTTTAGATTTCTTATTTTTCCTTTTAGCTTTTGCCTTTTTAGTTTCACGCAACTCTTCTACGAAGTTTGGATCTGGGAGTGCAGTCGCAGGTATTTCTTCAGGTGCAACATCTGAATAACTTATAACTTCTCTCCTTGACATTTATTTTTTATCTTAAAGTTGAAGTCTAAAAGACGACTTAATTCAGAACACTGAGGATAAAATAAAAAAGTAAGTAATTTACTAGTAAATTAATTATCAATCTAATAGCCAGTAGATGTCAGAACTTTGTCCAGCTTACGCGCCATTCTTTGGTGCCATGGTTAGTCCACAGCCATCCTAGAATACGTCTGACAGCCAGAAAGGGATGCACTGCAGCTATCGTATTCACTTCACTTGGCGCTGCTTACGGTACTGCCAAATCTGGTGTCGGTATCTCAGCAATGGGTGTACTCAGACCAGATGTGAGTGAAGTTACTACGGAGTTATCAGCTCAGCTAATATACGCTCTAGTTGATGATGAGAAATGTTATTCCAGTTGTCATGGCTGGTATTATTGCCATCTACGGTTTAGTTGTCTCTGTATTGATCTCTGGTGACTGTAAGTTAGCTCATATCATAGAATGCTTTATTCTAATATAAACAACCAGTGAAGGCACCAATGCCTTTATACACAGGTTTCATTCAATTAGGTGCAGGTCTATCAGTCGGTTTGGCTGGTTTGGCTGCTGGTTTCGCTATTGGTATCGTTGGTGATGCGGGTGTGAGGGGTACCGCACAGCAACCAAGATTATTCGTTGGAATGGTTAGTATAGCTTATCTTTATTACAAACAAACTTATGTCTTTAGGTCCTCATTCTCATTTTCGCTGAAGTTTTAGGTCTTTATGGAGTAGGTTGCGTATTTTTAAAAGTTGATAATCTAACACATTTATAGCTTATCGTTGCACTTATTCTTAACACACGTGCATCAGATACTCCAGGCGTGAGTTGAGTTTATAACTATCTATACCATTCTAAACAACACCAGTGTGATCTCCAATAGACAGCTAATAACGAAGAAAACGAAATATTTCTAAATGTTATTTAGAACAAACTAGATGAAACGGCTAACAAGATTTTCATTTCCTCTTTGTCATTTTTACAAAAATCTAATTTTTCACTCTTCTTCAAGTTGTGTTTGCTTCTCTATAAATTACAAATGCATTAAATAATAAATTCTTAACAATATCCAGCTAAAAATTAACCATTCACTCCAAACTGAATTGTTCAACTGTGTATATACCAACACCCAAACTTCTCTTTTCAAATCTTTCAGCTCTTGTTCTTGGCTTATTGAGTGCATTCTCCTTCTTAACGCGTACCCTTTCTTTGAAAGTATCGAGTGGGCGACGTAAATCCGCTAACAATAATTCACGTTCGTTAATTTCTTTGAGACTGTGTTGTATACTTTCGATAGTTTCATGTGATTTTTGATAATGTAATAAAATAGGGAAGAAAGCATCAAATAAAACTTGTGAAATACCAACGAGTTGTTCGATAGAAATGTTTGATCTGGCGTATGCACCCTTTGTGTTAAATCTACTTATGTCATCATTTGGTAAATCAATCTCCTTCTGTAACCAAGCTTCAACTTGTTTGAATAATCTAACTACATCTTCCCCATCTTTGAATTCCTCGTGAAGGTGTCTTCTCAATAATCCAGGTGTGTATTTATGAACAGCAATAGCTCTCAAGATGTTTTCAACATGGTTTGCATTCCTCTCTCCTCTTCTCTTCTTTGGTACTGCACCATTGACTTCCATCTTATTGATTTCTTTATCCTTCTGTTGTTGAACAAAGTAATTCTTAAGTGCGAAAACTAATGAAGTCTCTGGAATATCCTGAACATGTGTGATAGCAAGTGGAAGAGTTTTTACATCAGAGCAATATGATAACGCTTCTACGATACCACCCCATGGTAATACATACTCATTTGAGATAATATCCTTTGTTAATAAATATTGAAGGAAAGTGAAATTGTAATGTTCTCTCTTAAATTCAAACTTTTTGTCATCATTTCCTGTCTCCTTTAATGCATGTTTGAACACTAATTCCAAGAGTGCTCTACTATACCAACTTGGTATAACAGGTTCAGTTGAAATGTTCTTGGTCTTTGTCATTTCTTCACTCTCTTGCTTTTCATCAGGATCTTGACCGAAAGTTTCAAGAGCGGCATCTGCGAGATCAGCTCTAAAAAGTTCATTAGCTATATCTCTCAATCTAGTCTTCTCAGATTTGAGATAATCTTCGACAATTTCAACAGGTTCTTCAGGTGTTGATTTCGTTCTTTCAGGATTTGAAAGAATTTCATCAATAGTTTTGATAGTTTCTTCCAACTTATTTTGATCAGGATCGAGTGGTGATGTTGACTTTAACTGCACTTGTTTAGCTGGTGCGTTGATGTACTTTTCTGAAATTGCTTCACGACCAAGTGCAGTGAGAATAGTTGAATGAGTTGGTACATTAAATGAGACACTCAACACAACAGCTTGGGCACGCTTTGATGATTTGTTCGACATTGTCAACAATGCAGATGACTCTGTAGCCTCTGATAATTCCATTTGAATCTCACCTGTACCAATTGATTGTGGAATTTCAAATGAGCGCTCAGATAATAGAACTTTCAGGGTTGTATCCCATACTGTCAAGAGACCATGGTTGTTTTGCTTAGCAGCAAGGAGCAGTAATGAACCTTTTAATCCCATAATTGTTAGATCTTTTAAATCCTTCTTGAATGAGATACTCGAGAGATGCTTATAAATTAAGTGATTATCATTAACTGATTCTATATCTATACTGTGGAGTGTGTTTGCCTTATCAAGAATGTGCAGTTGTCCGGTTGAGGATGCAGTGATAGAAACTGGGGTACCTTCAAACGGTAAAGTAGCGTCGGCAATTTTATCAAATGCTCTAGCAGCATTATTGAGTACCTGGTAGATAGCAAACTTGATTGAAGAATCCTTTGTATTCTGTGCTACTGATAAAACAACAACTCTATCAACTTCAGCTTTATCGAGGAAGCTGAGCTCATCTGAAGGACTAAAAACGAATTCAGACAGTTGGCGTAAATTGTTATCGGCTTTTATTTTATCCTTCTTTGTGAAATCTGATTGAGCATATAAGTAAGAAGCATCTGGGTATCCTATGAGGATTGTAGGTGGATCTACAGGGATAGGATGTATGCTAGTAGCTGACGCATCAATCTAGAGTATTTGTTAGTAAGAAGGAATTCTAGTAGGGTGGTTTACACACCTCAAAGTCTTCTTGCTTGGATGGTCCACCTAAATGTGCAGCTTTCGAGCTGGAAAGGGATTCAGACCAAGTAAGAACCTTCTGCTTCTTTGATGTGCTGTTGGCTAAAGCAATGGTTCTCCTCGTTATGAGGCCGTCTTTTTGAGATTCTACGAAAGTTGTAGCAGGTGAAGCAAAAGTGGTAGAAGGCCCAGTGGAGAAAGATTGAAGAGTGTTTTGGGTGGCTATCTGAGTATATTTGTTAGGCTATAGTCTCTTATAAACTTTAGACTCACGTCTAACAAATGCACACCATCAGACTGTACGGTGAGCGTTGCTAAGTCGTTTTTGAGTGAAGTGGATGATTTCCCTTTAACGTTGAACTTCTTATTGGATTGCTTTACGCTGTAGCTCGTGAGCTGGAATGGTTCGTCAATCATTCTCTATTCCAATGATCGCTGTAGACGACTAAGGGAGAAGACGGTGTAAATTTGGCTCTAAGGGTATACTCGAATGTGTTATCGTTTATGAAGCTTATTAATGGGTTATAGCTTGTTTATACCGTTAATAAACCTATAATACCTTTATAAACAGTCAAAGACACTCATAGCACAACAGACAAAGAAGCTATTATAAAAAAACATAAAACCACATATATGACTATAAAATATTATGAAAGCGAGTAGCACCTTACTTGAGGATCTTACCATCTTGGACGGTGTAGCCATCGTGTTCGTAGTCCCATCCAAGGATACCTTCAAAGAATTCCTTGTCTTCTGGCTAATCACTTCTGTTAGTAAAATATCGATAAAGAAAATTTCACGAACCTTTGATAAGTCACAGAGATCGTATGAGTATGATTCCCAGTCAGGGGCGACTTGGAGGACTAATACTTGTTAGAACGCGCCATTCAAGAACATTCCCACTCACCTGGAAGGTAGTCCTTGCCTCTGACGATGAAGATACCTCTGATTTCTGACTTTTGAGTTTCAGCGTTTTGTAAGACAACACCAGAACCCATAACGTATTTACGTGAGGCTTCCATACGGGTGAAGAAACCACCAATTTGGTTGTTTGACATGAAAACCATGGAGAGATCTTCTGGGTACTTGAATGCGAATTGAACGATAGAGTAGTCTTCTGGGACGAAGTTCTTGTAGAAGTAAGCAAGTGAGTGCTTAGCTGGGTCATCACCACGGGTGTCGAGGTTAGAGTAAGCACGCTTGAACTCTTCGAGGTTGAATGCAGATTTTGGAAGGAGATCAAGTGGGTTCTTTGGCTTTTCTGGAGCTGGAGCTGGAGCAGCAGCGGCTTCAGCAGCTGGGGCTTCCTTTGGCTTGTCAGCCTTCTTCTCTTGCTTCTTTTCGGTCTTCTTTTCGTCCTTCTTTGGTGGGTTGAGCTTGAAGGTGTCGATGTAGTTGTAGTCACCGAATGTAGACTTCAAGACGTAGTTGTTAGCAACGGTCTCGAAGAATCTAACGCTAGCTGGGAAGGTCTCTCTGTGCTTCTTGTCGAGAACTTGTTGGAAAGCGAAGAGGAGAACTGAAGCAACGGTGATATCAGCGAGAGTGATACGTTCACCGACGAGGAAAGTACGTGTTTTAAGAACAGTCTCGAGGGTCTTGAGAGCCTTCTCAGCACGTTGGATTGATGCATCAGCAACAGCCTTGTTGAATTGGATGTAACCGAGGTTCATGTAGACTGGGAGGGAAACGCCAGGGAAGAGGTCAGTTTCAGTGAATGAAACCCATTGTTGGATCAAAGCAGCGTCTTCTGGTGACTTGCCTAACAAACCAGCCTTGTCATCCAAGGAGGCGAGGTAGTAGGCGATGGCAGCACCTTGTGATAAAGCTAACTTACCGTCAGCTGACTTGAATGCTGGGACTTGTTGAGCTGGGAAAGAAGCAGTGAATTCTTCAGTCTTGTTGGTGACACCCATTTGGAAATCCTTGGCGACATCGACAGTCAAACCGTTAGCAGCAGCTACAGCGAGTGCTCTGATAGCTCTGTGGTTGTTTGGATAGGTGTATAATGTACCGACTGACATTTTTTAGTTGAAGAGGGAAGGCGAGCTGAGAAGAAATCAACAGAGGCTGAAAATTTTTACATCAACTGAAATAACCAAATAAATAGTTTACTGCTTATACATTAGAGTGGCATTTCCTGTATTAGCTCGCTGTACATGTCAATTGGCTAACGAAACACTGTGCACGGATCTACAGCGGAAGGAAGTCATTTATACGTGTAGTGGTAATAACTACGGTCATCGAACAATCGTATATCAAAATGTTAGACTTTTCATTAAAATATTCACCTCCGTGCCAGTCGATAGCACTCTCTAAGGTCACACTCCTATGACAAGCCAACACTTTATGAAATCCTCTGATGTTTTAATGCACGATAACGAGGATTTAGAGAAGGAATTGGAAGAAGATCCCCGTAATTTGTTCAGACGCCCAACAAAGACTACAGAATCTTTCTATTCCGTCCCCTCTGGAAACAACAGCGAGCATTTGAACTACGAGAAGAACGATACAGAGGAAGACTACAACTATCGCCTTAATCAGTACGCAGCTGGCCAGTCATTTGATCCTGCAGCAGATTTCAACAACGTCGGTCCACGCTATGTTCCATTTTCACCGCAATCAGACAGCGACCAGGATGATTCTTCACCCAACCTGCAAGCATCTCAATCTAAGGGCGCGATTGGTACAGTACCTGCCATGGGCCCAGAATGGCAGGAAGACGAAATAAAGGATATGTCGAAATCTCACCGCCGTAAAGAGGCCAATTGGGATCGCAAGCACAATGTTAAAAGCTGGTTTAGAGGACAACGTAAGTGTTTCGGTATCACAAGAAAAACAGCAGTCTTTATCAGCTTTGGTGTCATTATCGCGTATGTTCGTTCTTTGTCTTCTAACGTGTCCTCTAACATTTTCTAGGCTCATTTTACTCCTTTATTTCCTTATACCACGTGCACCAACGTTTACATTCAGATCAACACCTCTCTTAACAGATGATCCTGATAGCGCATCATTCCTGACATACCCTACTACGAACTTTTCATATGATGGTTCAGTGGCCATCTCCCTTGATACAACCACGAGTTGGATACCGATCAAAATCAAAAACATCGACGCGACAGTCTACGACGGTGAGACAAACAATGAAGTCGGTACTGGTGGATTCAAATCTACACAATCTTATAGCAAATCTGATAACATACACGTTAACGTGCCTATTCATTTTGCTTACCAAGCTTCGGATCAGAATGACCAGACATGGGTGAACTGGCACGATGCATGCAGATATAGGTTCGCAGGAGAGGGTTCGTCCACTACACTCTCCATCAAACTCAAATTGGACATGAAAGTCGAAGGATTAACTAAAACAAGCACTGTATCCCAAACTTCTGACAATACCGTAGCTTGTCCATTCACTTTACCGAGCGATTCACCATAATATTATCAATAGACTATTATCATTTAATTTACAACGACGAACGAACAATTATAACTTATTTCATTTTGTATATCAATGGGCTATACACCAATCCAATTGTCTTTCATTAGCAAAATTAAGTACCTTCGACTGTCTTACGTAACGATCGCAGATCGAGGGGTATCCAGATATATTGCTCTGGTCCACTGCCTTCTGTACCTTTTGGCGCAATGCTTGAGGACGAAAGAAGACCGTGATCTCTAAACTCAGCTAGACCAGCGTCGAAAGCATCTTCTGATGTTGCTATAAAGTCCTGTTTGGCCATCTGCACAAGTACGTGTCTCGGACTTGCGTACTGAGGTGTACCATCGCTCTGCTGGGTATTTGTCTGGGCTTCTATTTGCTGCTTTGCTATAGCGATGAACAGCCTACGAGCTCTATCTGGCACACTCGCAAGGACGTGTTTTGCACCACTGACTGTTGGCACTATGCCATTTGTCGTATTAACCGCACCTTGTAAGACTGACGTTGCTTTATGGCTCATTTCAACATAATATGGTTCGAGAGTTGTGAGATCGTGCCACACCCAATTCAAACCGACTGCTGAATCCTGGGCTGGGAATAGTATAGGCGCTGCTAGATGATCGATTGAGGCTATTACCGATATTTTTGATGATCCTAGTACATGTTTCAAGCTATCGAGTGTCTTCTTCGCTCGTAGTGTTATACTATCGATATTGTGGATGACGATCACCAGTCTTTCTGTCTTATCATTATTATACCTATCTATGACGCTTTTTGTCATATCTTCGAGGCTATCAGAGTTATCGAATTTGTCGTCTAACTTTTGAATCTCAGTGAGGATTTCTCTGAGTGTGATGGAAGGATTGAAAGCGTCTATAGTCATGGTGGTACATTCTTCTGACAATTCAGTCGCAAAGTCGTTAATAGCTGCCAATTTGCTACCTGCGCCTGTAAACATCAATGAGCGATCTAATAAAAACAATTCAGCTTTCCATTGTAGATAACGTCTTCTGTGTGCTTCTCTAGGAACGTATCTCTTCTTTGGAGCTCTATCGAGAGTTTCACGTGTTTCCTTAGCAGTCAGTGGCGCGTATGGGAACTCTGCATTGCTTGATTTCGCTGGCATGTTTTGATATTGAAAGTAGACATCAGAAGTTGTTTGTACGATGATTGGACGTGCATTTCTCTTCTTCCGTTTCTTTACTGGAGGATTATCGAGCTCCTCCTGGCTGCTCCACTCTTCGTCTTCGTTCTGATGGTTTATTTCTTGGTCGTGTTGGGGGAGCAACTGATAAAGTTAAGACAAATGGAAAGACAAATAGCTGACTAACCTGCATCACATCATTATCTGCTGACTTGGTATTTTTATTCCCTTTCATCCTCGTCGTCATCTTTGAAGAGAATAGTCAGGATGGAGAATGACGAGATAAGAGTAAAAGCAGAAATAGAAGGAAAAAGCAATTCGCCATACTTAGAAATAGTAGACAACCCTGAAGGCTACCACTCAGCCTCTTCTTCACCCTCGAATGAACTCAACTCGGAAGACGACGACGACGACAACGACAACGAAGACAACGTTGAAGACGAGAATCAAAAGGACGATAATGAAGGGGAAGAATACGTAGACTTCTCGACTTACATTGAACAGTCCTACGACAATCCAGATAAGAAATCCCAGAAGAGAAAGGCAGAAGACGACAATATGAGCCTACAATCAAAGCATATCAAGTCTAACAACATGCTATCATCATCCCAGCGAGCATTGGCTGCTAAAGCTACAGAAGAAGAATCTCCTTTCTGGCCCAAAGCTGATATTGGAAGCGACCCTCTTAGGAAGTCACGCTGGAGTCAAGCCGAGCAGAGATACTTTGCTGGCTCTGGTATGGGCTCTTCAAAGTTGAAGGAGCTTTTGCGCATCGGTGCTGCACCACCATCCCCACAAGTCGAAGAAGCTCAAGCAGCTGAACAGAAGGATGTCTACAATGACGAAAGCAGAGACAATGACGATGTAGATAACACTGACAAGGAAAATATCTTCGATAATACCTACTACCAATCATCAAACAAAGAAATTAACAATCCAGTGAACGACGTGCAAGCGTCAAGTTCGAGGCTAATTTCACATAAGCCGCCACTGAGAGACGTTCCCCAAGAAGCACCACCAGGATACGACCAAGATATCTTACAAGCTGGCAAACCAGATGTTAAAAACTATGATGTCATCAAGAGAATGAAGAAATGCATAGAGGATCTTCATATAGTATCCCTCGATGCACTGATGGAGGCCAGTGGAGAGTCTTCACAGTTTATTGATTCCTCCGCAGCCCCGTTCAAGCGCTTATCGCAAATAATGGCAGAACACTCTCGCTGGCTCGAAACGTTCGTCAAAGTTGTAGAGAAGAAGAAGCATAACGAGGGTTTATTATCTCCCTAACGTTTTTTTATTCTTTTGTTGTACTTTTACGCTTTTATATCCCTTTGAATTGCACCATCATGTCTGCTGCTGATAACGACGATAACAATCCGCTGCTACCGCAATACAAAGAAGTTCTCTTTGATGAGTCTGAGCCACTCAACGAAGGACGTACACGGAGACCAAAGTGGAAATCGCCAAAATCTAAGAACGTCTTGGTTGTTGCTGGGTGTTTGTTTATTTTGCCAATTATCTGCTTATTGAGTCCCCTGTTTGCGTTCAATACACTAGCACCACGCACTCCAGAAGTGAGATACACAGCTGTCCTCAATCCATCACCATCTGACCTTTACTTAGGAAGTACACGCGCCTAAGCATACCTTCACGCTCACATCCGCAAATCCTGACGCTGGCTCACACACCCAGGACCACAGACCGTGGCCTACTAATGACGGCTTCCCTCCTGAGCCATTCAGGACTAATCTCGGTGATATTGGACCTACACAAACCGGAGCTGAGGCATTTATCGTACAGACGGCGGCTGCATATCCAATTGAAACTGCTCTTAATCCTGCTATCGTTAGGCCAACAGCTAAAGATGCTCGCGGACCTGACGAGTTTGACATTTTGAGGTGAGAATACGTCATATTGGAGGTTCACTGTTAACAAACATGGTACAGACATTTCGGACCACTCACACCATACACTTCTTCACCAAATTATTTGCCTACCACACCGCTCACACCTGATACATGCGAAATTGAGCAAGTGCACATGATACATAGACATGGTCGGTCTTGGTCTTTGACAGTAGATCTATCGACTGATGCGCCAACAGGTTCTAGATACCCAACACCGAACTCACTCCCGCTTAAGTTTTCGGAGAAACTTTCCACAGCAGTCAAGGCGAACATGAACTCGAACGACGCTATAGGATTTAATGGAGAACTTGCTTTCGTGGGTTAATATAACATTGTTGGTTATTCTCACTCTCGTAAAGCTCAATGAATGGAGATACGCACTTGGTCACTCGATCCTCACTCCTGTAGGAAGATGGCAATTGTACAACTCAGGTGTATGTCATTCCAGATGTAGCGATGATTTCTCACATTCTTCATAGGCTAGTTTCAGACTCAAGTACGGACACCTTCTGAATAAGTTGACATCACACAAGCCAGTATTCCGTACAACGACTCAGTAAGCGTAGAATTTCATATACGTGCACAACTAACCCATTATAGGGACCGTATGTTCAAATCAGCGTGAGTATCAGACTATTCAAGTCCCATTCGAGTTGACGTTTTCAGTATCAACTGGTTAGCTGGTTTCTTCGGAGTAGACAGCTGGCAAGAAGAGTCACATTTGAGCATCATGCACGAGGCGAGAGGTTTCAACAACACCTTGGCACCTTGGGAGACGTGCCCTCGTGAGGACTCCTACCAAAGTGCTCGTTACGTTCGTCAATGGCGCAACAAGTACCTTTCAGACGCTCAAAAACGCCTTAACAAGCAAGCGGTTGGGTATGAATTTGACATTACCGACGTTGTCGCTATGCAGGTGAGCTTGATGCTTTTCTCATTGCTTTTCTAACCTGGAGAACAGGACTTATGCGCTTGTGAGTAGAGCGTTTTCTTGGCATATCATAGATAACCCAAAACCAAACCAGATGAGACAGTTTCGTTAGGCTACAGTCGATTCTGCCACCTGTTTACAAAGAAGGAGTGGGAAGGTAAGCAATATCATGATTTAAATTTAGTTAGTAACATACAACCAGGTTATAACTATGCTTGGGATCTTCAATTCTACTACGATGCTGGATTTGGTAGCCCAACTGCTCGTGCACAAGGTCTAGGATGGGTGCAAGAGACTCTAGCTAGGCTGGAGCAAAAGACACCTGCGCCATACGACTCAACCACGAACTCGACATTGGACAACGACCCAGTTACATTCCCATTGGACATGCCAATATATACCGATTTCAGTCACGACACTGTTATTGCTAATATCGTGCGTCTACACTTGTCTTAAACCATAAGCTAACTTCAGCCAGGTCGCAACATTGAATTTGTGAGTGGAAGTACGTTTTATGATGTATTGCTTATCCGACATATAGGACCCAATTTGCTGCTCCACTTTCAGCCAACAAAATTCCAAGAGAGTCTAAACACTCTACTCGCTGGCGCACATCCCACATCGCACCATTTGCTGGTGGGTTTGTTAGGTTATAGTCGTTTAAAGCTTATCATCCCTAGGTAATCTCGTCCTCCAAAAGATTAAATGCCATGGAGACGATACAACTGCCAACCCTAAAGACTACGATGCTTGGGAGATCACAAAGACTCACAAGGTTCCACCAGCAGGTATGCTTTCATTACTCTTCTAACTTAATCTAAAACCCATATAAGGTGACTATATTAGATTAGTATTGAATGACGCAGTACATGATTTGTCAGGATTGGATTGTCCATTTGACGATGAAGGATTGTGTCCATTTGATAAGTTCATCGACTCACTCAGGCACATCAGAGAAGAAGTTGACTTCCAAACAGACTGTCATGGCGAGTGGAAGATGAACGAACACGAGAGCGTATCAAATGGACGCCCACCGATGCATTAAAACCGCTAAGAAGTTAGATAAACTTGTAATTTTGATTAATTATCAATTTTCGGAAAATCATTTCGTATCAGAAACATTGATGATCGCTGGGATAGCGATAAAACTTACTTTTATAGCCGCATTAGGGGATCTTGTGCAGGCCAATCCTCTAGCCAGAGCTACAGCTGAATCACACGCAGGTAGCAAGACGAGTATTAGTCTTCCTACACCAACAGCAGACTACTATTCGCGAGTATTCAACCTTGATCAGCCATACAGAGGTACTGTATCCGATGGAATTTTACCTGAATTATCAATTAGACCACTAGCTGTAGAGTATCCTTATACAACAGATTACCCGTCGATTTTGGTCAGACCTGTAGCCAAAGATGCGAAATCAATTGACGAATTCGACGTTATTGGAAATTGGGGTATAAACATGCCATATAAATCATCACCGCAACTTTTAGAAGGTACCTCACCCTTCCCGCCTCAATCTTGTCGGATTGATAGCGTGAATTTACTTCATAGACACGCTGAAAGATACCCCAGCTCATGGGATCAGTCGTTGGATTTTGCGAAATCATTATCAGAAAAGGTTCAAAGGGGTCTGAACGCATCGAAACCAATTGAATTCTTCGACGAGCTTGAGTTTGTAAGTTTCTAAATTAGCCCATTGCCTTTCTCAATTGTCGTAGTTAAGCGATTATAGCTATCCACTCGGTTCGGATAAGCTCACGAGCATTGGGCGAGACACCATGTTTAGACATGGCACACAATTTGGTATACTTTACGGAAGATTACTTGACAGCTTCACAAATCATAAGATGGTAGTTAGAACTACTACTGAGTGAGGATATAGTTTGGTAATTGATAACCAACTAAACTCACAATAGGGAGAGGATGTATCGATCTGCCACAAACTTCCTGTTAGGTTTGTTAGGCGAAGAGTGGCCAGATAAGATCCACCTTGTTCAACAAATTGAGGAAGATGGTTTCAACTCCACTCTCAACGTTTGGAATAGTACGTTTAAGTTCATGATTTGAGACATCCTAACACGCACAGCTTGCAATCGCGAAGATGCTGATCAGGGCGATCCACGCAAGGAACATTGGCAAAAGATTTACCTTCAAGATGCATCCAAGAGGCTCTCAGCTAATGTGAAAAATGCAAACTTCACAGTAGATGATGTTGCAGGCATGCAAGACTTATGTGCATGTATGTGGACCTTTTACCTTCAGATGGTTTACCTAACGAACATCAGATGAAACTATTGCTTTAGGATACTCACACTTCTGCTCGCTGTTCACAAAAGACGAATGGAAAGGCTACGGATATGGTTATGATTTGTATCACTATGGAGACGCAGGATTCGGTGGACCAGTCGCGCGTGCTAGTGGATTAGGATACCTCGAAGAGTTACTTGCTAGAATGACAAACGACAGAAAGAACCTTGAGCCATACGAAAGCTCCACTAATAGAACATTAAATCAAGATCCAATTACATTCCCGACTGACCAAGCTGTCAATATAGATTTTACTCATGATGTAACGATAGGTGAAGTTGTTGTCGCCTTGAACTTAACGCACTTCAGTAGAGGGTTGTCTCAAGACTACATTGAAACAGCGGAACCAAGATGGAAATCTAACGTTATTAGTCCCTTTGCTGCGAACATCTTAATACAGACTATTTCATGCGGCGAAGACAACAAGGAATATGCCAGAGTTATACTCAACGACGCAGTTCAACCGCTCTCAGGATTTGGAAAATGCGGTGATAATGCACAAGGAATGTGTGAACTCAAGCTATTTATCAAGGCACTCAAGCAAGCGAAACATGAGACAAACTTTACTTTCGACTGTTTTGGGGATTTCAACAACACCCATGTTGTGCATAACGGTGAACCTGAATTATAGAATAAATTTAATTTATGCATAAATGAGGAATAATCGATATAATTCGTAAAAAAGTCCCATCAATATGTCTATTTTTAGAAAATGTACCTTAGATGAGGTCGCAGTGTCTCATTTGATGTGGTCATGAACGTGCTATCGGCGGAACGACGCACGGGGGTCAGCATATAAAATAAGTAACCGATGCTTCTTCTTTAGCTTTACCAGAAATGAAAACTTCAATTTTAATCGCTGCAGTTGCTAGCATCGCATCATCATCACCTTTGAATCAGCGTTCGTGATGAATATTACTAATACTTTCAACTAATACAACCCAGGTGCAACAGCTGTTAAAGCCGGTTCAGCTACATCTGACCAAATACCTTGGCCTACTGATGACGGGCTGTCTAATGACGTCTACAAATATGAACAAGGTCATAGAGGCCCTACGCCAACGGGAATACAACCAGCAGCTATACAGACAGCTCCAGCAGGCTACTATCCCTATGTAAAAGAGCCAAACGCGCCTGTTATTAAACCAAAAGCACGAGACGCTGAAACTGTAGAAGAATTTGATGTCACCGGTAAATGGGGTGTACTTACGCCGTACAGATCTTCACCAGTTGTTCTCGAAGGGTCATCACCGTTGGCTCCACAAGGTTGTAGCATTGACGCTATTAATGTCGTTCATAGACACGGTGCTAGATACCCCACCACGGACGCAAACCCAGCAGTCTTCGCTGCTAATCTCACCGAAGGTGTTTCTAATTCAGAATCACCGGTTGAATTTAACGGAGAACTTGAGTTCCTTGCTGATTGGACATATGGGTGGGTTTTGATTTCTTTTTCCAAACACACACGCTAATAAAGAGTAGCTTGGGTGGTGACATCCTCACACCTATCGGAAGAACAGAAGAAAGTGACAGTGGTTCATCATTCCGTACGAAATATGGATACCTCCTTAACAAATTCACAAAACACAAGCCAATCTTCAGAACCACTACACAAGATAGAATGTATAATTCAGCTATTGAGTTCATTAGCGGATTCTTTGGCGTTAGTGATTGGCAAGACAATGCACACCTCGTACAAATCATCGAAGAAAAGAAGGGTGGTTTCAACAACACACTTAATCCAATGCAAACATGTAAGGAGAAGGAAGTAGACATTGGTGATGACCTTAAGAAAGAGTGGTACAATATATACCTTCAAGATGCGCTTGCAAGAATTAATGAACAAGCGGTTGGATACGAATTTACTATTGATGACATTTACGCGATGCAGGATACATGTGCATATGAAACTGTAGCACTTGGTTACTCCTCATTCTGTTCATTATTCACCAAATCTGAATGGGAAGCATACGAGTATGCATCTGATCTCACCAACTATGGTAACGACTCTTTCGGTAATCCTTTAGCAAAAGCACGCGGTTTAGGATGGGTACAAGAGCTCCTTTATAGGTTATCTGGCGATAAATCTGCATTAGAGAAACCATCAACCGTTAACACTACTCTTGATTATGACGAACGTTTCCTTCCTCTCGATCAAGCAATCAATATCGATTTCAGTCATGATGTTGTCATCGCTAACATTCTCACTGCTTTGAATCTCACTCAATTTGCTACACCCCTCAAATCAGATGCTATTGCACCATATTCCAAGGATAATCTCAGATGGGTTACAGCTAATAATGTTCCATTTGGAAGTAACGTCGTTATTCAGTCATTGACTTGCTCAGATGAGGCAGAAAAGGCTGGAAAGTTCAACAGAATTGTCATTAATGACGCTGTTCATCCACTCACTGGTATTAGTGGTTGTGAACAAGAAGATAAAAACGGTTTCTGCGACTCTGGTGCATTTATCAATGGTCTCAGACAGCTTGTCGAAGATATTGACTATGATAGCGTTTGTTAATTCGTATTAACAAGTGTCCCTTTCGTTTCACATAACAACAATCCACATTGTACACTAATAAATAGAATGGATAAATCATATGTCGTTTCATTTTTACAATGTCATTAATTATTGATATCTTTTAATGTAGAAGTGAGTATACAAATTGAAAATTGATGCAGTAAACGTGAGAGTGAGTAGTGTCGTTAAAGTATGAAAAATCTCAATACCCTTAAAGCGAAAATGCTTGAGATTTACTTGGGAATCCAAGTGCTGGTATCCAATTACCAGATTTTATTCTACCATTGTCTAATGTGAAAGTGATCTCCTCACGATCACCAGATGCATTATAGCGTTTCAAATTGACTGATTTAAGTGTAGTCATACGCTTAGATAGCGTTTCAATGAAATTCCAGTAACGATCGTTTGACCTTCTATTCCATTGAGTACGTATTTCATCGCGCAATGTGTCAACTGTTACATCAGAACCCGAATGTGGTGATGTAAAATCAAATGAGCTAAGATCGGACAGTGATGTTGAGGACATATATGTAACTTGTGAATCATATGATGATTTACGTGTCTGTGTTAATGAGCTTGACGATTCAGATGGTGATAAGATATTGTTTAATCCTGGCTTTTTATTTTTAGCACTAATAAATGCAAGATTGTTGTAAAATTCTGTCTTTTTCATTGTAATATCCCTTTCAATTATTGTGTATGGTTCGTCAGACTCTTCATCTAGATCCCAACCTAAACTAAGTGTGTCTAGTTGCCTAAATCTAGCCAAAACTTCAATGTACATTTCTAGAGACTCGTTTCGTAACTTCCTAAGTTTTGAAAACTTACTATGAAGCTCTCGGAGAGTAGGTAGAGTATCAGTTACTGCCATTAGCCAATCTAATGAGGTTACTAGTGGTTCGATCCTCAACACTTGTAATTTAATGCCTCTCAAATTATCAAGTATTATGTGAGACGACCTTGTACTCAATTGATCTTCAATTGTGAACGATTCAAGCGATGTGTTCAGATGACTAAACAGCTGATCATCTTCAACCGGTTTCGCAGCTAAAGTGAGATGTTTGAGTGATCCAAGTAATTTATGACCATTGAAGCAATCGCTGGAGTGTGTAATCCAATGACTATTGTTAGGTCTGCCATGTATAATTAAAGTTTCAAGTTTTGGTGCCCTTGTAAGGAACAGTATGAAATTGTTATTAGGAAAACTCCTAACAACACTCAACTCTTTGAGATTTGGCCATGAGGCGTTTGATAGCGTATCAATAGGTAAAAGCAACTTCAAATGCAATGTTTCTAGCGTAGCGGAATTTATTTGAACTAGCTTCGACATTAGGACGATTGTGAACCAGATTTGATCTTCCGTATAATCTTCCATATTATCGGGTGGTTCATTACCATGAACATCCTTGTCGTCTCTAAAAGACAACTTTAAATGTTTCAGTTTCGTTGGTAAATGGAAGTCCCTTGATGGATGCACTATTGTGATGTCCAAAGTGAGTGAAATTAACTTGGATGTTAACGCGAATTGTCCCAAAGATGAACTAGTTAATGGATCATTTGATAAATATTCTATCGCTCTTAAGTTGTGTAATTGCGGTAGTTCTTTGGGATCGAAAGTGACAGTAAGATGTCTGCGAGATGTTTAGGGGTGTGTAAAACGATAAAGTAAGAACTCACCGAATGTATTTACCTATCAGATTCAAACTACTATCGTCAATAGGTCCGTGGAATTTGGTATGACGGAATAACTTTTTATAAGCTAACAAACGCAACCTGCGATTCAACGAGCTGATAACTAGGTTTTGATTGAAGGTAAGCTCATCTGTGATAAGTTCTATCAACTCATTTGGGAGTTTCAGGAGATTAAACTGTGTGTTCTTCTGTTGAACAGGCCTGTAATCCTTAACCAAACTGGACTTCCTAGGTGCGTATCTAGTGAAAATGCTACTGAAGGTTGGTATTTTAGTTGGTAACAACACTTCTGTCATGGTGGTTCGATTGTGGAGATCATACCAACTTGACGGACAGTGTGGTGCAACGATCCGGAGGCAATCTAGTCTAATTAAATAAATTAAAAGGGAATTACAACAAAAGACTCTTTACTACGGAAACACCTACACCCCAGAGACTACCTTGTATTAATGGTAGTATTATCTACTCTATTTTAGTTCTCGTATCGCCGCTCCTTAAGCACATACCTGGTCAAGTATGAGCACTTTAGCTAATCCAACTAGCGTACCAGATGATTCCTTATATGATTTTGTAAAAGCTTGTTCAAATCTCAAATCTGGTATTTGCTCCAATGCGTTAAAATCTGACATCTCAGACTCTGATTCAATCGATGATGACATATCGTTTTTAAGACATGAATAAAATACAATTTACATTAAATCAGTTATTCTAGGTTGCTTCTCATCAAAGGCCATAGACCCAATACCTTTAGCCCGTGTTAAACCTACTAAATGTCCTGATTCACTTATATTGATGTAGCCAACATCCAACTTCTTATATTTTACCTCACGTTCTATCTCTACCATAGGCGTCGCAGGGTTCAACTCGCTTGGTGGTCCTTCAACCAAGGTCTCCTGCTTTTCAATATCTTCGTCGTTTGTTACATTTCTTGTTGGGCGTCGTTCTGGCAGATCTGACGCCAACTTAGATTGTGTAGGTGTTGCTAACTTTAGTGCTATTCTATGCCAACCTGTATTCTCTAATGGTGATCTCTGGAATGCTGTTACACCTTGAGGACGGCGCTTTAGTAACGCGTATTGCAACTCTGCGAGAAATATTCCGTGCGCTACAACGACGACATTGCTTTCTTGTCCCGAAAAAGCGCTAGCCATAACGTATGGCATTATCATATTATCCTATCCCTGGGTCAGTTGATATTCTTCAAAATTTAATTTAGGATAACTTACTATAACATTCTCAGCCCTGGCTGCAACGTCATGTAGACTCTCTCCGTCTTCAAACTTGAAGTCTCTGCCACTTTTGCGCTGCCATTGTGCTTGTTGCCACGGTTGACCCTCACCTTTACCAAAGTTCTGCTCTCTAAGTAAATCACTGGTGGTGAATGATGCTGCTGGTATAGTTTTGTTGTGATCACGTATTTGCTCACTAAATATCGTCAACATCATTGGCTTATCAACTCCAAAGGATAAACTAACGCTGTCCATCTAGCTCTAGTTAAATCTGATGCTATTATAGCTTTGATAGGGTAACTCTCTAATGATTTTGCTAGCCTCTGAGCTTGATTCATCCCGTGATTACTGAGGTTTGCATCTCTCCAACCTGCCCATAATGACTTTAAATTATCTTTTTGTTGATTAGTTTATTATTGATTAGCTATATAGCACAAACTCACCCGTACTCTCTCCGTGTCTAACGAGTGTTAAGATTACTCGCATTTGTAACTAGTAGAGAGGTGATTTTGTCATTTATTACGTAATTGATACATTAAATTTTTATAAATTATTAAAATTATATCCCTTTTATCATTGTAATTTTCAATTCTATGTCTGAATGGATCGAAAATTTTCAGCTACTTAATCACTCTTCTTTTGAGTCTCTGACTTATCGGAAGGTTTATCAGCAGGTTTATCAGTTGATTTCTGTTTGTTCTTTTGCTCTTGTTCCTGCTTCTCTCTTTGTTCTTCTTCTGCGACGATGTATCTCCAATCATCGTCACCATTTGATGCTTTATTAGCTCTCAATCTGTCTTCTTCACCTCTGATTCTAATTTGTGATAAACCTGCTGTAGCTACTAAAACACCTAATGTTGAAATTTGTGCAGCCATTCTAGCTTGAACGAGTTTTTGTGAGAAGGATTGCATAGGATTACGTGCCCAAATGTAAGCACCTGAACCAGCCATAGATAAAAACCATGATCCGACTACAAACTTGAATCTATTCTCCTTTGCCAAAAGAAGTGCCTTCTCGGCCGTTGATAAAGATGACTCACGATCTGCTCTCTCTTGTTTATGTTTTTCTAACAATTCAACGGATTGTACGTCCTCGTTCTTCCATTGTTCACGCATGTGGTTTTCGTACGCGAATTCTGCATTTGTCGCACCGAAAAGAAGTGTGCCGACAAGCAACAACCAACCCTTCTGTACTGGTGGTTGGGCAGCTACAGCTGGGTAGCGTCTACCAGCGAAATATAAACCAGCGGCTGTGCTGGAGTAGTAGTTTTAGTTGATTAGACGAATGAAAGACACTAGAGCGTACAGAGAAGAACCAAGTAAAGCACCCTTCAAACCGCCAAGAGCTGTGGCTCTACCACTAGCCTCCATTTGCTCCTGTGAAATTAATTTCATACTTGATTGTTATGGATAGCCTTTTGATTAAGACTTTCGTCATCGGAAATCGAGATGGACGAAAAAAAGTAAAATAAATAAAAAATAAAGAGTTATTACTAATAATTTTATCACAGGCAATGGGGTATCACTCCTCCAATCAGTCTTGCATCTCCTACAGATCTAGAGAAACAGGTAGATGCAGGATTAATACAAGAGCTCAAGGATCAGAATACGATAGAATCTGAGCAGGAGAGTCTCAATAGGTGGGAATTATCATTATTTATTCTTCATATCTCATTTGACGCTCTATAGAGAGAAAGTACTGGCATTGGTACAGTCTTTAGTAAAAGAGTTCGTAAAGAGGGTTTCTATAAGGAATGGGATGTCAGAGTCCTTAGCTGATCAAGCTGGTGGTAAAATATTCACTTTTGGTAGTTATAGATTAGGCGTCAATCAACCAGGCGCAGATATAGACACTCTTTGCGTTGTACCAAAACACGTCTCTAGAGAGGATTTCTTTGATGTATTTGAACCACTTCTAAAGACTCGTGAAGAAGTTAGCGTATGTGCAGGCGTACCAGACGCTTATGTACCAATCATAAAAACTACAATTTCTGGTATTGAAATCGATTTCTTGGTTGCTAGATTAGCTTTAGCTACTATCCCGGATGATTTAGAATTAGCTGACGACAACTTACTCAAAAATCTCGATGAGCGTTGTGTAAGATCTTTAAACGGTCGGTCTTGGTTAATCATGGAGATAATTTAACAATTATAATAGGATCCAGAGTCACAGATGAGATATTAAGAGTCGTTCCAAATGTTCAAGTCTTCAGAGAAAGTCTGAGATGTATCAAATTGTGGGCACAACGTAGGTTATAATAGTTAACAACTTCATAATCTTATTCCATTACCTTATAGGTCGTGCAATTTACTCCAACGTTAATGGTTTCCTGGGTGGTGTCGCTTGGGCTATGTTGGTAGCGCGAATTTGTCAACTATACCCAAATGAAAATGCTGGCGCAGTTATAGCCAAATTCTTTACTATTCTTTACCAGTGGAAGTGGCCTCATCCAGTACTATTGAAGGAAATCGAAGATGGGCCATTGAAAGTTCGTGTCTGGAATCCAAAAGTTGGTAGTAGCACTCTCCTGGTGATCTTACTAACAACTCATATAGATCTATCCATCAGACAGAGCTCATAGGATGCCTATCATCACACCAGCCTACCCGTCCATGTGCTCGACCCACAACGTCGGTCCATCAACTCAAGAAGTAATGAGACAAGAATTCAAGAGAGGTATGGATATTCTGGATGGAATCCACAAGGGAACGACGACATGGTCACAACTCTTCAACAAGCACGAGTTCTTCTCGAAATACAAGCATTACTTGCAGATCATCGCGTCTGGTCAAACAGCCGAGAGCCAAAAGAAATGGTCCGGAGCTGTAGAATCTAAAGTTAGACAATTAGTTAGCAAACTTGAATTAGTCGATGGTATAGAACTCGCCCATCCATTCGTAAAGGGGTTCAGTGAGGTTTTCATCTGTCTTAATGACGAGGAAGTCCAACATGCAGCCGAATATAACCCATCTGAAGAGGTTAAAGAGCGCAGCAAAAAACCAGAAGAGTATGAAAACAAGGAAGCCGAAGACGGCATACACAGGGTATATATTAGTACTTTCTACATCGGTTTGGCTATACAGCCTCGTAATCGTGAGTTTATTCTTTTGTAAAGAAGTGTCACTCATAGTGCACCGCAGCCGAGACTAACGAGAAACGTACGCTTAATCTTACCTACCCAACCAATGAATTCATGAAATTGACGAAATTGTGGGATCAATTCGTCGAAGGTGAAATGAAGATCTTTGTCAAGAATATCAAAGCGTGAGTGATTATTCAGATCAGAGTTTAACGTGCTCAATCAAATTAGTTCTGCTTTACCAGATGTTGTATTCGAAGGTGGAATAAGGACGTCAAGCAGCAAATCAAGTAAGAAGAAGTCAAAGGTGTGTGATATCGTCAACCTAAACACTAATGTACTAACTTATTTCCCAAGCGACCATCGAATGTGATGGACGAGTCTAACGGTGAAAATGAGCAGAACAAGAGGCTGAAGTGAGTATGATAATAATGCAATCGCGTCAATTTCTGATAAACTTTAAGACCGGACAATACGAGTAATAATGAACAGAAGTCAGAAGCAACAGCATTAGCACCATCAGCTGTACCTACAGAATCTACATGAAGATACAGTAAATAAGTTATAAAATGTAAACATATATCTTTATAAACATCTAATGAAACAATTGAATAGAGAATGTGAAGTACTTGATAGCTTTTGACTTGCTAAACAAAAGTTGTCGTCATAAGTTATGCCTCGACCATCAACTTCTCTGATAGCAAATGAGCTCAGAGGGTTAGGATTGATTATACCCGCGTCAATGCTCGGTGTATTGACCAGACTGGCGCTATCTAGTCTCACGAATTACCCTTCACCGCTTCTTCCACCCGTGATTTACTCCCAGGCTATCGGAAGTTTAGTGATAGGACTAGCAAATGGGCTCAAACCAAGTTTGGAGTTTATGTGCGTAAAAATTAAGTAGTACTTATTTTATTCACTCACTCATCCAAGCCTCACCGATCTCACTCTGGCGATAGCGACTGGATATTGTGGATCTCTCACAACGTTCTCTACCTTTATGCTAGACTTATGGAAGAGCTACACTTATGTGAATACGCCAAACTATGCGTCACGTAACGCAAAAGGTGCCGCTTTTGACTTCTTATCATACATACTATCAACTAGCTGCATATCAATAGCCTCTGCACAGTTCGGACTAGCACTGGGAAAGCGAATTCAGGAGCGTATCAATCTCTCCAAGGAAAGCTACCAACATAAATCGAAGATATCACTTGGTGCTGCTATCGCATTAGGTGTTGTTTCCTACGTCATCACGCTAGCGCTTGCATTAACGGAATCTACACACAGACTGCGTACTTGGACGTACGCCTTGCTATTTGCCCCAGCAGGTGCTTACATGCGTCATAAACTCGCTGGATATTTTAACAAACCTGGTGTTTATATACCATACGGAACACTCATGTCTAACGTTTTAGGTACTGTATTCACTTGCCTTGGGTTTGGATTGTTCCATCTCAGTGGAGCATCTCAGTCTTCACAAGTACGTTGTAATGTTCTCCAAGCTCTCCAGGACGGATTGGGCGGGTCATTATCTACAGTCAGTTCAATGGCCATGGAACTAAATGCGATGGGAGTCTCAAGACGTTGCTTCCTTTACTCAGCCACCTCGATCCTACTCGGTCAAGCAATATGCATCATCATTACGGGAGGTATGAAATGGTCAAGTCAAGGTTTTGGTGATAGTTGTGCAATTTGATAATATTACAATTGATTTATTCTAGATTTCAACCATTCTAATGCTGTTATTTCAATATTTATAGTACTATTAATACTTTTGAGAGTTGTCGCAGATGAGCTCCGGCTTTTTGCCATTGATAAGGCGGACAAACCGAGGCAATTGTGGAGTACATCTGGATATTCATTGGGGTATTTAGCTATACCGCCTAATTTACCGCTACAACTGAGAAGGAAATCTCCATCAAGTTCATCACTGAAAATCTCTAAATCATCAGGTAAATTGGATAGTTTCTTTAGGCTTTCGAAAGCGCCTCTACACCAAAATGAATAACAACTGTCGCAATCTTTGTTAGTCCTCCCTTGGAAGCCATGTATTTGTCGTTGTGAAAGCCAACGAAGGGTCTCGTCAGATTCTTTATGTGATATGAGCTGTTCAGATGGTATTTGTGAAGATAGCAATTCTAAACTTGCGAGTGCACAGTAGGTTGTACCACCCTGACCTTCACCATTTGGTGTCTGGGAGTATGACCCATCGTATGTACGACACCTTTTGATGTAAGCAATTGTTTGGGGGATATCGATACCACTGAAGTCACCAAGTAATGATGATATTGCCGATGCACAGTAAACCAAACGTATATCCGATTCTGAGCCACTAGGAATCGGTGCAAAAGAACCATCAGGTTTCTGGCGGTCTTCTATTGATCGAATTATTCCCTTAACATCTAATCGACTAAAATCATCGCGTAATAATGCCAATAATAGTATAGCTGTATATGTCATTGTCAGATTCGACGGATCGTATGGCGGAATTTCCTGGATAATTGTTAAAATGTATTAATGTTAGATGGATTATACACCTACATCATTGTCATACTCCTGCTTTCCCATAAAAAGACTACCTCTGAATCCACCACCGTTTATATAAGCTAACAGAACGGTTATATAACTCTATATACGTAAATTTAACCCACGTAATTGGCATTTATACACGTAATCGCAATACTCAGACGCTTTTTCCAAAGATTCTCCGAGAATCGCCAAAGATTCTACTACGAAGAATGCCAAAGTTAATCTAGCAGAATCGTTTGATTCATAAACGTTAGGAAGTAGTTCCAAGTGTCTAAAACTAAATTTTGCTGTCCCTTCCATCTTCCCCTTTCTTAAATTCGTTGGGGTTTATCTTCAGAGTAAAAAGTCAACATCGAATGTTAACAAGAAGTGCTAGAAGTCGATATAAGCGTTTGATTGGTGCATTATACAGACAGTATACAGTTGATTCATCTAAAAAAACACATATTATACACTCGTTGCTTAGGAATCCCGTCATTTTCGAACCAATACGTAAACCACGTTCTCCGATCGTGTTATGCCATGGTGAGATGGTTTATATAGCTATTATGTTTATCTAACTAAGTAAAGGTCTTTATGGTTTCGATGTTTGGACTCCTCCTGGTATTCCGAAGCTCCAGTTACACTACTGGGCTGATCTAATGGATATTCTACGTAACAAAATCGGCGCGGAAGTTATAGTTACCGGTGTTCCAGGTACTGGCTCAGTTAAAGAGAGAGCAGACGCGATGCACAATCAACTCCAGAATACAGTCAAAGGCAGAGACATCAATTTTCTCGCCCATTCTATGGTAGATTAGGAAACACTATAAATGTCTATCTACTAACGATTTCTAGGGTGGTCTTGATTGCCGTCATCTTCTCACCCATATCAATCCTACTGACTATAAACCACGGTCGTTGACGACAATATCAACACCTCATAGAGGTTCTCCATTCATGGATTGGTGTGCAGTGAGTGTTAGCTCATTTATTGCATAGCGTTCTCACAATCAAACACAGGCAAATATCGGAATTGGCGCACAAGCGATACAGGATACCGCAGATGCAAGCAGTCAACCACTGAGTGTTCCTTCTATGCCACTCTCATTAAAATCACCACTCTTACAAGCGCAACCTACAACTTCAACAACTAACATAACAAATGATCCTAACTCAGACTCAAAATCTTCACTATCTTCACTCCCTCAGATTTCTTTACCGATCGCATTTACATCTTCACTATCTAGTTATTTACTTGCATTATTAGACTCACCTGCTTACGCTAATTTAACAACTGCATTTACAAATGGAATATTTAATCCTCGAACACCGGACGTAGAAGATGTAAAGTATTACTCAATAGCTGCTCGGCATCCGGGATTAGGTTGGTGGCATCCACTTTTCCTTCCTCAATTGGTTTTAGAAGCCTCTGCTAAAGCTAGTATGAGAGAAGCAGAAGGTAAAATCGGTGATGATTATGAAGGTAACGATGGTCTTGTTAGTGTCAGTTCAGCAAAATGGGGTGAGTTCTTGGGTGTAATTGACGGTGTTGACCATTGGTGGATGAGAGGATCACGAGGGTTTCCAAAAGATAACAAAGGTAGTGTTACGGATGCGACAACTAATACAAAACAACCAATAAATCATAAAGATTTATACAACACCCCTGAATCTAGTTGGCAGGATGTCAACAAACAGATTGAAAGTAATTGGCGAGGTAAAGAAGAACAAAATGTTGATTCACAACAATCATCAGTTAGTGCTATCGCTAGATGGTTTAGTGATCGTATACCAACTTCACAATCAAAAGCCAATGAAGATAAGGAAAAATCAATTGAAAAATATGAAAATCACATGGATAGAGAAAAGTTCTATATAGCTTTATGTCATAAACTATATCAAGATGGATTGTAAATTATATAAATGATAAGAGTGAAATTTTTAATCGTCACACACAACCTCGTAGTCTGATTGCCCGATCCTTAAAAACAAACAATTAAAATGATGGAAACTAAAATCAGCTTTATCTCATTACCTATAGAGATATTATTAAGGATAATTGAAATTGAACCAGTTTTAGCTGTTGTTAATAGAGAAATGTTCAGATTAGGTAGGATTGTTAGATATGAGTCAATAATAGGACCTGGACGTATGACAATGAATTCAATTTCATCGAAACAGCCAACCTTTAGTCAATACGCCAAGTTTGTTAGATTCATTAATGAGTTTACTACTTTAGACTACGCGGTTAATGTTAAGAATTTATCTATGCACTTTCAGACCGCGACAAACAATGCAAAAGAGTTGTATCTTCAACTAGATGAAAACTTAAAGAAGTTCAATTTGGCATCGTTGATCATCAATCAACCACCTAATGACGATTTATGGAATTATATACCGATAAAGAGGGGAATTAAATCAGTAACAATCTATTCAAAGGATGTATTGCTCCCTGTTCATGATCTAATTTATAGAATGATCGAGAAATCAATGTCAATCAGACACATACAGTTACATTTCTTACAAGACGACATTGATAAGTTTAAGAGACTCGATGGAATGGTGTTAAAAGATGAAAGCTTCTCTAACTTAGAAACTGTAACCCTTAGAGCCATCTTGGTTAGTCACAAACAGAGTAATAAGAAGCATCCAGCAATGAGACATCAACTTAAACCAATAAAGGAAAATGACATAAAATTTCATAATCATTTAGATTCAACTAGGGTATTTAGAAGAAGAAAGCAATTACTTGAAGAAGTTACAGCTGATAAAGAGAAAACTGACTTACTTGCAAAAATTTACAATTTAGATAACAATTTTGATACCGTGGCTGAATACTTTGATAATTTTAAAGTCGTTGATTGATTGCTACTATACCATAATTGCTACTTATAACCAATTTCATTGTTTTTGTTTTATTCATACACAACTTGTCTTCTCCCATCGTGATGATATCAGCATTTAGAAACACACAAATTAGATTATTTAGTACAACCAACATTGTTGAAAAGTATGGATTGAGAAATCATAAAGGTGGTACGCTTCTGTTTGCTTAAATAACTGGAATATCACTAAGTCTAGTCATCAGCTGCAGCAAGATGGAAAGCGATAGGGAATAACCAATTCACTAGAGTATGTAATAGTATACATCCCTTTTAGATACCCTAGCTAACCAGATATTCTCAGAGTAAAACAGGAAGAAACGTGAGCAATACAACTTGATAAAGTAGAAAAGTACAAAGCTGATAGGACAAATATAGCACAAAAACTACCACCTTTCCCCTGAACAAACGAATAGACTAGCAAAGGGTGCATTAGCTGATAGTACACAGTGAGTTACTATCAATTTCTATCACAGTACAAAGCTGATACTATTTACAGTAAATCTAGACTTAGAAGATTATTACCAAATGTATAAAATAATCAAATTAATAACAACTCATCAATAACTGAAATGCCAACTGCTACACCACCTTCATCACTCTCTTTTGATTTCGTTCTGAGTAAATGACCTGCAGTTTCATTCCTTGTTATCGTATGGTTGTTGAATATTACAGTACCATAAATACCCAACTCTGACACGACGTCAGATGGTATAACTCTATCATCCGTATATCTAACTAAATAATTGTTGAGGTTCGCAGGTGGTTTAATCAATTCCATTAAAATGTATTGAGAAAGTTCTTCCTTCTTAACTCCTTTAACAAAGTCCTTTATTTGCTCTTTGTAGATATTATTACCACCACCTTCACGTTGAGGTTTCAAAACGAAATCTCTACATTTCTCAACATTATTGACAATTGAATGAGCTAATTTTCCTCTATCTGATTCATCAAATGGTAAAATTTCAACAAAGTAAGTCTTTATCTTTCTAACTTGACTTGGATTGAGGTATTTTGATAATGTGTTTTCATCAACTAAAACTTGTTGAACTTTTTTACATCCGGCTAGTTGTAATGCAAGAGTTGGACACTTAATTGCCAATGATAATTCTATCAATTTACGAACATCCCATTCTTTCTTTGAAGTATAATCGTCCGGTGAGTAGCCACTTCTATAATAAACGACGGAAATTTCAATTCCATTTACTTTCAAGGCATTCTCATCACTTAGACTTGCTTGTTGAGTAAGTTGAGTAAGTGTCCTTCTAATTGTTCTTATGCCCCGTCTATAATTGTTAAGTGAATATACACCTATGTACTTAAACTCACCTGCTTAATTCGAATTCTAAAAGGCGTTGATCGAATACGTTCCTTTCGTTATCTTGTACAACGAATAAAATGTAAGGTGAATGCTTCGATCTTAAGTAACCTGATTTGTAGATCTTGTGAGCGGCTTCAAATCCATCAATTAGGCCATTAAGTGTATTATTTTCAGCAATATCATTCTTGAGTAAAGGATGTAAACCGCTATATCTAACATCCTTTGATAAATAATCATGTAATTGATGTACTTGATTTGATAATGCACCGAATGAGGCTGCTATTGTATTAAATTCAACTTGTGATAAACCTTTAACATCTCCTTTTGAGCTTACTGATGTATTACACAAGTAATCACTTCTGGCAACCAACAGCTGATTTGGCTATATTGTTGTTAGAAACTAATTATCTAATGAAGGTATGAATGAACACACCTGTACGATACTATCTCTAATAGACTTCCATTGATCCCATAAAGAGGCTTGGAAGGTGTCAAATCTAGATACATCGCTCATAACTTTATCCAGGAATTCGACATCCCTGGCAACGTTTGCGTATAACTCATTGAAAACAGGCTGTATTGATAGAGCTTGATTGTATAACTTTCTAGGAAATGGTGTAGGGAATAAAGATACAGGTGCTTGTACACCTTCGCTTGAACTGACAGTAGTTTCACCCGCCTTAATCGGTGGTAATAAAACTAAACCATTTCCTAAACAAAATGCTCTTAAATTCTCTATTAACTCCTTCTCAAAGCTCTCTTCTATTTTCGGTGGGAATTCCATCTCACGTAATCACCGTAATGATGCAAGACTTGAACTGACTAATCAATTCTTTACAATCTAATCACAAAAAACACAATCGCTTTCAAATAACATTGTTTATTAAGGAGAACTTATGCATTTCATTTTTAACACGTGAGAGACAAAGAAAAATTTTGCACCAGCGCGCAACTAAGATAGCTGAACGTTTGGAGTTTACTTCTTCTTACCTGCCTTTTCAGCAGCCTTGGTGGTCTTACCACCCTTTTCAGTCTTCTCAACAGACTTGATGACACCAACAGCAACGGTTTGACGCATGTCACGGACAGCGAAACGACCGAGTGGTGGGTACTCGTTGTAAGTCTCAACACACATTGGCTTGGTTGGAACGAGCTTGACGATGGCAGCATCACCTGACTTGACGAACTTTGGTGAAGCTTCGAGGGTCTTACCGGTACGTCTGTCGATCTTCTCAACGAGCTCTGAGAATCTACAAGCAATGTGGGCGGTGTGACAGTCAAGAACTGGTGAGTAACCAGCACCAACTTGACCTGGGTGGTTAAGGACAATAACTTGAGCGTTGAATGAAGCAGCTTCCTTGGCTGGGTCGTTCTTTGAGTCAGAACAGACGTTACCACGACGGATATCCTTAACTGAAACGTTCTTGACGTTGAAACCAACGTTGTCACCTGGGTAACCAGCTTCTAATGACTCGTGGTGCATTTCAACGGACTTAACTTCAGTGGTGACAGCTGATGGAGCGAAGGTAACAACCATACCTGGCTTGATAGTACCAGTTTCAACACGACCAACTGGTACTGTACCAATACCACCAATCTTGTAAACATCTTGGAGTGGAAGACGGAGTGGCTTGTCAGTTGGACGGGTTGGTGGTTCGATAGCGTCAATGGCTTCGATGAGGGTCTTACCCTTGAGGACACCAGCCTTGGTTTCACGCTCCCAACCCTTGTACCATGGCATGTTGGTTGAGGCTTCCAACATGTTGTCACCGTTCCAACCTGAAACTGGAACGAAGGCGGTGTTCTTAGGGTTGTAACCGACCTTCTTGATGAAGTTTTGGGTTTCCTTGATAATTTCAGTGAAACGGGCTTCAGAGTATTGAGTGGTGTCCATCTTGTTGACGGCGACAATGAGTTGTCTGACACCGAGGGTGAAAGAGAGAAGAGCGTGTTCTCTGGTTTGACCATCCTTGGAGATACCAGCTTCGAATTCACCAACACCACCACCAATGATGAGGATAGCGCAGTCAGCTATATGGCTAGGTTAGAAAAGAAAATTTGATGGAAAAATTTGTCTTACCTTGGGAGGTACCAGTAATCATGTTCTTAATGAAATCTCTGTGACCTGGAGCATCGATGACAGTGACGTTGTACTTTGGAGTTTCGAACTTCCAGAGAGCAATGTCAATGGTGATACCACGTTCACGCTCAGCCTTCAGCTTGTCGAGAACCCAAGCGTACTTGAAAGAACCCTTACCGAGTTCAGCAGCTTCCTTCTCGAACTTTTCGATGGTACGCTTGTCAATACCACCACACTTGTAGATCAAGTGACCAGTGGTGGTTGACTTACCGGAATCGACGTGACCGATAACGACGACGTTAAGGTGGAGCTTCTCCTGTTTATTTAATTAGAAATATGTTGCTATTGTATTTTATCTATACGCACTTTACCCATTGTAGATGAACGTATCTGAAGAAGAAATTTAAGTTGTGCACTTCAAATTTATGAGAAGAGATTTTTAATTTTTTTTAAATTGCGGTTGAATAAAATATTTTTATATATTATAGATATTATATTAAAGCTATTTATTATCTATTTAACGTCTCTATTCACCCTGTCCTGTCAAACTAGCTACTCCACCCACTGGTATATTTGCAAGTACACAGGACAACGACTGCGATAACTGTATTCTCAACCTCAATTACACATCTTAGCAACATAAGTTACCTATTTAGGCGTTATTTTCCTTATCGAGCTGGATTCCTTTGTCTTCTCTTGGGAATGCAGAAAATTATAAATGCATCAATTTGGTATAAACATAAGGTGAATGATTTATGATTTCAGACCTTGAACTAATAAGAAGATCTCCTGGATCTCGCTCGGTTTATGAAGTCTGCAGTCGATGAATACATCTCTAGTGAATGCCTTGTTGATATCTTTCAATAAGACTTTCTTGCGCGTCTTTGGTGTCATCTTATGAAGATCAATCTTACTAGTCTGAACTCTCATTTCTCGTACATTTTTCCCATATCTTCTCTTCTGGTGAAGTGGAAAGGAATACTGACCATACTTTGATATACCTCTTCTTAATATGGTCAGCTGCACCCACAAATTCGATTTTAGAGAATGCCTTGACGAGCTTCTCAACTTCGATAAGATTGAAAGGTGGTGTTTCACCAAATCGAGTATTTTAATATTGAGCTCTACCTGTATTCTTGATAAAGCGCTTCTTTAATCTCTTAATAACAGCGTCGAAGTCATTAACTTTTGCTATATCGCTAAGACCGTAATTGAGCTTCTTTGTGAGTTTTTGATAAGGTGATATCCTTTCATTTATACAATTTTGAAGTAGTAAATCCAGTTGGACGCTTGATGAAGCGTCACGTATTTTATTAATCTCCATACCAAGTTGTCATAAGATATACTCAAACTTAGAGAATAGATCCTCTTTATGTGATCGGTCTACGTAATCGATAGCGCGTTGAATCTGGCGACCTTGAGCCCTTCTAAAGCTAATTAGTCGGTCACCATCCACACCATTATCGTCGACGTTCTCGAGAGCCACTTCAGGTGAATTGTCGTTTGTTTGTCCGGTTTCATAATCTGATGGCGTAAAGTATTCACCATCAATTGTGGTAGCGCGTGAAGAGAATGTGCTATCATTATTTGACACATTATCGATATTTACTTCCAAGGTTTGATTGTTTGTTTGAACTTGTGCATCGCTAACTTGATTCGGATTCATTGATAATATACTTTTAAATGTTTTTTTATAGAAGTTATACACTTTCTTTAAACGATCGTGGTATCAGTTCAACCTATTTAGCAGCCATTTAGGACGTCGTCACATCAATGTGATTATATAACGAATCACTGTGAATTAATAGTGTTTATTTGTAAAACAGCTAAATTCAATACTAAAATGACATAATCAATTTTCTCTTATCAACGCTATCTTCCCCTTCTTGAACTCTTACTACGAAGATGTCGCATGGTAAACACTCAAAATTCCGTGCATGTTTAATGTGCAGTTATTTACAAGAAGGTAAAGAATTCAAGCTTAAAGGTTGCCCAAACTGTCCATTCTTGGAGGTTAGTCACTCGCACTTCGATTATCGACGATACTTATAAATTAATTTAGATGAAAGGTAGCTCAGAGAGTGTTACAGATTGTACATCAGGTCAATACGATGGTATAGTAGCTCTCACTCAACCAAAAGGTAGCTGGGTTGGTAAATGGCAAAGAGTCAACACATGTGAGAAGGGTTTATATGCAGTTAGAGTTACAGGTAGACTAGCAGACAACATAGTAGACAATCTACAAGCTCATGGTATTCCATATAGGCCCCGAGATGAAATTGAAGAATAGAAGAATTTATTTGTATTATACTTATTTAGATGGCGCACCTGATGATTTCCAAGCAGCTACAATAAGCTCTGAAATGGCTTCGACTCCTTTGGCGGATTTAATAGACGTGAACACCGTTGGTCCATTATCACGCATCTTATCAGCATCTCTCTTCATAACACCCAAATCAGCACCGATATATTGAGCGATATCTGTCTTGTTTACGACGAGCAAATCAGATTGTGAGATACCTGGTCCACCTTTACGTGGTATCTTGTCACCACCAGATACATCAATCTGAGTATAATCAGCTGACATCATTAATTGCTTATCATTCTACTCACAACGTAGATAATATAATCTGCAAGCTCTCTTGAGTAGTTTGCAGCCAAGTTGTCACCACCTGATTCAACGAGCAGAAGATCAGTGTTGTAGTCGGCGTGGAGTTGCTCAAGAGCACCCATATTAGCTGAAATATCTTCTCTGATGTATTTATTAAAAACGACTCTTGCCTAGTGAGAGTACTCACCTGATTGCAGCGTGTGGACATCCACCTGGATATTCGCGTTAATTTAACTTACAAAGATAGCCAAACTCACCTGTTTCGACAGCTCTGATCCTACCAGTTTCTAATGCTTCATTCCTGATAAGGAATTCTTGGTCTTCCTCTAAACAAAGGATCTCAGTTCTGACATTAAAAAAGTATAAACGTACTAGTGAAGATATCATTCTTTATCTACGTTAGAATAGCTAAAATAGGAGTAAATTAACTCACTGTAAGTGCACCAATGCTGTACTTGTCTCTGAGATGCTTGCATAATGCCAACATGAGGGCAGTTTTACCAGAACCAACAGGGCTGAAAAGAAGTTAGGAATGTATATACCAAGTATAGCCATACTCACCCTCCGATACCAATTGTAAATGCTCTCTCCGACCAGTCTCGGTCACCAAAGTCCGGCATATCACGCTCAGTGAATTTACCTAATAAATTGACTTAAGTGGCGTGTATAGATTGTATTATAAAACGCACCTGGATGGTCTAAAACATCATGTGTGTGTCCGTGGTCTACAAAGCCGATGAGTATGTCTTCTCATTATGGAAAGAGTACATCTACTAACCATTTGGCGCGTGTGAATGATCGTGAGTTGGCGTTGAATGGTCGTGTGTATGAAGGTTACCAGCTTCTGAACCGTTTGAACGTTTTACGAATGATGCCATGGTTGTTAGTTAAGAAGGATATTCTTATCAATCCGACGACGATGCTGGTAGATTACGCGAGTTCAGATTCCGACAAAGAGGAAATTTATGTACCGAAGTTACCTACAATATTTCAACCGAAGTGTTAGTTTGTTCTACTATCTATGTACTCCCCATTGATCTATATTCAGCGCCGAATGATAATCCATCAGAACATCAAGGAAGAGTACGATCGCAACCATTTAGGGAAGGTGTTTATTATACACATGTTCATTTAAGCAGTAAGCGTGTTTTATTGGTGATTATCATCTTACAACTCTAAGTACCATTGGATTACAAATTCAAAAAGTTATTAGAAGAAATATACAATGATTTTAAGGGAAAGTATAATAACATACATCCGTTATTCAATCCAGATGAAGATATAGATGATGACGACGAGTATTTCTATATAAGTTTGAGTAGACCGCTGGGATTACGTAATTTTCAAATCAAACCATTCAATAAAGCAATAGAGAGTATAACTAATAACCATAAAGCGTACGTGAGTACATTTATGTCATTATTCTCTAAGTAATTCGTAGTATCACGGTTTCATTCAGCGACATAGATGTCTTGTTTAACGATAATAAAACTCGCGCATTCATCGTCTTACCAATTGTAGCAGGGTACCAAGATCTGAATAAACTTCTCAGGGATATAGATAATGGACCAGTACGCGAAAATAAGCAAGAACCTTACTACGATCCGGCTGTTCTCCACACGTCAATTGCGTGGATGTTGACAACCGAGGAAGGCTTTAGTGAAGATGACTTGCGAGAAACTACTAGGGCGTTTACTGAAAAATACACCAGAAAGCTGCGTCTCCTTGGTGCTTTCGAAAGCACAAAAGTTAATGTCAAGGTATCTAAACAAGTATACACTCATGCATTGTCAAATTGAACTAAATTATTATACGGATGAAAATAATGAGACATCATTGAAACATCACTTGATTTTCCTGGTTCCATCAAAGTTTCTAGTAGACGAGACGAGAAACGTTGATGCTTAACTTATTTTAAAGCATATATGCAAGGACTTTATCACACCTCTTGTATCTAGCATGTACTAGTGTTCTATTTTAAATTACTATTTATTTGAAAAGACGCACTCTAAACTGGGATGATTATCTTATACGGAATGAAGGAAATACTGTCAACTACACAACCCTTTTGGCTTATGTGATAAAATGTTCTAATTTTGCCGTTTTGACATTGTCCGCAAATTACGATCGGCTAGATAATGGAGTCGGCATGTGAGTAATATCTTGATAAGACTAACACGTGGAATGTTATAAGTTATCGTAAAGTATTTTAGGTCTTGTGAAGTATTGTAAGTCATTGTAAATTAATGTAAGATGAAGTAATTAATATATACACATGAGACAGTGCGTTCGGAAGTTGTTAAACTAGAACTACGATGACAGAAAAAGTGGAAAACATCAGTGAGGCAATAAATCGACTGGAGAAATGCATAGAGGGATTGAAAGAATGCAACTTGAGCATACCATCTGACGAAAATAAACAAGCTAAGAGAAGCGGCTTCCAAACCTTCGCGATGGTTTGTAAGGCACTCGGTATATTCGTTTTGATCTTGTTAGTGTTTTATCATGTGGTCGCTTTTGTCGTCGTTAGTCTCATGGCGCTAGACGTTGAACGTTACATTAGCTTTTACCTGAATGGTATATGTAAATTTTACCAGAAATTTGGGTATTGTAAAAACCTTAGTTGGTAAAACATTAGGTTGAATCTATTGTTGTACTACGTAAATGATGGAAATAAATTGTCTCAATTTGTTCGAAAAATAATTCAGCTTAGGAAAGAAAACGATGGAAAGACAGCGAATGGAGTAAATGAAGGTAGATCATTGTTTGATATTTACCCTGGTTTTATTGAGCTTTGCATGTGTGTACGTGATAAATTGTCATAATTTTGCCGTTATGATATTGTCGGCATATTCACATCGGCTAGATGATGACTTGGCATGCGAGTGACCACTAGATAATACTAATTTATAGAATATCATATATCATGGTAAATTGTGGTAAGGCTGGAGTACCTAAAATATCCACTATGAAACTGTGCATTCTGAAATTGTTAGACTACAACTACAATGACAGAAAAAGTCGAAAATACCAAAGAAGTAACAAGTATACTTGAAAAATGTATAGAGGATTTGAAAAAATGCAACAATGTGAACTTACCATCAGACAAAAATCAACAAGACAAGGAGAGTGGTCTTCAAATCTTCGTGGATATGTGCAAGGTAATCGGTTTAGGCTTTTTAAGCGTATTAGTGTTAGGACATGTGTTCTTTTTTCTCGTAGTTAGTTTCATCGCGCTAGACCTCGAACGTTACTTTCACTTTTTGTTGGATAGTATAATCAGATTCTATCAGTTCTTTGGATATGGAAAGAACCTTAATTGGTAGAACATTAGAATGAATGTATCATTAGCCTACATGATTGATGAAAATTAATTGTCTCAATCTGTTAAAAAAAAACTACCCAGCGTAGGAAAAGAAATAATAGATTGAAAGACATTGAATAGAGCAAATAGAAATTACACTTTACTCAACATCTAGCTGATGATCTAAAACTTCCATATGTGTGTTCTTAGTGAAAGTTCTAATTTCTGCCGTTTTGATATTGTTCGAAAATCCACATCGGCTAGAAGATGAGTTGGCATGTGAATAACATTAATTTAAAAATAACACGCGAATTATTTTAAATTATTGTAAAAAAAAGAAGTACATAAAGTACTCACTATGAAAGAGGCATTCGGAAGCTGTCAAATCATAACTACGATGACACCAAAAGTTGAGGATATTGATGATAAAGTAAATAGGCTAGAGAAACGTATCGCAGAATTAGAAAAGCGCGATAATTTCTGCATACTACCAAACAAACATCAAGAAAATGAGGAGAGTCTCCTTTCCATAGTAAAGTCATTGTGTAAGGGATTCGGTATACTGGGATTGATCGCATTCACGGCAATTCATCTGGTTTTCTTTTTTATCTCTAGTTACAAAATACTAGACTTCAACATTGAAAAATACTTCATCTTTCTGGCGGAAAGCATTTGTAAGTTCTACCAGTTATTTGGATATTGTGGATGGGAACTTTAGCATGACTGTATTCTTGTACTATATAAATCTAGGAATCAGGTGCATTAATTTGTTCGGAGGATCAGCTAGTATAAAAAAAAGAAAGCAATTAACAAAGATATCAAAAATAAATTGAATGTCGTTCATATATTGCATCCTAAAAGGCATCTGGATGATCTAGGGCTTCATGTGTGTGTCGGTAAAATGTTTAACTCTGCCGTTTTGATATTGTCGGCAACTTCACATCGACCAGAAGATGAGTGAGTTGGCATATGAGTAATAGCCAAATGCAAATAATCTGCGTAAAGTACTTTTAATCGAAGTACTTAAGATATTAATTATGAGACATTGTGTTCGTAAGTTGTTATATCATAACTACAATGACAGAAAAGGTTGAAGAGATCATTGAGAAAATGAAAATACTGGAAAAACGTATCGAAGAATTGGAAAAGTGTAATAATAAAAGCAAACGATCAAAACAAGAAAACAAACAAGCTCAGGAATCAAGCGGTCATCAATCCTTGGTGTCACTTTGCCAGGTGTTCAGTATAAGTATTTTAGGCTTAATAGTGATGGGTCATCTGATACTCTTTTTCACTTTTAGTTCGGGTATATTTGAGCGAATATTTGAACGTTATCTGAGTTTTTTGTTGGAAAGCACATTTAGATTCTATGAATTTATTGGGATATCATGATTGATCTCAATTAAAATAAATGTATATAAATGTTGGTGTTTATTTATCCCAAAAGAACACCTAAATACTGTAAATCTCGTGTGTGTGTGTGCGTGTGTATCTTCGTATAAATACTCTAATCATGTTTTTATATTATCCACGAATCCACATCGGCTAGAAATTGAGTTGAATAGCATTCATCTAAGAATAACACGCGAATTATTTTGAATTATTGTAAGAAAGAAGTACTCGAAATGCACACTATGGGGCAGTGCGTTCGGAAGCGGTTCAACCATAACTACGATGACAGAAAAAGTTGAGGATATCAATGAGACAGTACATAGATTAGAGGAACGTATCGAAGGACTAGAAAAGTATCTTAATGTATCGATAAGACAAAAGAAAAACCAACCAAGTAAGCAGAATAGTCTTCAGTTCTTAGTGTCACAATGCATCACTTGCATTGTCGTCTTCAGTACATCGGCTTTAATCCTCTTCTTGCTTTTTACTTTGTTACATTTTATCATGTTTAGCGCCGCAGTGTTTGACTTGAGTATCGAGCGTTACATAAAGTTTTCGGCATTTTATATATGCAGATTCTACAGGTTATTCGGATACTGTAATAACTTCGCATTCCCTGAATATTAGAAAGATTGTATTGTTGCACCATATGATAAAGATTAGTTGTCTCAATCTGTTGGAAAAATTACTCAGCGTAGGAAAAGAAATAATAGATTAAAAGACAGAAAATAAAGTAAATGGAGGTAGCCCTCTATTATGATATCTACCTGGATGATATCGAGATTCACATGTGTGTCTGATAAAATGGTCTAATTTTGCCGTTTTGATATTGTCGGCTTATTCAGAACGGCTAGAGGATGAGTTGTCCTATGAGTAACATCTAGATTAGAATAATCCGTAAATTATTAGAAGATTATGGTACATAAGATATTCACTGAGACAGTGCGCTCGGGACTTGTTAAACCACAACTACGATGACAGAAAAAGTCGAAGATATCAATGAGAAAGTAAACAGATTGGAAAAACATATCGAAGAATTAGATGAGCTCGTTAATGTCTACCTACTGCCAAAGAAACGAAAAGGAGATGACGACGTGCCATTATACAAGGGATTGAGTATAATGGCTTTGGCTGGCTTAGTGCTATTCCATTTGTTAATATTTTTCATCTTTAGTTCCCAAATACTTGATTTGACTCTCGAGCGTTACATGCGCTTTTGGATGAAAAGTCTGTGTAGATTCTACCAGCTATTTGCACATAATAAATTATGTTTTTGAATGTATTATTGTGATTATATAAATCATACAAATCATTTGTCTCAATCTGTTCAAAGTAATAGCTAGCGTAAGAAGAGGAAACTGATTAACAAAAAGACAACGGTACAGAGAAAATCGACGATGCACTTTGTATCCCAAAACAACCTAATTGCTCTAGGACACTATGTGCATGTCTGTTAAAAAGTTCTAATTCTGCCGTTTTTAGATATTATCCGCAAATCCACATCGGTTAGAAGATGAGTTGACATTTGAGTAACATTCAAAAGGTAAAAATTTGTGGCTTATTGTAAACTGTTATAAACTATATAAGACCGAAGTATTAAAATATTAATTATGAGACAGGTCATTCAGAAGTAGTCAAATCATAACTACAATGACTGGAAAAGTTGAAGATGTCACGAGGAAATAGATAAACTAGTAAAACGTATCGAAGAATTAAAAAAAGCATGATAATGTCGACATCCTACCAAGGAAAGATCTAGAAAATGAAGAAAGTTCTCTCACCATAGTACAGACATTGTGTATTAGGATTAGTGTAATGGATTTGGTCGCATTAATGCTATCTTATCTGTACTTCTTTGTCATCGTTAGTTACAGAATACTTGACTTTAATATTCTTATTGGACGTTACTTCAAGTTTTTGGAGGACAGTATATGTAAATTCTACTAGTCGTTTGGAATATTATGAAACTTCTAATATATCTATCATTGTGGTGTATGAATCATATAAATCATAAAAATCATTTGTCTCTCAATGTGTTCACAGGAGTAGCTAGGGTGAGGAAGAGAAAAAGATAGACAAAAGACACAAAAATGGTTCTAATATCAAGTTTAACATAGTATTAGCAGAAATAGTAGAATAATTCCCTTATCACTTCCTTAAATACTTCTTTCAGGATGTCAGTATCAGCACCAGCCCCAAAGTCATTCAAGGCAGAGACAGCAGAGAATTTAGATGACGTGTGTAGAATATGTAGCAAACAAAATAATATTTCTAATATTTGAACGTAAAGATTGAGAAACAATTCGCCGTAAAAGCTGTTGAGCAATCAGATGTGAGTGTAGAGCGGAGAATTGAATAAGAAGTTAATAAAATAAAGGTTTATTGGAACATCATCACTAAAATTAAGCCATCTTTGCTTAAACTCACCCCGTATGTCTTCATAAGCTACACATATTGTCTTCTCATTTCGTAAAGTATCGACGATGAAATCGTAGAATCTTTCAAGGAAACATTCCCAGAATTACAAGGCGATAACATAATAAAGCTTAACGAGGATGACATGAAGTCTCCAAAAGGAAAGGAAAAGTGGAGAAACTGGATTATGAAGTGCGTTTTGAGCTCTCTAGGAGTGTAATTCTAACAAGCCACTCTTACAGGTTTGAAAAGAAGGTTGAATTCTACAACTTTGGTACTCTCCTTCGTACTGATGCTACCGGTGAATACGATCAATTCAACACCATGTTCGGTAAGTTTTGCGCTAACAAACCATTGCCATTATCCAACACACTCTTCAGTAACAAGAATGCACTTCTACGCTGTCGAAATCACACGTAACAGATTAGGTATCAACGATAAGATCTGGGAGAAGGCACAAGCATCAAAATAGATTTGTAAAAAGACAATTAGATAAAAACTCGCATTTCTACAACAAACCTTGCTTCTTTAATTGGTTGTATGTCTTCATATCGTAAACATTGCCCTGGTCATCCTCAATTTCCTCCACTGTTGCATTTGCTTGAGTTTCCTGTCTTCCTTGTATCTTCAACTTCTCAGCGAGGGCTAAAGCATCTGCTATTTTTGTAATTTCGTGGAAATGTTTTGTATTTGGCAATCCTAATGCTCTCATACCATACGCGTGGGTACCTTCTTGGAAATGTTTCTCGAAGTTTTTCCTACCATTGTATACCTTCCCTGAACAGATCTCGCATTCGTATTCTACACCCAAACCGTGTAACTTGAAAAGCCAAAATGGAATTGGTTTGCCATCCCAACCGAGTGGTAACTTAAGTGGGTTATAGATTTTACCTTCATCATCTTTCTCCTCTTGGACGACTTCTTCAATTGGATTGGATGTAAATTCTTCATATTGTGCTTCTTCTAACTCTTGCTCTCTTTCTCTAGCAGTGAGAGCAGATTTACGTTCAATCTCTGCTTTAGTCTCTTTTCTTACACCCGCTAAAATCGTAGCGTACAATCTCAACAAGGCTTCTTGTGAAGCTAAAGTTTTATCTTTTGATCTTCTCAATTCTGCTGCTTTATCGCTTGCTGGTGCGTCACCATTCTCTGCAACTTTTTCACCACTACTTTCTAATCTCTTCAAAGCATTTTGATATTTCTTTGATTTTTTGACGTTGTTGTATACATTTTGATTTGCATAATAACGTTGCATAACAGGATCCCAAATACCTTTACTTTCATCATTTGCTTCCTCTTTTGGCCAACCTGGAACAGTACCAGCTTGCCAACTTTCGTCAAATTTAGAGAGAGTTTCTAATTGTATTGCACTGTAATCATCGAATGGTCTTGAACGTTGCAAGAATGATTCAAGGTAGGTAACGAGTGTGTTAAGGTATTCACCATAGCTAGATTGAGCTTTAACTTGCTTTGGAAGGTCCTCAACTTGCTCAAACTCGTCGAGGTATTGTAAATAGTTTAGCCTTTTAGGTATACCTTTCAAATTGACGTATTGTTCATGCGATATGTGCAAATCAAGGTATTTACCGTAAGTTTCTTCACCAGAGAAGAGTGAGCTAATAACTGAGAGTATATAATAAGCTGAGAGTGTCTCTTACGTGATGACAACCTACCTTCTCTGTCCAACTCGTCTCTGAATCCGTCCAATTCATAGCGAAATCCATCAACCGGTGCGTTTGGATTCTTACGATGGTAGTCTTTAATAGAGGAAAGTCTCTCATAGAAGAGGTTCAAATCATCTGCGACTTGTGATGTACCAATTATTGTCAATTCCTGCTCTCTTTCAGCTGAATTGTAGGAATTCTTTAGAAATTCCCTTCTCTCTAGCATTCTATCCGTAACTTTAGACATCTGATGCTTCTGTGCCATTTGCTTCTTTTGCTGTAGGTTCGATGTTAGATTCTGTAGTTATTCGAAGCTAGAAACGCACCCCTTTGGCAACATCTAAGAAGAGTTCCACTAGATAATCCTCATACTGATCTATTTCTGAATGCGCATTACGCTCGTCTTCTAAGACGCTGTTCATATCAGAGAAGATGACGGTGGCTATTCAAGAAGTTATGAATTAATTTTACAATTATATTTACATTATTCTATATATTCTTTAATGTTGTTGATGCCTTTGTCCTATAGAGTTGTTAGAATACTCGAAATACCTCATTGATATACACTCACGACCAGCAGCGATTTTATTAGGGCATTGATTAGCATAGTGGCCTATTTATTAGGTTAGTAAGTGCATTTACTTCATTTAAAGCCAAACAGACCGTGTTGTCCACACTGTTGGGTCGTATGTTAGATATTGTACTACGAAAATAGAATACTCACCTTGAAACATAGGATATTTTCTAATCCACGTCGCACCTGCGCGTTTTGGTTATCGCGTGGCTTTTGATTAACATTTCTAATGAATGGTTCACCTGGACCTGAACCAGTGTTTGGAGTAACTAAAGACTTTTCACCTCTGTACGATTGTGGTCTACCATGAGAGACACCGCCTGGACCAATACCGTGGGCTATACCTTGACCAGGTTCACCACCGAAACCAGCACCAAATCTACGGGATTCCCAAGGTCCTCTTTCGTACGAGTAACCCATGTATCCAGGTGGTGGACCCAATTCTTCGTCTGGGACTGGTGGTGGATCTGCATCCTCGAGTGTGTATCGTTCAGGTAGTCTTGATTTTGGACTGTATGTCGTTCTTAATGGAGGGTTGATAAACAAGAAGTAAACTTACTGTCCACGAGCACAGTATGGTCCATCTGGACAATATCCAGCTAAGTATGCTGGACACGCTGCCCGCCGTATGTGCTTGAATGGACAATATGGTCCTCTCCTGCAAAAACCTCGCAAATACTCTGGACACTCGTTCTTTCTACCTTCCAAACTTGTATGTCTGTATAAGCATTCTTCTCCGTTAGCGCACCATCCCCATTTGACGAACCACCAGCATTCAGGCATTTTCCTCAAATCATATTCGTGGAGAAATTCGCATGCATCTCCCTTTTTACACAATCCTCTCAGCCAATGCTTACATACTGTGACAGCGCGTCTTTACTTGGTCAGTTGGATGTATGCTTTGTAGAATATACTCACTCTCTCTCACGTAAGTTTGTAGGAAGAGGCGGAATTGGTTCAAAGTTCTTTGGTGCTGGGTCTGTGTGTCTATAAGGACAGTTGTTGCCTCTAGGACAACCCATTGCTGTTAGATTATCTTGACATATCTGCGAATCTACTGATATCAGCTGGCTAGCTGGTCTACACAACAAACTAACCTCTATCTAGCTTCAACCCCAGCTCCTGCTTAGCGTATTTCTCTAGCTGGAAATTGAATTTATCAAAATTCGCTAGAGTTATCGTCATAGTTGAGTGTATAAAAGTAAAAGTGAAATATAAATTTAATTTACAATTTTCCAACTAATTTTATTACCTGCCATGAATGGTACGACAATGTTATCGCCTTTTGTGTACTCAATTGGTACTACATTGTCTTCTTTTACCAATTTCACAGGCTTACTATCAGCTTTTGGTTGAATTTGATAGAATGCTCTACCATTTTTACTAACAAATCCTTCGAGGTTATCGAGTGCTCCGAATGATTCCAAAAGGTGTGCACAAAGCGGGATTAATATCGCTGAAGTGAACAAACCAGCTGCACAAGCGCAAGCAGGTACGGATTCTTGAGTTTCAGCAATAAATCTTGGAGCTTTATTCAATTTGTTTGCTCTTGGGTGAGGAGCTGAATCAGAACCCAAGAAAAAGCGTGGATGTCCTTCAAATTTTCACGTCAAAATGATACTAATCTTCAATAGACCAACTAACCTTCTCTGATGACATCGCGGAGAGCATTTCTGTCTTCCCAGTATTTTGCTACTGGCTTGCAGAAGTTGAAACCCTGTCCAGCCCAATCGTCTACTATGAGTTGAAGGTGGTGTGGTGTAATAGAGCATCCAACGTTATCTGGTAATGACTTGACTTTCTCTACAGCAGCCTTCGTAGTGGCATGTTCAACTACAATACGTAATTTAGGGAATGACCTTGCGAGCTTATCAAGTTGTGGTAAAAAGCGTTCCTCTGCGTTTAAAACGGTAACGCCAGTTTCTTCAGAGGAAGGTACTTCACCGTGTAAGTTAAGGACCATGTTCTCCTGTTCCATAGCTTCGAAAACAGGATAATAAACTTCATATGACTCAATTCCACCATCGGAATTGGTTGTGACACCCCTAGGATAGCTTTTAACACCTGTATCTGTTAGAGTGATAGTGTTAGGGATGCAAACAAACCTGTTATGCCATTAGCAGCTGCTTTACGTATTTCTTCTGGCGTGAGTGAAGGTGATAAGTAAAGTGTCATAACAAATTGAACGTTCTTGGCTAAAGATTGCAACTTATTACGATATTCTACAGCCATATCAGTTGTAGTAATAGGTGGTTGAGTGTTTGGCTATCATTGTTACAAATATCGTAGATATCGATTAAGAACCTACCATAACTAAACAAGTTTCTACACCGCCTTCACTGACGAGTGGTGTAACCAAATCTGACATCTCAGACTGCCTTAGATGGCAATGGAAATCTGCTGGTGGTAATAAACTGATTTCTGACATATCGACGTAGAGGAAGAACTCCTTCAACTCGAACGACGAAGACCAAAAAATGGATTTACTCTCAGAATCTTTGAAAGGAAGATTATTATTTGCTATACCAAAGAAAGGTTAGTTTATTATCAATTACTATCCATACCAACTTTCCATAGGCCGTTTATATGAGAAATGCATTGAATTGTTATCTGGTGCAGACATACAGTTCACCAGATCAAACAGATTAGATATTGCTCTCTCACGTAACCACAATTTAGCTCTGTAGGTGTCTGCACTTCTCGGTTTGCAGATCACTTATCCCCGATAGCGTCTTCCTTCCCGCATCAGACATCCCTAGATTCGTCGGAGAAGGTAACGTAGCACTTGGTATCACCGGCCAAGATATGATAGCTGAGGCTGCCGTCGAAAACCTCGTCACAGAGGTTTTACCACTCGGTTTTGGTAAATGCAGATTACAAATCCAAACACCTGAGCGTGGTCCTTTACAAAAAGTAGAAGATTTAGCTGGAAAGACTATTGCAACCTCCTTCGAAGTCCTCTCAGGTAAATTTTTCTCAAAACTCGATGAACAAAGAGGAGACGGTGTATCTACAAAGGTTGAATACCTCGATGGTAGTGTAGAAGCAGCTTGTACATTGGGTGTTGCCGACGCAATCGTTGACTTGGTTGAATCTGGTGAAACTATGCGTGCAGCTGGATTGCACGCTATCCACACATTGATGACTTCAGAAGCTGTTCTCATCCAATCCAACAAGAAAGTACAAAATGAAGATCAAGAATTACTCATAAAGAAGATCATTTCACGTATAAGAGGTGTCATGGCTGCTAAGAAGTACGTTTTGTGTAATTACAACATCGAACGTAAGCACCTCGATGCGGCCATCAAATACACACCTGGTAGAAGAGCGCCAACTGTTAGTCCACTCGAAAATGAAGGCTGGGTAGCTGTTTCTTCGATGGTTGAAAGAAAGCAATTGGCAGAATCGATGGACGGATTAGAGAACAGCGGTGCCCACGACATTTTAGTTATTGCACTCGACAATTGTAGAGTTTAATTGTAGGATTTATAAAATAAATTTTTTTATTGGCTTAAACCGTCAATTGAGAAGACATCCTTATCGGGGTACACATAGGACGAAAAAATGATAATTAAGAGAGGAATCTGTAGTTCTAATAGATTGAACAAATTGAACAAGTACTCCTACATGGTCACAGAGCCAAAGTCTCAAGGTGCTTCTCAAGTGAGTTTCGCATTTCGGACTATGTATGACTCAGCTTACAGTACATTCTATAGGCTATGTTGTACGCTACAGAGGGTATAGAAACCGACAAGGACCTCACAAAACCAATGGTTGGTGTCGCCAGTATCTGGTATGAGGGTAACCCATGTAACGCTCACCTCCTCGGACTTGGACAACGTATCAAAAAGTCAATAGCGAATGCTGGTATAACCGGATATCAATTTGGTGCACCAGGTGTTAGTGACGGTATCTCAAATGGTACATTCGGTATGGCGTATTCCTTACAATCAAGAGATTTAATAGCAGATGCCGTCGAGAGTACAGCAGGTGGACACTGGTTAGACGGTATGGTTGTCGTACCAGGTTGTGACAAGAATATGCCAGGTGTTTTAATGGCATTGGGTAGACTCAACAGACCTGGTTTGATGGTTTACGGTGGTACAATCAAACCAGGTAGCTGTGGTGGTGAAAAATTAGATATTATTTCTGCTTTCCAAGCATACGGAAAATACTTGGATGAAAAATCTACAAAGGAAGCAGAAGAGAAGCGTTATCAAACCATTAGAAACGCATGTCCAGGTCCTGGTGCTTGCGGTGGTATGTACACTGCGAACACTATGGCTTCAGCTGCAGAAGCCTTGGGTATGACATTACCAGGTTCCTCTTCATTCCCTGCAGAATATGACGAAAAGAAAGCCGAAGCCGACAGCGTAGGTGACGCAATGATGAACTTATTAGTAAACGACATCAAACCAAGGGATATCATGACTAAGGCAGCTTTCGACAATGCTATCACTCTCACTATGATCCTTGGTGGCTCCACCAATGCTGTACTTCACTTGATTGCAGTTGCACACAGCTGTGGAATTTCAGTTACGATCGATGATTTCCAACGTATCGCTGAAAAGACACCATTCATCGCTGATTTGAAGCCATCTGGTAAATACGTTATGGAAGATTTACACTCATTGGGTGGTATTCCAAACGTATTAGGATACCTCATAAAGAAGAATTATATCAATGGAGACTTGCTCACTGTAACAGGAAAGACAATGGGTGAGAACATTGACAGATGGCAACAAAAGTACGGTGCATTACCAGATAATCAAGAAATTATCAAACCAATTGAAAAGCCAATTAAGGAAACAGGTCACATTAGAATTTTGAAAGGAAACATTGCACCAGGTGGAGCAGTTTCAAAGATTACAGGTAAAGAAGGTCTTCACTTTACTGGTAAGGCTAGATGTTTCGACAATGAAGAAGATTTCGTCACTGCAGTTGAACAAGGTACATTCAAAAAGGGTGAAAAAGTTGTTGTCATCCTTCGCTACTTGGGTCCAAAGGGTGGACCAGGTATGCCAGAAATGTTGAAACCAACTTCATTGATTATGGGTTACGGTTTAGGTCACGATATCGCATGTTTGACAGATGGTAGATTCTCAGGTGGATCACACGGTTTCGTAACTGGACACATCGTTCCTGAAGCATTCGAAGGTGGACCAATTGCACTCGTTAAAGACGGGGATGTCATTTCTATCGATGCAGTTAAGAATACATTGAACGTCGACGTCACAGATGAAGAATTGAGAGAAAGAAAGGAAAAGTGGACACCAAGACCACCTAGAGTTACACAAGGCGTGAGTTATAGCTATATTACAATGAAACCACTTACTAATATTTACAATAGACACTCTACAAGTATATAAAGAATGTTGGTGATGCTTCACATGGTTGTATAACAGACGCTTAAAAAACGATTAATCGCTTAAATCATCTTGTTCTTGTTGTTTTATTCTTTTAGAGATTTCATTCTCGATTAACTTTTCTTCTTCGCCGTGGATATCTTTGTAGTGGGTCAGACGATCATTTAGTTGGTTCTGTAGATCTTCTATAGCTTCCAGAGTGTTTTCTTTTTTAGATTCAAGAGTAAATGGCTGGTCTACAGACAAATTAACAAAAGCAGAGGTCATGGTGTGTGTACAAGAGCAAAAAGAGAAAATCAAGAAATGATATTGTTATTAACAGCAGTATCCCAGCACCTCTCTATTTGTAAGAGCGGTATATCCACTAAAAAGGTGTTAAATTGTTATCCATATGCCCCTTGTACTTACAATTCAAGCATTCCACCAGACTCTCTTTTATTCTTGCCTTTGTAGTCGGCGTCAGAGTACCAGCTTGGTTAGATAGACTGGCTATCGTGATCAGATCGTTTAAACTGTCGACGAATTCAGATGCACCGTGTAGACCTTGACTGGAGTATACGCTAGCATAACGCTTTGGTAGATCCTCAATTTCGTTCGTTATTAAAAGATTTATGTCCATAGTGGGTATAAGTTATATTACAGATAAAGCAGTGTCACTCCATAGTTCGGTCATTTAAATGCATTACACTATCACGGGTCCACTATCAAGAGCGTAACTGACTTGACCTGAGTTGATCATTATGCAAAGCGCTATGTAGTTATCTGATTGTAAGAATTCTTATTTAGCTATACACTTTCATAGTTCTTTCGTTTAGTCTTATAATATGCATTATCTGACATGACGAGAAAACAGATTAATGAATAGGAGTATAATTATGTATTTTACTACCATTATAATAGCCAACCATTCCTAGATCTACTCTTCTTTGTTAACAACCACCACGAGGGATGGATTATAGTACAGATTTGGCGTCAATAGCAAAAGATCTGCTTAACCCATCGGAACCTGATTATGCAGTTGTACGTGGCTATATCACCTATATACACAGCAATCTAACGCGCTAATCAAGCAATCAGCAAACCACCAAAATCGCGAAAGAGAAGATGACAACGTTTACGCGGTGTTACAAGGTATGATAAACACAGCCCAAGAAGATCCGTATTTAAATGGTAAACGCCGGGGCGACCTTCTGGAAATGCATACACGCTCAGGTAGACGCGTACAATCTAGCTCGAATAAGCGATTTAAAGCTGAACAAGTCGATAACGCTCTAAATCCATTAAATTTACTATCTTATAATCTACCATCAGAAGATGAGGAAGATGAAGATTACGATATGCCAGCTAAATCGCCACCAATTATACCAGGAAACATACTACAACAATACCAATCATTTGACGCTATATCTGACAACAACAAACCACCGTCTGAGCCAAACAAGAGGGGCAGAAAGAGGACAGAGGGTACAGACGAGGAAAAGAGAGTGCGTAGATTGGAACAACAGCGAGCGGCAGCTGCCAGAGCGCGTAAGAGTAAGAAAGAGGAATTGAATAAAATTGAAAAAGACAATGAACAACTAAGATATGAAGCGAAAGTAGCGAACGATCGTATAACAAGTCTCGAAAAGGAGCTCCGGGAAGCTAAACTACATATATATAAGTTAGAGAATGATAGGTTAGCCGTTAAAGGACAAAACGGACAACGTCATCCTGCTGTTAAGAACCTCATAGAAGCTGTACAGTCACTTGTGAAAGCAACCGACGGCGATGACTACGAAGTCTTAGACAAAGTTGATCAAGAGGAGGCAGCTCTTACAGATGATGATGATAATGATAACGAGAGTAATTGATGTACATAATTATTTATTTATTACCGCTTTTAGTTTCTCCTTTACTTCTTACTTAACAAATGTCATCATCAAACGCGACCGAAAGACTGAAAGAGGTACTCAAAAGGGAAGAGAACAAGAAATGCGTTGATTGTAATGCACCACAACCACAATGGGCGTCACTTAACAATTGCGTATTCTGTTGCTTGGAATGTTCCGGCAAACATAGAGGTCTGGGTGTACACATTTCATTCGTGAGGTCAGTATAGCGATATACCATGTGTATTTAGTAACCCATTATAAGATCCACCAACATGGACGCTTGGAAAGATGAACAAATTGGAAGAATGGAGGTAAGCTTGGGATTCTTCGTGGATATCAACTCTAACCTAATTTAGTTGTTTGGAAATGGCAAATTTAGGGAAGTCATCGAGAAATCATCCACGCTCTCACAGTCTACGCCAATCGAAGAGAAGTACACTTCGGAAGAAGTCGAAAAGTACAGAGAAGAAATAAACGCGATAGCGGCGGAGAAAGGCTTATGGTTACCAGCTCAATCACCTGCAACTACACGTACCAATAGCGATAATAGTACTCAAACGAGAAGAAGAAGGAAGGATGAGGTAGCTGCTGCGACTGGTGGGGCCGCGATAGCCGCAGGTGCAACTGCAGAAGCTACATCTAATGTAGATTTACCAAGTACAGCCAAAAATGAAGAATACTTTGAAAAACTCGGCAGAGCCAATGAAACAAGATCAGAGGAATTGCCGCCATCGCAAGGTGGAAAATACACTGGATTCGGAAATGCGCCTGCACCAAAATCAGCTTTGAGTTCAGATAATGTACCAACTGTTGACGAATTGAGAGAAAATCCAATGGAAGCAGTCACAAAGGGCTGGGGTTTGTTTAGCTCAGCTATTGGCGGTGCAGCCAGTGCGTTCAGGAGTACAGTCGATGACAAACTTTCAGATCCTAACATTGAGAGCGATTTACAAGGTTATAAAGACAATTTGTCTTCTTACTGGAACAAAGCAACGGAATACGGAAATGCAGCAAACGAATGGACAAAAAAAGAACTAGAGAAGCAATTTGGTAATCAAGCTAGTGGTAGTGCTAACAAATATTGAATGTAAAAATTTTGTAGAATGTATAACTTTTTACTACTCAACTTCGATGACGAAATGGTAAATGACATTATAGTAGCAACGGAGAACCTTAGGACGTTCATAAGTAAGAGGGACAGTACTAGCAAATTTAACAAAGTCTATATTGACGTATATACCTCATACAAGTTGGTAAACATCCGAGATAAAACTATAGAAGCCGAGCTCGATAAATCAAGGAGGTGTTATCTAGATAAGCTATCAACTGAGCTAGTCACTGCATTTGGTTTGTTACCTCCTAACAAAGCAAACGAGTTGCTATACAAGTCATTAGAGCAATTGTTAGCTGCATTGACGGACTTTATAAAGAAAATATACAGTCAACAGAAGAATTCGCGCAATAAATTACAAAAGAAGAAGTTTGAGAATGAATGGATAATAGTAGACTAGCTTCTACTAGCCTTTATCTACAATTTGTCTACAATTGGTCTACAATTTCTTCAATTTCCCAAGCACCAACCCATTTAACAATTGAACACTTCAAATTTCCCTCCTTTTCTATTCTATTTATTAACGGACGTGGATATCTAGCCAAGGCCGTGTCTTGTTGACGTAGATGAAGTAGCGGACAATAATCATTACCACCATCACCAACATAGAACACTTTTTTATAGTTTGACCAACCACCTTTAGATTCTACATATCTTTCCAATTCTTCACCTATTTATCTATGGTTATTGTGTGTACTTTTACTTGAATAGACAATCCTTACCTTTGCACATATTTGGTGAGCAGCCGACGACACACTTGTGTTGTTCACCGTTTGGATCGACACGTCTCTTTAAATCTAAACAGCCGTCTTCTGTCCAGCTTGCTCTGTTGGTAATGATAGAGTCAAACAAGTGTGTTATCTTATGATGCTCAAGGATAGTCCTGATGTAAACTTCGTTTGAGTTTGAGAGGATAACGAGGTCAATGTCCTTATTACGCTCTTTAAGGTTGATTAAACCTCTCTTCATAGCAGGGTGAAATGGCATTTGACGGAGAGATTCCTCAACTTGTTCCCTTGTGATACCATCAGCATGCAATTCCTTCATTTTCATTGCGACTAAATCGGTCCATTGTACTGTAGATTTCAGTGATTTCATCTGTCTTCTCTTTTTTGGATCGAGTACTTCGAAGACCCAGCGATCCTGTATATCGGAATTAGTGTGTTTATAATACGTTGAACTATACTTACGGTATCCTGCTCGGATAAAGACCTTATTTGTTAGATGAAAATAGCTCATTTCGGACTTGACTTACCAATCGAACTAATTAGTAGATAATTAGTATATGTCTTTGGTTATCTTCATATTCTACTCACATCAAAGGTAATGAGCTGCTTTGACATTTTCTAATAGCTACCTCCTCTAGAAATTACTATCTAGTTTAAGAGAAGAAAGCTTCAAAATGGAAATAAAAGTTTCTTACAAGAAGCAATCGGGAAATTTAAATTTATTAGATGATAGATTAGAGTTTAGTAGTCAGAATAGCTTCAATTTGAACTATAGTAGATTACTTAGTGAGTTAAAGTAGTAATCAACAACTCAAGCTAACATACATCTTAAGCATTGTTTGCTAGTAAACAAGGATCAACGCCAGTCAGGCTCAAATTAGATCTTTCAGACCCACAACAGTCTATCACTTTTACTTTTATACATCCCACTCATGCCTTATCACAAAGGGAACACGTTAAGGATAGACTATCGAACGCTATAGCAAGCAATAGGGCTAGTTCATCAAGGCAGGTTGAATCTCAGCTTACTTCCACCACACCTACGACACGTTCTTCTACACCTGGTTTGGGATTATCTAAGGACGATTTAGAAATACGCAAAAAAGTACTTATTAAAGATCCACAGTTGGCGAAATTACATAAAGATTTAGTTATCGCAGGTATAATTGATGAGAATGAGTTCTGGCAGGGTAGACAGCAGCTATTGCTGCTTGAACATCTATCACAATCACAGAAACCAGGTAAATCTTCGACATTGGTAGATCCACGACCAACATCATCACAACCTGGTGAATTCACAATTACAATTACACCACAATTGGTCCATGATATCTTTCAAGAATACCCCGTAGTACAAAAAGCATACGTTGAGAACGTACCAAATCCATTGAACGATAATGATTTCTGGATTCGTTACTTTCATTCACATCTTTTTGCTAGACATAGAGCTAGTTCAAGACAAGACGCGAATGAAGCGCGTAATGACCCAATTTTTGATCAATATTTAGAAGAAGCAGATGATGGAGTTGAACCAAAGCATAAGCAGAGAGGTGTATATGATAAATTAATAGATCTCGGTAGCACACAAGAGGATCACAAAGAGACTGGTAATGCTTTGGATATTACAATGCAAGCGGGTAAAGTTAAAGCTGCTTTACCACTCATGAGAAGATTTAACGAGCATTCCATGAGGTTGTTAAGTACGACTGTTGGTGATGAAGAGGGTGCTCATGATAATGATTATAATAATCAAATCACTATTGATGATCTTCAAGAACACCAATTACCTCAACCTATACGACTCAATATGCAAAACAGTGAACAATATTACACCTCTAATATAGTGACGACAGGCGATTACCAGCAATCTTCACAATTGGATAGCAAAACAATCTGGGATGATATAAAGAACAACCTCGACGAATGGGATGTTGTCATCACATTGGAAGACATCAAAGACACAAAAGACGCCCAAACGGAAGTTGAGAAGATTTTATCTGCTAATGCAGAAATTGCATACAATGACATAAACTCTAATGAAATATCAAATAGTGATATAATGAAAGCAGCTATAAATTGTCATACAGCTGCAACAGAATTTTTGAGATTATATTGGACAACAGTATTGAGTTATCCGATTGACATCCCAAAAGTAAACAAAATGATAGATTATATAAACAAAACACCGCAGAAAGTCGACGCGATTGTCAGATCTGCGTCTGCTATGAATCAAGGAGACTTGATCAGACAGGCGTTGCAACCTGTAATGAATGGTGTAACGAAAGTGAAAGAATATGAACGTAATAGAGCTAATTAATTGTATTTATATGAAGATAACGATATTCTATGACGTGATGACTGAAAAGAATTATGCTTGTTTACTAATAAAGTAATGCTAATTAGGTTTATTGCTATATTTCGTTATCATTTCGTCAATCGGTATTCTCTTCCTATGCTAGCTTGTTTTTAAACAATGAGACAATAAATCATAAATATCATATAGCACAAATATCTATACATTTTAACGTCCCCATTTACAATATCCAAATAACTGATAGAATTTACACGTACTTTCTAGGAAAAAAACGATGTAACGTTCAATTGCAAGTCCAATTTTAAGGTCAAGCACACGGTAAGTAAAGATGGCAAAGAGTATCAGGTGAGACAGCGCTATTGCGCCTAAAATAGATATACCGAGCATCTTGAAAACATACATTGTGACTTGGAAACCAGTTTCTTCCTGAACTTGTTTTTCTTCCTTCGGTGATATGTTATCATTCTTACGTTTTTCAAATTCCTCGAAACGTTTCTCCAGTCTGTTTACCTTCTCATTGATATCTTCAACTTTTTCTGTGATCGTAGTCATAGTCTAACAATATATAACGTACTGCCTCGTAGTTTCGATCTTGCAGTAATAATTATTCTAATCCAGATGTTACTCACATTCCAACTCATCTTCTGTCCCGATGTGAATATGCCGATGATATTAAAACGGCAGAAACATTATATCGTGGACACACACAAAGCTTTAGATTATACGGATATGACTTGAAATATAACAAATACGATTCATTATTTTCTTTGATATCTCACTCTTACTTCTTCCATACCGTCATATGGCGTCAATAGTCGTACCGATTGGCTACAGCGGTAGCAGCTGTGGATATTGTGGTGAAGCTGGACAACGTTCGAAGAAGAAGGAAAGCTACAGCTATGGTTTCTGGGCTGTACAATTGAGTTGCAAGGTAGGTACTGTAATAGAAACTTTCGTACCTAAATAAGTACGCAAGGATTATAAAGATTTGATAGACAGTGGATGGAGTAGGTTATATATCCAATAAATTAATCCTCTAATCAACTTACAAGGAAGAAGTGGTGCTTACGTTTATGTAAGTCGTTTTTCGGGATTACCAACATCCAACTTAGTCAAGAAAGAATCCAGATAGATCACGTACCTGTTGTCCTCAATACACAATCAAATTGGATGTACAAAACTTCAAAACTCCTCGAACACAGCGACAAGAATTGCATAGATTCAATAGGTGGATAATCAAAGATGAACATCCTGTATTCAAAGGAGAGCATAAGGGTACTGCTAAGAGTGATGATACAGGTGAAAATATGGATATTGAGATTCCAAGGTGTGTTAATCACTGTGTAATGTTGTTTTAACACAAGGACCAGTAAACCTGATATCGCTTCGGCCGTTGATTTCAAGAAATTGGAGGAGGTAACAGACAGCACACAAGGGGATGGTAAAGGTCAGGATCCTGTCACAGTTTCCAAACACCGTGGTAGCAAATCAAAAGGGAAGAATAACACGTTTGATTTACTAGATTGTGTTCAGGAAGCACAGAACAATGGCGACGCTAAACATAAACTTGAGGTGTGTGTCCTTGCAAACAATATGTATTCTATTAACATTTAATAGGTAACGATTGAACGCGCATCATACACGGAGGAAAAATACGAGCTTTTCAAGAAGTATCAGACGACTATTCATCATGAGACTATCAAAGAGCAACGTAAATCAAGTTTTAAAGGCTTTCTAATTGATGGTCCACTTAAATACACTCCAATCAGCTATTCTAATGGTAGATTAGCACATCTTCCTTCGCATTATGGTCAATATCATCATATGGTACGCATCATCGACTTACATAATTGTCAGCTAACTGAATATTCAAGTATCGCGTTGATGGGAAACTTATAGCAATGGGTGTCATTGATATCCTTCAGGGATGTGTTTCCTCAGTATACCTGATGTACGATCCAGCATATCAAGCACTGAGCTTAGGCAAGGTTGGTACCTCTTAATCTAATTACTCAGCTTATGAAATCCAAGATCAGCGCCCTGTTTGAGATATCGCTCGCCGCGGAAATGACAAAGGCAGGAGCAGGCAAGGTTGACTTGTATATGGGTGCGTCGCTGTCGTTAGTATGGTAATTCTGACATAATTAAAAGGATATTATATTCACGACTGCGTCAAAATGAAGTACAAAGCGACGTATCAACCATCATACCTCCTTGATGCAGTGTGTGCTCTCTCATAATCTTTACTAAATGACTAATCGCGTGAAGGTGACGAACGAATTTTATCCATACAAAGAATCGTCGGATGTCTTGGAGAAGTACAGATGGGCCTCATTTGCTCAGTCGAAGAGTATTAAAGTTGCTGCTGAAGACAATAAAGACGATCATGGTAGTGATGAAGAAGAGGATGAAAACTTGCCAGTACCATCGCCTGCTGGCTTCCTTAATCCGCGAGATTTGCCAAGAAGCTTGCTGAACAATGTCAAGATCCTAGATAATTCATCTATGAGTTTGTTGACATACTTTGTAGGTGGTGATTCGGTTCTTGAATCCCTTTTCTAATTATCTATAGACATTACCACGCAGTTTTAGACCACAGATAGATGATTTAGTTGCTGCATTGGGTAACAAAGCCTCTAATTTTATCATTCTGGTTACTTAAAGACTTAAAAATACATGCCGCATTCTATGTATGTTAAAGGATCTAGTGTTCTCAATCTATATATGCATTTAGACTACCATCAATATTATATCCAGACGTCTTTGTCGTTCCCTGTACATCCGAGTCATATTAGAAATATTGAACACCACAGGTATAAAAAGTCATGTATTTGGTTTTTTGCGCCTTTATTCCACTCTTTCACAACTTCCTGTTTAGTAATGTAATCAAGATCGCTGACAATAAATCAAATTACGATTGAAGTATGCTTTATTTGTTAAACTATGGCGTTTTATATTTGCTTAGCCAGATTGTGATTACAGTTGGTAGTATCACAATGATGTGAACACAGAGAGGAAACAATCAGCCAATGCTGATATATAAAGAGCAAGAATATCTCTTTTTCTTCTACATAATTCAGATATGTATTTCAACATCGCTAAAGCCACTGCTGTTCTCGCCTTCACTGCTGCTATCGCTTCTGCAGCTGCCACACCTCACACTGGTGTTCGTCGCGGAGACGACAAGGACTACGGAAAGTCAACTAAGGAGTACTACGGAGAAGGTCAGAAGAAAGACTACAAAGATGGCAAACATGAGGAGGATTCATATGCCAAGCAACTCAAGAAGCATGAAGAGGAAGTTGAGAAGCAGCTCAAATTGACAAAGGAGGCTGCAGAGAAGAACAAAAAGGGTGCTGACGTGGGTATATCTGTCACAGCGTTGTTCTTTTCTCACTCAATTCTACAGACAAAGCACAAAGACAAGAAATACAGAAGAGGTGACAAGGAAGACGACAAAGATGGCAAACACGATGACAAGAAGTCAACTGTATACCAGAAGCCATCCTCGACAAAGTCAGGTGAATATGCCAAGTTCACTGACTACTGGAAGTCAAAGTATGATGACAAAGACGACAACAAGAAAGACAAGGAAGATGACAAGAAGGAGGGCAAGGACGTCAAGCAAGATGACAAGAAGGCAGGCTATGATGACAAGGATTACTATAAGAATCTTCAAGCCCAAAAGCAAAACACTAAGGAATACGAAGAGGCTGTAAAGAAGTATGGTATCAAAGATGACAAGAAGGACGTCAAGAAGGATGACAGGAAGGATGATAAGAAGGATGACAAGTACGACAAGGGTGTCAAGAAGGATGACCACAAAGATGCCAAGAAAGATGACAAAGATAATGTGGATCATGAGAAATACGACAAGAAGCACGACAAAGCTGACAAAGCTTCTTACAACAAGGAATAATTAATTTAATCGATTTCTTGTAAATTGTCTCTGACATTGAATGTTTGTTTTTATCAATATGATGCTCTATTACGTATGTTGATTCACTTTTCGGAAATGAGAAGTGGAATTTTGATATAGAAAACTAAAAGTAAAATGTAAAAGTGTAAATATAAACCAAACCATTAAGATCTAAAAATTAGGTAAATTTATTAAACGGAAACATTATGAAAAACAAAATATATATATAATCGACTGCGTGATTCTAAGGTACGGTAAAATCCACCGGATCACCTGAATTTTCAAATCAAAAGAAAAGATGCGCGTATATGGATAGTAATAAGAATAAAGTAGAGTTGAAGTGAGTAAGAGGTCTATTTACATCGTATAACATGCAGAAAGATACACGAATTAGTTCACTTAAAGAAAGAGGTAAGTTATAACGAAAACAGAGACAACGATACCTGCGACCATTTGTAATGGTACACCTTCAGTTTGGTGTGTCGCTGTAGCTGTTGTGAATCCAGATGATGATTGTCTCATTTGAGTTAATTCTTGCTCGAGTTGAGCAATACGTTGTTTAGCTTCTGGGAGTGTTTGGATGTCATTACTGTCATTACGTATACCAAGACCTCTCTTTATGTCATTTTCAGGTACTGGTGGTAAATGTGAAAGAGGTGTAGACTCTTGTGGTAACTCTGATGCTTGTTGATATGGTGTAGCTGTGATAATTGGTGTAGTACCGTATCCATTTTGGGTGTTTGAAGACTATTAGACGTTAGAAAACTCTAGCGTATTAACTGAGACTCACATTCGAGCGCGCGGCATCACTCATTTGTAGATCTTCCTCGCCGACAGTTTCAAATTGTGACATCTTCCAGTTGCAGCGAATCTTTTGCTCAATAATAGCGTTCTTGTCTTCACGTTCGACATTCAACCACTAGACGCCAGTAAGTTACTATCATCAGTTCTAGTAAATACTTACAAAGTCAGCAACCGAAAGTGATTGTCTGCTTTCGTTGATGTGTACAGATTGAACAAGGAACTTGTCCTTGCATTTAGCACCAATTGGTGGTGCGTCTTTCACCGCTTGTACGAGAACTGCGGTTTGTTAGAGTTGCCAAATGCAGATGCTATATCAAGCTAACCTTGTACGTCAATTGTCTGGCCTGGTTCGATTCTTCCAGCGTTAGGACGAACACAGTAACTCTATATTGATGCTAAGAATGTTTTCATGCTTTTATAATAGCAACTCACGCGTGGTGCTGTGGTTTTAACTTTGAATGCAACCGGGGTGGCCGTCTAGAGAGCTTATAAGCGACGGAGAAATCAGGAAAAAGTAAAAAGCCTACTGGGTTCTTAATCTTAAGGATTTCTTTATCAATTGCTGTACCAACTTTAACGTCTGGTGATGCGACCGGGCCTATTGTGTGAAGTTAGTAGGTCATTCAATTGATAGGAAGCAAAATCGTACGTGGAAAGATGAGCTCTTTAGCTGGTTCAAGTGTAACGCTCCTATAAAATAATTAGACGTGTTTTCTTATTTTTATTTCTCATTCTCACATTTTATGATGACTGATGTTCTACAAAGGTCAGTAGGACGAAATTGGAAGTTAAGACTATAAAAGTAAAAATATAAAAAAATTAATTTTAAACACTCTATTACAATTATTTCACATAATTACACAATCTGGGTCCTTCTTCGCCGTACCAACGGTGATACCCATTTCATTAAACGTTGCAGGTCCTTTTACAGGTCTTTGTAACGGTCTCGATGATTGACGTCTTTGGGTTTGATCGGGATTTATTTGTGGTGAAGGTAATCTACTATTACTTAATGGGTCTTGTATTGGTGTAGGCGCATCAACTAAGCTATATCTTGGAACATTCGAAGGTATGCTTAATTTTGGTACTTGGGCTCTTGGTTGTGGCACTTGCGGTACTGGTTGTACCGTCGACAGTGGTTGATTATGCAATGGCGGTGATTGATAGTCAACCGGACCTGCTGTTGAAGGCGCACTTATACTACCTTGCATATTAACTGCTTGTTGTGGTACCATTGGTTGTGGTTTTTCCATAGCATCATTATGTGATCTTTGACGACGTGCTTGTACTGATTCCGATTCCTTTTTGGCTTGTGTGCGACGACGTACTAACCTATCACCGACTATCTCGTTGTGTTCATCCCTTGACATTGGGTGAGCATCCTCTAATGCTGCTAACCTAGATGCAGATTCATCATTTCCATGCTCTGCAGCACGGGCATACCATTTTTTGGCGAGTGACAGATCGACAATACCTCCAACACCTACTTCATAGTAGTATCCTAAAGCGAATTCAGCTGATGGTAAGTTGCCTCTAGCTGCTTTCTCTGCAAATGTGAAAGCTAATTTCTCATCCTTGGCAAATGCTCCTTCGTGTCCACATAAGAACCATTTTGATAATGCCATATCGGCTTCAAATTCACCTAACTCTGAAGCCTTTGAATAGTACTGTATTGAGAGCAAAGGATCAAATTGACAACCTTGTAAAGCAAATTCATGATTTAATCCCATTTTGTATAATGCAGGTGGATATAAATAATAAGCAGCTCTTTCCAAGAAGATCTTTGCCTCAATCGCAGGTGGTTTGTCGGTAGAAGAGAGCAATAAAGAAGGATCGATTGAAACGTGATCATATTCTCCAGCTAAGATCATACCGAACACATATGCAGGGTTTGGCTGGTCAATGTTGGCTCTTTCAGCAGCTTGTCTCAATAATGGGATTGCTTTTTCTGGATCTTGTGCCAAATTGAGTTGACCTAGGAGGTAGGCAGTACCAATACGCTAAAAGTATTGAGTTAAATCCAAAGTATAAGTATTAACTTACGTAAAGAGATGAACAATCATTGAACTTAATACCACGTTGATAAGCATCAACAGCACGTCCAACGTCTGGAACTTGCTCATACTCTCTTCCGATTCTAAACCATGCAGATGCAAAACCACCTTTAGCAGCTGCTTCGAAATCACGGAAAGCTGCTCTTGGATCCCTTGGTCTGTGATCAGAATAAGCACCTGAGGATGTCATATCTGCACGTAAGTATAAAGCCTCAATGAGTACTGGTTTCGGTGTAGAATTTGATGAAGCAGCTAATGTAAGAATGACTTGAACGGCATGATCGACTAGTGGTGCGATTTTCTCCTCTTCTTCAAGGTTACGACGATCGTAAGGTACGCCAGTTACAGAAAGCGTACGCTCTCTGCGTTCAACGTACGATAAAACGTTCTTTGACCATTCTAATAGTTCAGCTGGTTGTGATTGCGCGCCTTTGCTATCGATGAGGGATTGTAAGTCTGGTAAGTTGACGGTAATAACTGGTAAGCCATGGATAGACGCGTCAGTTGTTGGATAGAGCATCGAAGGTGAGAATGTAGGTGGAGACATGTAAACAGACACGGGTGATGGCGGATCCTGACGTTGATTCATTGTTTGTGAAAGAGGTTCCCAGGTTGGATTAGAATGTGTCCTTGGTGGAATGATGACGTTAGGAGAGCCCGCTGTTTGTGTTTTAGGCTGAGCGTCGACCTTTAATTCGCCAAATGATGAATTCAGTGAGCTATTCTGATCTGATTGATTTTCTAAGTTGTATGCCATCTAAACGTGTTATTGAGCATGTAGTAAAGTAAATAATTAGCTAACTCACATCCTGTGGTATCTAAAAATACGTTCGTCAGCCTTGCGATCAAAGTTACGACAGCAAACTTACGGACGGCATCAATCTTTGAGGTTTAGGCGCAGCTAATGGACGTGATAGATGTGGTGCTTTCGATAGTCAGTAATAACCCAATTACTCTCGGCTTACTTACGTGGTGGTCCATTCGCAGAGTTAGCAGCCTGTGCAGCCTCCTGTGCTAAATCTGGTGGGAGCGGCGGAACTTGTGGTCCTTTGCTACCAGCTGCAGAATTCCTAGATGATATTTTTGGCCATCCCATTTCTAGGCTGTTAATATCTAAGTAGTTTAGAGTATAAACTAAAGATTACAATCAAAAAATATTAAAAATTATACAAATTGTTAAGCATTAGAGCTTACATTTTATTCTAGTCTATACATTAACTCTGCATTATATTTTCTCTCTCTTTTTATTTTTCAGTTACCGAACCTGATGTAGACGCGGACAAGAGACATCTATTCTGACACATATTGAAGTACTCATATATTCATATACTCATCAATAAGCTTTTTATATCGTTTGTAATATCTACCTGTTATGTCATAAACTAATCACTTGAACGACGCATGGTAACTGGAGATCCGTTTGAGACAGTACCCTCAAATGTCTACGTATCTTTTCATACCTTTTTATAGCTACCCTGACCTGCATGTATGAAGTCTTCACATTTCCGACGCGTAACCAAGCGGATGCAATCACACTTTTTTATAATGCACGAATATTAATATCGACAAAATAACGCAATAGAAAGGGTTATTGTGTCCATTTCAATAAATTATATTGAACTAATGGAATTTATGTGATTATATTCTCACTCAGTCGGTGTTATTCAGCGGTTTTTTTTTTATGGAAGAGGTAGGTATGTATGAATGCGAATCGAATGGAAGAATCAACTACAGCATTTCTCGTTCAATTTTTAATAAACTAACTATGTGATATTGACAAAAGTGACAAAGCTGGTAGGAGTAGTAATAAAATCTACCTTACATATTGCCGAATTGACAATACCATTACGAATTACCAGTGGCATTTGCACAATAACCTAAAATATCGGGCTGTGTGATCATAACTGAGTACCTCTCATATACCGCGTTATTTTAGTGCTTTTATAGCAAATACCATTCTTCGGGCATGAAAATTTGTATGCATACATATGTATATCTTAGAACGTGTCAATATTAGTTTGAAATTCGTCATTACATGTCATCGGAATGTACTAGACCAGTTCCTTGTGAATTTCTAAGCATGTCACCAATACCATTGTTACCTGAATGATATATATTGAAATATAACGTTGACTATAAACATTTATTAATTTGATAACAAATGCTAAAAAAATTATTAACATGTCCTTTGTTCAATTTGTGTTTAATTTTCAGGTATTTCGGCGTTGCACTGGGAATCGAACTCAGGATTTGAGCGCAGCAAAAAGAAAGAAAGATAGCAGCTAGTAGCTGAAGTTCGAAAAATTCTATAAGAGCATATTAAAGACAACGGCGTCACGGCCCGGGGAAAAGGCACGGGCCGTATTCACAACCGTTGCCTCACGCTCTACAGTGAAATATCGTTTTTCAGTAAGTAATTATCAAATACATTAACAAAAGGAAAGACCAAAAATTACATCGAAGGAATAAAAATCACTCGAAAAAATAGTGGAATTATTTTTAGGAGTATTTATTTCTGTTTTGGTGCTTATTGTCCAAAAACGACATCAAGAAAAACACAGGAGAAACTGTGAAATAAGGTAAAAAAAAAAGGTAAATGGTATACATTGGACGTAATGATTATTTTCTATCCTTCTAGACTTGTATTTTGCAAACAGAATCACGGGAAGCAAAATAGTAACTTTACAAGCTTTATAAATGATTACTGACTTGAATACCCATCAAGCCTAACCGAATAGGTTAGCTGTGTCTCTTGAAGTGGAACATCACACTATAACAGTACAACGGTTATTTATGGAAAGTTACAGAAGTTGAAGACTTTGATGAAAGACGTTATTATGAAAAAGTTAGTTTTATATATCGTATAGCTACAACAATCCAAGAATGTCCTTTGAATTTATGGCGTCCATTATTTAATAATATGATTGACCTAGCAATGTTATTTTAGTATTCTAACATTGGGTAAAGCTATCACACAAGACAAGCGCGTCTTTAGTGGAATGAAAACTCTCGAAATTATTCAGGTAAAAGATATTTTCTTACACAAACAACTAGATATACATAAAGTATCCCACGCAGTAATAGTTTAGAGAGAAATCACATAATTTTCATGGTATTGATCAAGAAACGCAAAATTTGCCAAGAGTATAACCATTCTAGTATAATACTGTTACGACAACGCCCTTTAACATGGTTCAAGTTATATCAATTATAACTACACAATGCATTTTTGTTTAACAGCAGTACCTCCCCCACTTGTCTAATCATCTGTTATAATCGTGTGAAGGTTTTTCTGATAAATTCATGAAATTCGTACCATGGCACATAACATCGTTATCGAATACATACATATTCCGACCTAAAGCTAGTTTTGTACTCCTCGAGTTTGATGACCATAAGCAATATGACGGTAGACAAACCAAATTGTAGACTCCACTATTTAAACTGATTACCCGAGGAATACAATTTCGTGCTTCAACATAAGTTCGTTGATGTCTAACGTCCGGGGGTGTTCATGGAAAGCTCAGACCCCTAGCGAAGTTGATGGAGAGAAGCGAAAGCTGAATGCATTACGCATGGAACTTTTACTGTATTTATATTATTTTATAAGCAAGTGACGAGGATTTGTCTTAATCTGCTGTGTACGTAGTTATTCGGATATGTCAAAATCTCGTACAAGATCAATAGCAACTTCCAATAAGGGAACAGAAGCTAGTACATAAGACTGGTATTGTTATATTATTCTACGCTTGTATGTGTGTGATTTATAGGAGTGCGATCGTCTTGCATTTGCGAAAATGTGATCAGACAAAATTACAATAACAAAATCAATCAAGTATGTGTATTTAATTTATAAGTAACTATCAGTGTAATAGCCTTCTGAAGAACGACCTATGATTCGCTAATTTCTCAGATTGCACGCGACGAGCTCGACCGAAAGTGGCAAGAGTGATAGATATTCTGCATAAATGTAGCATATTATAACTTGCATTTTAGCTAATTATTTTTACTTTTATTATGATTCTCCAGGCTGATATCCAAAAATTGCCTTTTGTGATCACCATCATCACTTTTGATTAGAAATGCAGTCGACGATCTACAAAGACGTTGATAAAGCTGTATCAAATGATAGTACTCCTCACACTCAGCCTGAGGTTGACTCTAGGCTCGGCTGGGGTGAAGAGGCCTCCAGAGTATATGAATCCACAAAGGAGAGGTGAGTTGTACGATGTGCATTAAGATATTCATCTCACAATACTTCAGATTGCTCTCTACAATCGGTAGCACGAAATCACTGCTCTCAGATATTCAGAATTTTAATTCCTCAGCTTGGACGATGCACTATCCTGGAATAGATTGCGAGCAGCCACAGATTAGCTCAAATTCACTCCATAGAACACTCTCCGCAGACGGCACCACAGGTCTTTCTACGAATGATCAACAAATTGTGGCTAACCCACCAGAAATGCAGGTCCTCAGACTGGATCTGAAGTTAGGCGCATCTTCAGCTCATCCAAGTGCGCTTGTTAACAGCCTTGAGAAATCTTCCATCGCCACTCTCCTCGATTCGCGCTTGACAAAGTCTTCACAACATTTAGAAGCCTTATCAACCAGAATAAAGGATACTTCATCAAAGGTTTTAGTCACAGGTGATTTGAACAGTGGTAAATCAACCTTTGTCAATGCCATTCTCAGACGTAACGTCATGCCTTCAAATCAACTTCCTACAACGACTTTATTCTGTGAAGTACACCCAGTTGAAGAGCATCCAGAGAAGATTGAACAAGTTCACCTTATTAAGTCCGTCCGCGATGCTTACTCACCACACGATGAATCCACCTTCAAGCCATATGCATTGGAAGATTTAGAAATTCTTTGTGAAGAAAACGAGACCAATCCAAATCCACCTCTTCTTAAAGTATACCTCAACGATCCAAGGTCAGCTAACAACAGCTTGCTCTCGAATGGTACCGTCTCCATCTCACTCATTGACGCTCCTGGTCTTAACCTCGACACACTCTCAACAACCGCACTTTTCGCTCGTCAAGAAGAGATTGATGTTATTGTCTTTGTTCTCAGCGCTGAGAACAGATTAACACTTTCAGCCAAAGAATTCTTGGTTAACGCGAGTCATGAAAAGGCATGCGTCTTCTGCGTCGTAAATGGATGGGATAGAATTAGCGAGAAGAACAAGGAAAAGTGTAAGAAGGGTGTTCTCGATCAATTAAAGAGTATTTCACATGAGACTTGGATGGATAGAGAAGAACTCGTCCACTTTGTTGACTCCACAAGTGTTGAAACTGATCAGGATATGGATAATTCATCACGTTTCGCTAGACTTGAAGAATCACTCAGAAACTTCGTTCTTTTCAATCGTCAAAAGTCAAAGCTCGCACCTGCAGCCAGATTCTTATCACATTTATTATCAGATGTTGAATTACTCTCTAAAGCAAATGTGAAAGTTGCAGATGAGGAACTTGAAGCAGCCAAGAATGAACTTATTCGTGTCAAGCCAATTCTTGAACAAATGCGTGAGAAGAGAGAAAGTTTACAAAATGAGTTGGAAAAAATTGAGAATGATGCAGTTGAAAAGCTCGGCAAATACACTCGTAAAGAGATTGAAAATGCTCTCAATGAAATTGGTAATGGTCGTTTAGCTTCAGATAAAGTTAGTATGCCAGTTTACCAAGGGCTTTTATCTATATACCCATACGCACGCGCTGTCAAGCATGCACTTCTTGAATCACTGGATATTACCATTAAGGATGTTGAAAACCAAGTTAGAGACGTGACCGGTGATAGCGTAACTCTTGTACAAACTGTAGGCAACGAAGCTCTCCCTGAGGGCGTTGAACGCGTTAAGAGAATATTCGTTAAAGAGGCTATGTTCAAATCACGTTCTAAGAGCGTATCTACCGTTGGAATGAACCTCTCACGGAAATCACAAAATATTGAAATTTCTCCACGTGAGATCTTTGACACTACACAATTCCTTATTTTCAGAAAGACCGGAGACAAGAAGATCGATGAGGATGAAGATGAGGGTTCCTTCCTCGGCGGACTTAGTTTGGCTGTTGGTGCCATCACCATGGTTGGTGGTAAAACGATGGGCATGAGAGGATTCATTGAAGGTGCCGTTAGAATCAGCAATTTGTGGGGTTCTGATAGGGTACGTCAATGGGCTGCACCTGCAATTAGTGTTTTAGGTAAGTAAACATATCCATCCAACATATTTGACTAATAATCATTTTTTAGTCGTCGGTGCTGCTACTTACTACATTTTCGAATTACCTAGAATGATTCCAAGGACAATTGGTACATCAATCAAAAACTCTTTGGAAGCAGCCCCAGAGCCATCAATAACTGGTGACCATACTACGGATAACTACTCAGAGATTCATCAATTGAGAGTCGAACGTGAAACGCGTAAGGTACTTAGATTGGCATCATGGGATGTCAAGGAGAAATTCAGAGCAACACTCGAAACACATGCCACTGAATGCCAAAGAGCTGAACAGGGAGAAGCTAAAGCGAAGAGAGCTATTGAATGGTTCGAAAACGTATGTAATAAAGTTGAAGGTCTTCGCAAACTTGGAGGATTGTCAATCCCAATGGAGAAGATGTGAATATGACACAACGAATGAACCACTACTCAGAATGTACAATTTTTGTTTTTATATAAATTACGATTATTTTCCCTAACATCATTTTGTCTATCTTGATTCGGAACAATCACGACTGAGAAAATAAAATGCCTCCAAAAGCCCGTCCAAGAGCTCGAGCACGGCAACACGACACTAGTGATAGTCCACAGCCTACGCAGATCTTCGAACGGGCGTCTACATCAAAATCAGTAACACCGACCCATCATATATCAAGTGGTAATACGATCGATAGAGACGACGATGACGATGATTTCTTTATGAGGAATAATGGTGCACTATGGAAGAAAAGTTTTGTTAGATCAACTAAGAGACGTAAGGATTCAACGGATGGAGATAATATCAACAATAGCGTTATAACAATATCTTCTAGTACTGAAGAGAGCGATTCCGATAACTCAATACCAAATTCTAGTTCACCCAGCCGATACACAGAATTAGATGATGGTACAATTCCAGATGAACCACGACGCAGAAATCAAAAGAGGGCCAGAAAGATAAAGCAACATCCTCTACCCGAGTGGACGAATCCAAAGTTACAGAGGAAGATGAAGGAAATTCAGTGAGTTTGGTCTTCTTTGAACTATTTTGAGCTAAATACAATAGGGAAACCGAAGAAAATTCAAATCCAAGATCGTTAGAATCTTCTAATAGGATACACCACGCCAATAAACAACAAAATGATAAGAATGACATAAACTATATTAGTGATAATGATGATGATGAGGAACGTAATTCTCATATACAACTGACACCGCCGCCTTCTACTCTAGCACCTCGAGCTCCATCACAAATCTACAATGAACTATACGAGCACGAGATGCCTGATGAAGATTTCGATGTCGGAGCTACTACAGATCTAAATCCAGCTTTGTTAGCTATACGCGAGAATCTCAAGAGTAGTCAAAGGCAAACTGCTGGAGTTACAAACAGAGGCCCTGAGAATGCACACATAAAGTGCAAGATATTACAATCGGTAACGGATGTAGAAGTACAAGTCGGAAGTTCAGATCACTCGACGTTGACTTTCCCAGCGACACAAAAAACATTCAAATATAGACGTTCAGAAAGTTTCGAAACTATGTTCAAGTATCTTGCCAAACTACTTTGTACGGATCTTGAAGGTGTTGTTATGACGTATGAAGGACATAGAGTGTTTACAGGCGCCACACCTGAATCATTAAATATATACGATGAAGCTGATATGGAAGCCATGACAATTGAAACATACCAGAAGATAATGCAGGAGAAGAAACGGAAACAGCTAGACAACGTCAACAAGGCTCGACTTGAAGAGGAAGAAGTGCGAAAGAATAAACTTGAGCAAGAGAGACTGGCACGTGAGGAAGAGATAGAAAGGGAGAATCAAAATAACAATGTTGATGGTAGTTCCGACGTTGAGTTTGTCGGTGTTACGCAAGAACATAGGAGGGAATTTACTCCGCCAGCTACATCTAACATACCTAATATGTCGTCACCTAATAGAATTAGACTTACACTTCGAGGGGCAAATAGGAATGAAGAATACAAAATCCAAATAAGCAAAGAGAAGAAATGTACAGTATTACTCAATTCTTTCTTAACCTATTTCAAAATAGACCAAGGTCGAAATAATTCGTATAAACTTGACTTTGATGGTGAAAAGTTGGATCTTGATACTGCAATTCAAGACACGGACCTTGAAGATGAAGAGTGAGTTGTCATTAGTTTTAATTTTTCAATTAACAATACCTAGTCTGATAAGTGTTATTAAAAATGCAACCTAATATCTAATTATTCGTTTCGCAAATTGCAATGTTGTAAAACAGCTTAAATTATCTTATTGTAATAGATAAATTGTGTATAAATAAATACAAAACCCCCTAAAGAGACTTTTCTGTGTGATCCTAATCACTATCCATCTGCACAACTTCATCAGATTTTTCTTTACGTGCTTTCTTCTTTGGTGGACCTTCACTATCTTTCGATTTTTTAGACATCTTCTTATCACCATCATCATCTTCTTCCTCATCTGATGAAGCTTCAGAAGGTGATCCTTCATCGGATGAAGAAGCCTCGAAGTCTTCATCTTCTTCAGATTCATCATCTTCATCTCGTTGACCAACGTTTGCTTTGCTTGCACGTTTGTCATCTTCATCCATCTCTGAATCACTTTCTTCTTGAATTTGTATTGGTGCACCAATAAGATCCTCATTGAGGTTGTTCTTTGTTTTGATTTTCTTATTTGTGAAGAACTCCTCAAGTGGCTCGTGCTCTTCACGGTTTATACCACTGAATACGTTCTCTGTACCAGATTTCTGAACAATTCTTAAATCGAATGTGCGACTTGAAGAAATTGCACCGCCAACTCTTGCAAATTGAGCTGATTGAATATCACTGAATGGAATGTAGATTGGTTGCTTTGTTACGAAGAATAATGATTTTTCCATGACGTATAAATCACCTTGGTTAGCTTTAACATTACATTTGATTGCAGGTTGATTTGAGAAGCTAAGTATTTGTTAACAAAGTTACTCTAAATAAGATCAACACTTACCTCTTGAACGTCTTTGGTGTGGTGATATCTTTACCACTCAAACCCCTAAATACTTGTGCAACAACTTGGTATGCAGGTGCGTCATAATGCTTTTGTAATCTATCACCATATTTTTCTTGAATTTCAGATTCTTCCATGTTGATAGTTGCATCCAACTCTTCATTGTTAGGGAATTGCATTGTAATATATGGATATCTAGTTTGACCTTGTCTAATCGGTGGATCTAATCCAACGACTAATAAAACGTGCATATCATCAGTTTTTGGTAAAACGAATAGACGCTTTATTGAAGAGTATAGTATTTTGTAGTCATATGTTTTACCTCTCAACCTAATGAATGTTGGGTACATATCGATTTCGTAACGTCCTCTTGGTGTAACGACCAAAATGTCATTAAAGACAACCAAGCCATCTCCAGAAACTTTACCAATTTCTGCTTTATCTTTGATTTGATCGTGGAATAATTGTGCAACTGATTGTTCCTCTTGATCAGATTTCTGAGATTTGGAATCATCATCATCATTATCACCAATGAAACCGCGAGCTTTTGATGAATTTGGTATATAAAATCTCATTTCAACAAGTTCATCAGCTCTACGTGAAGAGGAAGGACCACTCGTTGGTTCACCTTGAGCAGATGCAGTTGGATCTATAAATTCTAAGGAAACTTCAGTTTTTGATGCGATGTTTGAGTTTGCGATCTTTTGTACTGGAATTTCGAACATAGTTCTACCTGAAACTTGGAAAGATAAATCTGAACCTCTGTATTCTGTTCTACCCCAATTCCAACCTCTAAAAGATATTTCACGTGTTTCTAAAGTAACACCGTAGAATTCTTTAACTGTTTTACTTAATCTTTCATAATCCTGTTTGTTGTGAGATTTGAGTAGGGCTGATATGAGAAGCTTACATCTCTAACTAAACCATCAAATGTTTGTCTTTCTTTTTCACTTTTGAGGCCTATTTTTAACTGGAAGTTTCTTGCTACTCTGTTTATTGTACTAAGTTAAAGTGATAGGATTGAATAAGACAACTAACCTCATCCATTGCATGTAAGATATATCATCTGCAGCGATAGTAACAAGATTATCAGCGGATTTCCAACCTAAACCGCCTTGTTGTAATCTAAGAACTATTCTGAGTGTTAGTAAGATAAATGAGTGAATATACTATCAAACTGACTACCAGGAGTTGGATTGAGTTCGTGAAATATTTTATCAAAGCTGATTAAACGTTTTTTAGATAACTTTACGCGTAAAACACGTGTACTAACTCAACAGACATGGTTGCAGAGAAAGAAAAGAAAAGAAATCTCTATAAATAAGAATAAAGCGTGTACTAAGAAATGACTTATTAAAGTTTTAAATTTAAATTTAATATTATAGTTTTATTATAAAATATGACGATGATATCACTCAATATTTAGTGGAGCAATGTCAGCAATTTTAGAAACAAACCTTCATCATTACCGCAATTGAGAACAAACGTAGACGGTAAGTACTTATTAGACAAATTAGTATATATTACTAATTAAAATATTCAAGAATGTCATCGCCTAGCTTGAAATTGGATGATAAAAGTAAAAATCCAAATGAGCGGTTAGACTCACCACCAAGCAAGAAGGAGAAGACAGAGGTCAATAGTAGTAATAAAGATGCTCCAAACACTACTAAAGAAGATTCGCCGAAGAAATCTGATCCCTCACACGATGACAAAAAGTCCGAGCACAACCAAGACAAGGGGGAAGACACTAAAGAGAACGTAGAAGAAGAAAAGAAAGAAGAAACAAAGCAAGATGACAAAGATGAAAAGCAAGATGATAAGGGTATACCAGCAAAAGAGGCTAAAAAGCCAGATCCTAGCAACCCACAAGGTATAGTTGACATGGAAACTTTTGGTCAAATATTAGAAATGGATGAAGACGAGAATGATAGAGACTTTAGCTCAGGTATTGTATACAATTTCTATGAGCAAGCCTTCGAGACTTTCAAAGAACTCGATACCGCATTGAAGGAGGAAGATATGCATACACTCCACACTAAAGGACACTTCCTCAAGGGTTCTTCCGCTGCTTTAGGTCTCATAAAGCTGAAGCAGAGCTGTGAGAAAATACAAGTTTTTGGTAAATTACAAGATCCGAAGACACAGAAAGAGATCTCAAAAGATGAAGCATTAAAGCAAGTAAATGAAGCATTAACTAGTGCAAAAGATGAATACTCGGAAGCTGAGGGTTGGTTGAAGGCGTTCTACGGTGAGTGAGATCCCTCTCACTTGAACCATCACCAACAATGAAATGTACTTTTAAAATATTAAAACCTTTATTAAATAGCCTTGAATGGAATGAAATTTACTTGAATTTAACTAAGAAATTGCTATTGAACGATTTCTATTATGATGGTAACGCACTGGCTGTTGAATTGCTAGAGATAGATGATAGTAGCTTCAATAAACCTAAATCCCTCATACCGTCAAACATATTAGACACGCCTTTTATGCATTTATTATTCATACAATGCGAAGTGAGTTGGACATATAGAGATGACGAGATATCTCTCTAACTTTACGATTAGGACCCTGATTATTATAAGTCCACTCTAAAAGATCAAATAAAGGAATGGATACAGTTGGTTTCCTCAAAAAAGCACCAAGAATGGCTCATCGTATTGATATCTAATAGCCTATCTACGAAATCTAACAATTTATTCAAGATTAAAAACTCAACTCTCAATAAACTGAAGATGGACTTCAATAATCAGAGATGTATACAAATTAACAGACTCGGCGTTAATGGTATAGAAGATCCAAATTGTTGGGATCCTCTGATAGACAAGTTAAAAGAATTAACCTACATTGGCTTCAATACAAACATACAAATGCGTTTACAAGACGTCGAGAAATCTGAGAACCAAATAAATCTTCCTGGTTGGAACTTCTGCACTTTCTTCATTCTAAAGGAATCAATTGCTTTGTCTTACATAGGAATAAACCTATACAATGAAGCTTTGCAGATATACTCCCAATTAGAGCAGCTTTTCCATCATAGATTAGTTGACAACTCAGTCATATCTCAGTTCGCTGATTTTGGGGGTCTAGGTGATTCAGACGACTCTGGAGATTTACTTTCAACGACCAAGAAACCTTACAGGCAAATGATGCTATCGAATTCCATATCGATCTTCGACTTTAGACTTTACTTGTTTGCTTGTCAAGCCAAAATCCTGGGAGATCTTTTGGGTAATATTGAACAAGTCGCTACACAGTCTCTGGAGTTTATAAATTCATTTGGTCAGACGATTGTTTCTCATTCTAAGGACCTCAAAATGAATTTCCTTCAATATTGGAAATTCACTTCGAGTATGAGTGTCATTCAACAGTGCGATAAATGGTTTACAGAGGAGCAGAAAGTAAATGATATAGCCAGAGCACGAGTATTCTCTCAAGTAAAAGCTCAGCTATATGAGTTGGCGATCAGTCAGGTGCGGCTCAGTTAATTATTAGAATTACAATCTGACACTTTAATAGCTAAAGGAACTGGGTGTCGCTTTTGGTATCATACCCAACAAATATCCATTCATTCGTCATCTTCCTAATACCAAAAGAGACAAACGTATACCCCAAACATCAAACGATCAACTCAAATGGGCGTTAGAGCAACCGAAGGAGTTTGATAAATTGTTCGTTCAGCTTTGTAGTTCGGGTGCAAGATACTACAGAGAAGTAGGCAAGTACAAGGAGGCCTGGTCACTAGACCTTCTTGTCGCCGGTCTGAATATGTAAGTCACTACTAATTCTATGAAGGATGGTGCTCACTGTCTCGAAGGGAACGCAAAAACTTCGAGTCTTCATTACGATTTTTCCAACTTCTCAATGAATCAGAAGCACGTCCTTCTGGATCATCTACAAAAGTATATGCTTTGTTAGGTCAAGTTATTTCACATTCAAATATGAATGTTGAGAAGGACGTTAAATGGGCCACCGCTGCTGTTGATCTCCTCAAGACGTGGTCTAAACTCGACGAGAATGACAGTGAATATACGAAGGATTTGCTTGACCAGACAGGAAACTGGAAAGGTTTTGAATGGCTCCTTCACGAATTGAAGTCATATACTGATACCAAAGGTGAACGTAAGGAAAATATTTCTACAACTCTTATATGCTGACAATACATTTAGCTTTGAGCATCCCCCTTGAGCATATTTTCAAAGTATCGTTTATGAGTGCTCGTCCGAAAGTCCACTTCAAAGATGACGAAGACGGATCTGCTTTAGACGTCTCCGTCGATAATTTTCTCCCATGTGTAAGATCTTTTACGTCTCAACCTAGTAACTTTCTGATATGGGCTCCAGGGTATTACTGCAAATCATGTCAAGTTCACGTTCCAGTCACTCAAAGACGAGCGTGTAATTGATTATTCTAGTGATAACGTCGTATTGAATAAAGGAAATAATTTACTCAATACATTTTGCTTGGTGAGTTGATCAAACTACTTGATATCTTCTAAACGCAATTTAGTCACCTGCTAATGGCACTTTCGTTTTAGCAAAAGTAGTAGTGGCATTTGGTATTGTATTTGAGGAGATTATACCAGAAAGCATGCGCAGGCAGCGCTGCTTCTTAAACATACCGTTCGATGTACGCGCACTGGATGTGCAACTACAAAGGCCAAATGACGGTAGGTTGGATTTTTAAAGAAAAATCCTTGAGTAACATGTCCATTTAAGTCAATATCGATACCAGCGGTCAGGTTAAACTCAAGATCAAGTCTGAGAGGGCAAGCATTGATCATGCGAAGATACGCCTGACATCTCCAGATATTTCCTTCAAGTTTGATAACAGCAAGCTTGTCGATAATGGTGAGTCAGTTTCATCCAATTTGAACGGCAATTAACGTTAATTCTAAAGGTTCTTCTAATATTGACCATGATAAATCGATCACAGTTCATAATTTACATTCGTGCGAATGGCATACAATCGATATTCCCTATGAATCCAGTGACATTTATTCATCTTTGGTTCATATTCATGTCGATTATTCAACGCTTGGGAAAGCGAGACAGTTTGAGAAAATTGTCGAGTATACAATAGAACTCCCACTAAGTTTGGAAGTTAAGCACACTCAAACGAGTGATATGTAAGTTTATTTTACAACAATGTGTGTATTAATTATCTCTGATATAGGATTATCACATCTGCTGACATACAAGCGAACTCAAGATCCAATGTGCGCATAAATGATATCAAGTTGCAGCCTGATAACAGAGCTGAGGAATTTGATGAGTTTGTAAGTATCACAAGTTAGATCCAATGTGGAAATCTTACGTTCGTCCAGGTTTTGGCAGCTTCTGAGAAATCATCGTTCGGTTTCGCGATCTCGAATGAGAATGAGAATGATTTGTCACTCATGGTAAAGTACAGCACAATTGAAAATGGTTGGTGGTCATTCATTATATTTAACTTCTCTAACAAACTCAAAGAAGTTTATGATCTAGTTCATGAGATGGTTCATAGTGCTATAAGTTCCCAAAATTTGTCGCAGCATGTAGAGTGGATAACAGAATATATCGTCGGACATCATTCCTGGGATCATTGCAGCGGTCATGAGTATAGGATGGTAGATGATAAAGTACTTGAAAAGAAAGTGAACGGTCTTGCATTTATGGATGAAGAGAGGTGTACATTGAAAGATGCCATTATTACAACAATTGAGGTACGTTTTTTTAGTTGGCCCTCTGAACATTTGTTTGACTAAGTACCTAGAAATTGCCGTCTCAAGAAGTCGTAACTCAAAGATGGTCTACATGTACACTTCCAATCAAGCTTCCGCGTGCAGATGTGAGTGAAGGCGGCATTTTAGCATAGTACTAACCTCGATACCAGGTGATTACAACAGCATGTATCAGTTTAACGAATAATGAGAAAATGTTGCGGATAGGTGAAGCTACAAGCATAACGATGAAGCTTTCTACGAAGGGGGAAATCGAAGGACCACTTCGCTATGAACTTGAAACACCACTTGATGAATGGCTCGTAAGCGGCAAAGTCAGAGGTGAATATAATGTGAGTCCATGTTATTCAAATTTCCCATCAACTAACGCCTTATTTAAGCATATAGAGGGTCTGGAAATTAAAGTTTCGCTACTTCCAATCAAGATGGGTCTTTTGAATCTACCAGAAGTCATCATATACAAAGATGACAGACGTATATGCACATTCATCGAAAACAAGAGGAAAGTAGAGGTCATACCGAAAATATCTCCTGAGCAGACCTTCACTGTAGACCTCCCACGAAGGGAACTCATAGATTGGGCTCGCGAGCGTGAGAGGAGTGGCAAGTTACTCCAGTCTTCACATGTGCGAGTTGAATCAACGGCACCTTAAATTAGTGTCACGTATTTTGTTTACTGCATGAAAGGAACATCATAGGTGTCTTACTATTGTACATCTGATTGTGGTTATGTATATAATTTTCATTCGAAAATCTTAGCCCTTTATTGAGCAAGATGTCGAGCTGTTAGCCAAATTGTTTCATACACATTGGAGCTTACATTGGCGCTTAGTGTTTGCTGTTTAAGTGATCTTATGGATGATGTGTGAACACAGAGAGGAAACAATCAGCCAATGCTGATATATAATGAGCAAGAATAACTCTCTTTCTTCTACATAATTCAGATATGTTTTTCAACGTCGCTAAAGCCACTGCTGTTCTCGCCTTCACTGCTGCTATCGCTTCTGCAGCTGCCACACCTCACACTGGTGTTCGTTTTACGTTTACTATCATACATTTCAATTTCATGTACAATCAATGACAAAACATTTGAAAAACCTTAGTTTTTCTTACCATCTTTCAAGTATTCGTCTTCGTTGTCGTATTTCTCGTGATCGACATTATCTTTGTCATCTTTCTTGGCATCTTTCTGGTCATCCTTCTTGACACCCTTGTCGTACTTGTCATCCTTCTTATCATCCTTCTTATCATCCTTCTTGACGTCCTTCTTGTCATCTTTGATACCATACTTCTTTACAGCCTCTTCGTATTCCTTAGTGTTTTGCTTTTGAGCTTGAAGATTCTTATAGTAATCCTTGTCATCATAGCCTGCCTTCTTGTCATCTTGCTTGACGTCCTTGCCCTCCTTCTTGTCATCTTCCTTGTCTTTCTTGTTGTCGTCTTTGTCATCATACTTTGACTTCCAGTAGTCAGTGAACTTGGCATATTCACCTGACTTTGTCGAGGATGGCTTTTGGTATACAGTTGACTTCTTGTCATCGTGTTTGCCATCTTTGTCGTCTTCCTTGTCACCTCTTCTGTATTTCTTGTCTTTGTGCTTTGTCTGTAGAATTGAGTGAGAAAAGAACAACGCTGTGACAGATATACCCACGTCAGCACCCTTTTTGTTCTTCTCTGCAGTCTCCTTTGTCAATTTGAGCTGCTTCTCAACTTCCTCTTCATGCTTCTTGAGTTGCTCGGCATATGAATCCTCATGTTTGCCATCTTTGTAGTCTTTCTTCTGACCATCTCCGTAGTACTCCTTAGTTGACTTTCCGTAGTCCTTGTCGTCTCCGCGAGAACAAGTTAGATTGGTTGTGATGTGATGCTATGAATAAATATCCTGCGATAGCTATATCGCGAGTTATCCGGGTAGATGTATCCGGTGTTTCTACTATTTTTTCAACTAGTTTATGTATTCTCGCGATCGATGCTAGTAAGTCTCGATGCTTCCCAATGTTGATAATAAATGTATTGACCAAGAACGACGAGGTCGAGAATGATTGTACCAACTGTACCTGTGAGCCAACTTGAATTTATGAGAATGTAATTAAAATCTGTTGATTCGAAGATTACTTGAAGCACGTAACTTATATTACCGGATAAAGCGAAACAGAATAATGGGATAGATAAACCTTCACATTTAGTTACATTGTTCTTTCTTATCTGTGGGATTCTAGAGGTAGTGTAGAGTAATGCGGATGTCCATCCGATTGCCTGACCTTTCCAATCTGAGTGTTGTTCATGTGGACCGTTGTATGGCTTATTAATATTGATAATGAAGGCTATAAAACCTGTAGCTATAACCAAACCCGTACAAAGGAAATTTACGAATCTCTGTCTCTTATGTTGGTTGTGTAATTCCTCCGGACTGACATCACGTTTAGGGAGGAGATGCACTCTCTCGTCAGTTTCTTGATCTGGTTTGAGACGATAGATGTACATCTGGTATAGTAAAATGACGTCGCAGCTTGTGTAGTACAATGCGAGTAAGAGCATTGGGGGTAATAAATTTATCATAACACCGCCGATTAAGTTGGTTAAATCACCTAATAACATAACTAAAACGAAGAACAAAGATAAACCTTCACCAGATTTCAAACGATAGCTTTAGAATCGCCGGATAAGCTAGAGTATCGGTATATAAAGGATATAACTCACTTTTCATAAATCTGCGGGGTGTATACAACGACCCAACTCATTAAACTTATCCATCCGGACGCTATACTAAAGGTACTTCTACTAACCATGATGACAGTTTAAGACAAGTGGTAATAGAGTCATATAGTCATATCACATCGGCATGTAAGTAAAATCACAAGACAAAATATTTAATTAAAAAAATCTAATCTATCAAACTTTATTTAGATTAAAATTGATGTTGTTTGAGCAATTCAGATATTTTGAGTTCCGTACCTTGATTCTCCTTTTTCCTGTTGAATAAAGGCGAATTTATTGTTTTAAACATTGAAACCGGTCTATTACGTCCGCTTGGAATGTCCTTCTCAAATGTGCTAACGTATTCAGGTGATCCGATTGCTTCTGATTTGTTTTGCAACTTTTCAATAGCTGATGATTCTAACAATTCAATATCAATAACTGCACCATCCAACGGTCTATCTGATGAAGTGTTTACTACTCTTGGAACTCTGCTGACATTTGCTCTGTTCATTACTCTGAATTTAGCTTGTCCTGCATTCAAATCTCGTGATTGTTGACCATATTCACTGGCGAAATCAGTTGCAGATAAGCCTGTTAAATTGGACATATCAGTTGATGCTACTAAACCTGCTAAGGCAATTGGTTTCTTCTCCCTTCTAAACCTGCTGTTGTTTGAGCTATTTGGTAATATTCTACCTGGAATTGAAGGCGACAACTTTGATGATTCTATTGGACTTGGTGTTGAGTATCTAAGACCACCATTGAAGTGTGGATTTGGTGTGAGATGTTTTGAATCCTTTTCAGTCAGAACCTTTGCATGATATTGTTTAAGAAATTGTTGGTGAACATATGGATCATTTTGGGCTGAATTGTAGAGATCAACTGGTGGTGTTTTAACATTATCAGGGTTTTCTCCCTTCAATTCAGCTTGCTTTTTTGCAACATCCAAAGCTTGATTATTGAGGAATTCCTTGAATTCACCTCTCAAGGATTTAACTCTTTGTAAGTAGTTATCAAACTCTTGTTTATCCATAAGTTCAACTTCTGGTCTACCAAATTGGCCCAAAATTGTATCTTCGATTGATGATTTATCAACGTAACTGCTATACTCATTAGCAGATGTACTCTCTTTGTTGTCAAATGGTATTCTCATTTCCTCGATCCTTTGCAAGACCTTTACGTCGCCATCTGCATTGATGTATTCTACGACGCCCAATTCGTTGTCTTGTGATTTCACTCTAACGTTTGGTGGACCCTGTATTGGTCTCTTAAAACCGAAGTCACCTCTCGCTCTGTTAGCTGCTGCTGCACTGTAGACTTGTGATATCGATGGATCGTATGTTGCGTACTTTGAACGCTGCAATATCTTTGCAAATGATGCTTTTCCAGACATTTTCTATTAATTTATAAATAATCGCCTTTTATTTAGTTGTTAAAAACTCACTGCTTGATTTTCGCCTGTGAGAGTGGCAGATCAAGAAGAGAAGATTGACTTAGAACGAGAAAGATAATATAGACGGCATAGTTTATTCATTTATCATTCGTTATTCCTTCTTTACAATATTATCTGATCTTGGTATACTACCTATCACTTTTACAATTTACAATTTACTATCCCTTGGTGTAGCACTATTGTCTATAACTACACCCTCTTTCCTGAATTGTAGAAGCTCGTCATCCGTGTAGCCTTCCTCTCTGAGTACTTCATTTGTGTGTTGACCCAAGTATCTAGACTTTCATTGAGTTTTGTCTCGCTTCTTATATTCTAACTCACGGTGGTGGCTTTGTTATTTTAAGCTTCTCTCCAGAGTATCCGATAGCAGGTGCCGTCAACTTGACATTACCAATACGAGGATGCTTATGCTCATGTTAGTTTCTTTATCGCAGAAAGAACACAACTAACTTCAATTTCTGTGACAACATTCCTTGCCAAAGATTGCGGATGCTCGAATGTCCGTTGTATATTGTTGATTGGCCCGAATGAAAATCTGCGCTTCTTTGTCAAGAAAGTAAAATAAAACAGAAAAACATACCTGCTACCTTTAAACTTCTTCAACCAGTAGTCGATACTTTGTTTACTTAAAATGCAGTTGAGTTGACCAACAAGTTCGTCGCGATAATTAACGCGGCTAGCATTGGTTTTGTATCTCTCGTCAGAATTCCACTCATCCTTTCCGAGGACTTCTGCTAAGGAGACAAACTGTTTATCATTACCTGCACCGATCATAATGTAACCATCTGACGCGGTGAATGTCTGATATGGAACAATAGAAGGATGTGAAGTACCCTGTCTTTCAGCTTCCTTTCCAGATATCAAATAATTGGATGCTATGTTGGCTAAACTTGCAATTTGGCTTTCAAATAAACTGATATCGAGATGTGCGCCTTCACCCGTACGTAATTTGTTAAACAATGCAGCTAAGATCGCACCATGGGCATATAAACCAGTCGTTATATCTGTGATAGCAACACCAACTTTAACGGGATTGCCCTGCTTCTCACCTGTTATATGCATTAATCCAGCTTCCGCTTCAATTAAAACATCATAACCGGGTGCATTGGCGAATGGCCCGGTTTGACCGTACCCAGTGATTGAAGCGTAAATTATGGATGGATTTATAGATTTTATATCTTCATATCCCAAACCAAACTCTGATAACTTTCCAGGTAGATAATTTTCAACAAAGACATCAGCATCTTTTACTAGCTTTTTGATAATGGATTGTCCAGATTTATGTTTTAAATTTAAAGCTAAACTACGTTTGTTTCTATTTGTAGATAAAAAATAGGCTGATTCAGGTGGTAAATGCGGTGCAGCTGGGTTTGGTTTCAACTTGGCTGCAGGTGGTAGCCAAGAGCGTGTATCATCGCCCCTAGTTGGCTCTTCTATCTTTATAACGTTAGCGCCCATATCAGCTAATAGCATAGTAGATAATGGGCCAGCTAAGACTCTAGACAAATCGACTATTTTGATAGATTTCAAAGGCAGCATCGGTGTAATAAAGAAAGAAATGTAAATGTATGAATAAATTCTACATCTATAATAAAACTAGTGTCATTATAGAGAGAGTAACCTAAACAGTTGCTATACCAGACGAATGAGACGCAAAGGGGTGAAAAATATCCCAGCAGAACGCCAATTTTGACTGGATCGCTTCTAATAAGCTGATAACTAATCCAGTACGATAGAAGCTAGTCGGATATCAGCCTGTGGCGAGTTCTTTCAGCCACTCCAAGCGGGTGACTTATGAGCTTAATTTATAATGCATGCATGCACTATTTATTAAGGAAATATAAATCTTTTCACTTCTCACCTCGGATATCGCCGTCTGAGTCATCATCAACGTTCTAAGCCATCTTCGCGCAAATCTGTATCTTCACTCACAACCACCAACTAACAAGAAAAAATCTCTAGAAATTTATTGAATTTTAGTGTTTATTACTTAATTTACGCTAATCTTTAAATTTCTTATTAAATTCCTTATATTTCAGTCTATCAACGTAGATTTGTTATATCGGGTTCAATCCAGTTGTGAACACACAGTTTAAGCTTTTAAACAGTTTAATTTTACGTTAGTTTACTCATTTATACTTATTTCTCACTTATTGACGCGTTATTTAGTCACCAACAACAACACACCTTCATTGGTCGTAGTTTATCGTATATAGGTCAGACAGTTCAATAGCCTATATACTCACACTTAACAATCAGTCAACGCATGGTTCCGCTTGTTAACAGACGCGATGGGTTCACTCAACACCCAGTCGCAAACTATTCACACCCTTACCAAATTCCTTCACAATCATCAAGGCATTCACAAAAGCGTGCTATCGATCCTTTAATGGCACAAGCTATCGCGATGTTACCAAAGCCTCCAACTTACATTCCTTCATTAAAATGTACTTGGAGCAACAAATCATCGCCACTTGATGTTTATCAACAACAACAACAACAATCCATCTTACCACCTGCTGCTCCTCAATTCTACAATCCAGCTTTCTATGTGAGTTTTTTGCTTTAAAAAGTTGAGAAAATTTTGCTAACTAATTCTTAAAGCCAGTACCTGCACCTAACTCACAATGGGCTAGAGCTCCAGGCGCTGAACGTCGCTCAATTGATTTATCTACTTTACCACCACCACCTGTCGACTTGCAAGCTCAAGCTAACGCACAAGCTTTCATTAACCAACAACAAGCTATTGCTACAGCTAACGAGCAAGCTCAAGCGCAAGCTTTGGCACAACAACAACAACAACAATACTTTATGCCAAAACCTGAGCAACACCAACCAAAACAATCCGGCAAGCAACAAAATGCTGTCAACCTATCTGGATTCGCTAGTGAAGCAATCTGGGATTTGTGTTGGTCATCTTCACCTGCATTCGGTAACTTGAATGACAGTCAAGATGAGGATGTCGTTATGCAAACAGGTCAACCTGCGCATTATAGACAACCAAGTTGGTCAGTTTACGCGGGAGGTGAAGACATCTACGGTAGACCAAAGTTAGAACCAACAATTGAGTTTAGACGCTGGACGTATTCAATCTTGACTCAAACTGCTCTCTCAAAGCAGGCTCTCTTTTTAGCATTATTCTATGCTTCAAGATTGCCTATTCATTCAGCACCAAACGTCTTGCAATCAAGTCCAGATAGTGCACCTTACCGTCTCTTAACTATCGCTTTGGCATTGTCAAACAGATGGTTAGATGACAACACCTACACAAACAAAACCTGGTCAGAAGTTACAGGTTTAGGTTTGAAAGACATTGGTGCCTTAGATATGTGGGCATTAGTTGATCAATCACTTGATGTCAACGTATCCACAGATGAATGGACAAAATGGATGTACAGAATCAGAGCCAGAGAGGAGAAGGTTGAACAGGAGAGACGAGTATCTGGACGTCAAGAATCAACAGAGGTTAGTTACAATGAGCCAAGGATGGTAATCTCAGCTGTTGATGAATGCTTGAGAAATCAATTTCAAGCAGATTACAAACATGCGGTTGAATTCTCTTCAGCTGCTGTCGCAGCTAGACATCGTTACTCACCTATCGTTGACGTACCACTTGTTCCAGTTTACGATTGTCAAAATATTGACTTGGATCAAGATGGACCTTTACGTCAAGTTCATCATACTCAACCAAGGCCAAATCAAAATCAGAATTACATGAGTGTAGATGGTTACATCCCAATTACATCACAAAAGAATATGATGTATGAGGATGAAAGTTGGGGACGTATGGGTAACAGAAGAATGTCACAAGTACAACCTTCTCAACATCAATACTTTCAACAACAACCAACATTAGGAGGTGGATTAGGACTTGGTGGCTTTCAATTAGCAGATTATCGTCGCCAAGTAGTCGCTTAAACAACCTTTTTTACTAGTGATAGAATGAACAATCAATTTATTCAGTAATAATACTCCAAGAAAAAATTTGAAAATTAGTTAAAAAATCAACAAAAAAGAACAACTATTTTCAATAATTCAGTCACTTTAAAAATATTCACTTTGTTAAATAGAAATAGCGAGAAATTATCAAAGAAATCAACAGAAAAAAAAGGTGAAAAGCTAGAATAATCAAATAATAAATTTGGTGAATCTTTTATACTTTTATCATTAAGTTGATAATTTCAATTTATCTTTTTCGTTTCCTCGTTAAAGAAAATCTTAATAAATCACAACACACATCAATCTAAACTTGCTACTAGTTAGCAATTTTTTTTAGTTTCATATGAATAACGTACTTTATATGGAAAATATCATGACTGAATGTGCTAGCGTGTGTGTTTGTGTTTTCGGATATAAGTGATAATAAACGTTCAATGGTATTGATTACCGCAAATAAGCGTGCATGTGATAGATTGATAGTGATGTATTTATCAGATTTATCAAACTAGTTAATTAAATCTATACGTTTGTTATCCTTCTCCTTTCTTTGTTTAGTTTCTTGAATATCCGAGTCAAGATGTGATGATATACAAATTTTGGAGAAGACAAACGGAAGTGAAAGGTATAATGAAATGAATATATTAAAATATAATTTTAATTAACTCTTTTAAAGAGTTAAAGTCATAAAATACACGTCATCGGAGTTCCCGCCAGGTATTTTTAAGGTAACGTGCATTTAGAACTTGTTTAATAACAACGAAGAGCAAATAAAATAAAAAATGACTAGAACTTTCTTTGTAGGAGATAAGTATTCAGTTATTTAGCTAGATTTTTTAACTAACTCTTTATTCACGCAACACTAAAATGCAAGTTACACTCAAAAATCTCAATGAAGTCATTGAGACTCTCAACAAGGCAGATTTAGATAAGAACACTGAGAAGGTCTTGGCTGTACCTGCAATCTACCTTTCAGAAGCTAAGAACAGATTGAACCCAGATATCGCTGTCTCTGCACAAAACGTATACGGAAAGAACACTGGTGCTTTCACTGGTGAAATTGCACCAACCCAATTAAAGGACTTTGACGTAAAGTGGACACTCACCGGTCACTCTGAGCGTAGACACATCTTCAAGGAAAATGACGATGACGTCGCTCACAGAACCCAAGGTGCATTGAATGAAGGTGTTAACGTCATCTTCTGTATTGGTGAGAAGCTCGACGAGAGAGAGTCTGGTAAGACTAAGGAAGTCGTCGAACACCAATTGAACAGCCTCAAGAAGGATATTGGCAATGACTGGTCAAAGATCGTTATTGCATATGAACCTGTCTGGGCTATCGGTACTGGTAAGGTTGCAACACCAGAAATTGCACAAGAAGCACACGCTGATATTCGTCAATGGTTGAAGTCAAACCTCGGCCAAGACGCCGCTGACACTATTAGAGTTATCTACGGTGGTTCAGTTTCACATACCAACTGTGGTGATTTGTCCAAGCAACCTGACATTGATGGTTTCCTCGTCGGTGGTGCCTCAATCAAGCCTGAATTCGTTCAAATCATCAACTCTAACCGCAAGTAAAGAATTTCTAACGAATGATTTTAATAATTCACGTTTATATGTAAGAATTGCATGAATCCATTAGTAAATATGAGTAAATGTGTTAATCACTATCATCCACGAATTCCTCTGGGTATTCTTCTTCCTCGCTACCAACTTCTTCATCTGGATAGTCGTTAGTGTAGTAATCTTCTTCTATCGGATTGTCAGCTTGTGATTATGAAGAAAGACAACGCACCATTGCTATCCTCGTCAGCTTCATCTTGTATATCTGTGCTATCGCTCGAATAATCTTGGTCAAAGTTGAGCCCGAATTCGTCATAAAACCCAGTCCTAAAGTTTGTTAAAATAGCTAATAGTTTGAAAGAATAACCAACAATAAACCAATATTTGACATTATCTGTGTGTTATTCCTCAGATCAGCCTTGTCCCTGTAATAAACATCAAAGACATAATCATCGTCTTTGTCTGTCTCCGGAGTTGGACTTTCTGGTGTGACAGTTTCCTGCACTTAAGTTAATGCGTTAGTTTGAGGAGGTTCGAATAGTAATGATTACACACTTTTTAAGTAATCCTCCACAAGTTTCCTAAATTCGCGCATTTGTTCACTATCTTCATCATATGGATCGAATGACGCATCCTTTTTATCTGAACGGTTAACACTCTCATTCTTTGATTGTTCAACATCGATGAAGACATCTTTCTTATCATCATCCTCCGTAACGACATGATATCGTCTAGACGTCGTCGGTTTCGGTCTAATTTGACGTCCAAGCGACTGTTTATGCCGCCGTTCCGCATCTTCTTCCAAGTCATCTTCTGCTTTCCTCTTCAGTCTCGCTTGAAGTTCTTCTTTCGTTTCTGTGGACGTGAAAGTTGATTGTTCTACGGTTTCAGCTAATCTGAATAAACCTGTGTAGTATGTCAGTGGTTTGTATATATAGGCATACATTGATACTGAGCATACCTTGTCTCTGTCTCTTTTTACGCGGTTGTGGCTTCTTGCCTTCCGATTCATTCTCTTCTATTACTTCAAGTGGTTGGTAAGCTATTTATCGCTGTACTCTAGCAGATAACTCACATAAAGCATCCAATGGCTCTTGGTTGCGCTTTCTTTTTATACGCAAGTAGCTCATCGTCAATAATGAAGCGATAGATAAGCGAAGATCAATTATAAATGTAAAAATGTACTGAGTTGTACTAAAAGTACTACAGTTCAAATCATTTTATTCTATTTCATCTGAATCTAGGCGCATTTACTCAGATTCTGTCTTCTCTTTGACTTCTTCCTTCTTTTCCTCTACTTTTTCTTTTGCTTCCTCTGCGCCTTCCTTGACGTTCTCTTTGGCTGTTTCTGCGCCCTCCTTGACGTTCTCCTTTACGTCTTCAGACTTGTCTTCTGCCTTTTGAGCGACTTCTGAGGTTTTCTCCTCTGCCTTTTCAGCTGCACCTTCTGAGGTCTCCTTTACGCTTTCCTTAGCATCGTCTACCTTCTCTTCTGCCTTTTCTGTGACTTCCTCCTTCTTTTCTGAGGCTTTTTCGGATGCGTCATCGACCTTCTCTTCGGCAGCTTCCTTTACGTCCTCTGCCTTTTCTTCAGTAGCCTCCTTAGCTTCACTGGATTCCTCCTTGACTTCTTCCTTGGTTTCTTCTGCCTAATTTCTATAAGTTGATAGAAAGATCATAGAAGGGCACTACTAACCTTCTCAGAGGCGTGTTCAACAGCGTGACCATGTCCGTGCTCTTCACTTCCTGGTGAGGTCAAGTAGATTGCACCACCAATGGTAACCAATGCTGATGCTGCCATCCAAACTTTATCACTTTCCTTGTTGAATACAGGTAAAGGCTTTTGTACGCGTCCAGAAGATGCAGATGCGTATCTTCTAACTGATCTGCTGATTTGTGTACCAATTCTTACTCTAGAGAACATGATTGCAAGTTTAAAAGAATAACGGCGTAATTCGCTATAAATATTAATTTACAATAACTTCGTCCAATCAAATTCTAAATAAAATTTCTTGAATTTTTCAACCATTTTCTCCTTATCTTGCTTATGTAGCTTCTTTGGACGACGCCATAGACGTGGTTCTAATTCTAACACATTACCAATTACTTCTGCAGCGAAATATCTAAAATATCATTAACTAAAAACTATTCAAATATGAAATACCAACTTACTTTGGAAATGATTGTGAATTATCCATGTATTTAGCTTCGGAATCATCCTCCTCATTTGCCTTATCAACACCTTCAATTACATGACCAAATCCTGCATTCCCTTTGTAGTTCCAAAGGATAGCAAAGTATGGTAAATTTGGCACCAAAGCTCTTCTAAATTCCCTCTCTGAGAAATCAATTAGCTTCTTATGTTGTGTCCATTCAGATTCAATGCTTAATATACTTTCATGGAAGTATCCCGGTAAGACTTCAAATATATCAACTGGTACTGGTACTGCTTCAATAACTGTGTGTAGTTGCGCCTTGACGCTCATTACAGTTTCGTAGAAAACCACACCACGGTTCTGACTAGCGAAAGCTTGCATTAAGCACTTCATGTAGTTCTGTTTTCTATTAGGTCTGGAAACGTAACTCTCAAATGACACCCACTCTGATTTCTTCCCAAACATCGTCATCAGCTTCGAGCGTACTGAGGCAGTGTTGTATTGGAACAATTATGCAATGACCATTTACTAATTGCTCAGTCTCAGGCAATGCAAGATAAACTCTCGTGCCGCTTGAGATGATAGTACCGCAACGTGGAGGAAGATCACCATCATCACCAAAGCAAAATCTACAACTATCCAAAACTCTCTTCGTCCTCTTAAAATCTCCGATAGCAAATTGACGCTTTTGGCTATCAGATTTCATCTTCTTTCTCGCATACTTTGCTGCATTGTCGTCAACCTGATCCGTATCGCCATGTTCGTATAAATGATCAGTAGTTATTGCGTTTGCGAATTCTGCATCATAGTTCTTCTGATCTGCTGATCCACCGGCGAATCTCTCCTGTCTTACTAATTCTGCCAATGATTGATCATCGTCATCTATATTATATCTCGTAATTTCACCCGTACGTTCATCTATTGATTCTTGATTCTTGATCTTCTTTCTTTTATTTCCTGTTGGGAGAGATTCATCTTTCCTACCCTGACCAACATCGTATAATCTACCATGTCCATCTAAAGTGGGTAACACTTCAATCTTAGTCTTTTGTCGATCTTCTACTGGTTCTAAACCAGTTTTATCACGTAAATCAACATTCATTAATCCATGTCCAACATCACCCCCAGTTTGGATGAATTGTTTTGATTTTTCCATTTCAATCTCATATTCTTTTTCTAAATCTTTAAGATTTGGTTTATTCATTAGACGAGCTTTCATTATTTGTGCTTGTAATTTATTAAGTGAATCAGGTGATTTCGGTCTACCAACTGATGGTTTTGATGATGTTGGTGTAAATACTTTTGGTACTGTTGGCGTAGATGGTTTAGATTCGCCTTTCAAATCGTTAATCCTATCAGCTTGTTTGGGTGGCTGAGTGGAACGTGTAGGAGTGCGTGTATCTGAAGGACGTTTAAATGACGCTCTTGATGATGGTCGACTACTTCCATAATCACTAGTCGCTGGTGAGGTATACATATTCCTAGGGGAGTTGTTTGGTCTTGGTGAACCTCTATATGAGCTGCCACCACTTTCACGTCTATTGAAACGCTTAGAATCTCTCTCATCTAATATCCTTCGCTCCTCTTGAGCATCTCTCCAGGCATCAATTGATCCAAAGCGGTCTACACCGAGTTCATCGACGTGTTTGCCCTCCTCCTCTGCGTGTTCGTAACATCTCTTCAATTTCATCATTCTCCAGCTACTACCGGCGTCACCAGCTCTTGCTGTCTTTTTTGTCTCATCTTTGTAGCTATCAACATGTACGCCTTGTTTGAACTGTTGGTTAATTTCTTTGCTACTAACTTGTAACTAGATTTATTGTTAGGAGGTATTTTGATAAGGTGAGAAAACACCCACTTTGTTTGGATCTGGTTTGTTATCTTCCTTCTTTGGCTTGGCTGTACCCATTTTAGAGCTGAAGAAGTCTTCATTGATTAAGCTGCCTGCTACACCTGGGGGTGCACCTTCTGTAACTTCATCTGTGTAATCTGATGGATAAGGTAACGAAGTTGGATCAATTCTAGATGGTAATTCTGCATTATTTGTGCTATTTACGTTACTCTTCAAATTTAAATCAGATTTTGTAGGAATGTTAGTAACAGATGGCTAGTATGATATTAGTATGATATATACAATATAATATACACTCACGTTCGTTCCACTGAGGTTATCATCGAAATATTCCTGTCTGGGTGGATCGTCGTCGTGTATCTCCATACTATCTTTCAGAGATGATGATGTTTGTTATTCAAGTGATATATTTCAGATTATTTTAGAGAATATCTATAACTATTAGCTGATATTAAGTATCTCTTCATTTAAATACGATCATCATGTTTACGAGGAGATTATTACTGGGATTATCTACAAGAGCAACTAGAGCATCTATACCAAATAAAAGCATTTACAAACCAACAGATTTGAGATCATACGCTCAACAGACATCAACGTAACAAATTACTTTGATAGCGTAGAAGATGAACTGACTTTTGCACAGAAGCAGCAACGCCGTCGATAATATGGACATGCACACCTTCCACAAACTCAGCGATAAAGTTTTCGATTCTCTCACAGAAGCACTCGAGTCTGAGCTCGAAGAGGGTGCTTTCGATGTAGCAGAGACATCAGAAGTTGATTACAGCGTGAGTGATTCGTTACTGATTAACAATAGTCTCACTATCACACGACAGTCAGGCGTCCTAACCTTATCGCTTGATAAGTACGGTACATACGTAATCAACAAACAACCACCAACAAGACAGATATGGGTGTCTTCTCCATTCAGGTGGGTGTATACTCCCTATTAATTTCATCTAATAACCCACTCAGTGGCCCACGTAGATACGAGTATGACATTAAACTAAACACCTGGTTAGACGTAAGGGATGGTTCCTCATTAAATCAAATGCTAGACGAGGAACTATCACCAATATTCAACAAGCAACTGGAAGTAGGTCTTGGTTGGATGGAATGATTTGTACATTTGAGTTATATATAATACAAGAAATCTATTTATGCCATGCTAGTCATTAACTCGATGTCTCTTTAAACAGGATATGCTTCGTCAATATCAATCGATTCCTCAGATCCGTCTGAGCTAATCTCATCCTCATTATTAGTAATGACGATCGGTCCATCACTGTCGTCATCGTCAGTTTCATCTTCATGCCCATCACCAAAGCTGTTGTCTCTCGCAAATCTCATCATCACATCAGCGACGTCATCTTCATCTATATCATCGTGTTCATCGACCTCTTCATCCTCCTCATCATTGCTATCTGGCTCATTCCAAATGTCGACTTCCTGATCTCTTCTAAGTAAACTATCGAAAAAGTTTAAAGTGAGTGGGTCTTCTTCTACAGTACCCTCCTCATTCTCGTATGGTGACGTAAGTAAAGCCATCAAGAAATCTCTTCTTGAGCTCCGCGTTTCGTTGCCCATTTTTCTGCTCTTTGGAGTTTCTTTCGCTTCTAGATTGTTTGTGAACGGCGTAGGTGTGTGCATTTTTATTATCTTCTCTACACCTGATGTTGCTACCAATGGTAATGTAGGATGGATCATTGCTGAATTCACTATACTTGCATGACCTTCTAGTCTAAAGGCTGGTCGGTTGACTATAGTCGGTATACATACATCTTCGTCTTTCGATTTAGAGAATACTAGATACGTTGTTAAATAATATGATTAGCAAGAATCGATGATCCACTCACCCGAACGATACTGACCAAAAGAACCATTCTCGAAGCCTTCAAGTAAGCTTTCGTTAGAAACCTCTCTGCGTCCTTCCAATAATCTGGATATTGGAGGTATCTTCCAAACGTAGCCTCTGAAATCATCTGAGCCGGTAGCAAAGTAGTCACCCTCAAATGAACAGTGCTTGGGTGATTCTATTAGTTGTTATCATAGAAAAGGATAATCACCTACCTTGGTTGTGCACGACGTGCTATAAGTACGTTCACCTGGTGATACTCTTGCACCATAGGGCAAGTAATCTCCTGTCAATACAGCAAGAGGATCGGATTTGTTAAGTGAGTAAATAGTTGGAAAGGAGTGCTGGTAAATAACGCCAAATAGATCACCTGTGTTATTGAATGAAATAGAAGAAGAGTCCAGCTTTACTCGTTTAGACGCATGTGTGTTTGTTAATTGGGCGTTATACTTTTTTGCTATTTCAGAAATATGAACAAGATATATAAGAGGACATACCTGCATCACTGACATGTCATCCACGAATGGATCAACAGATTCGGAGAACGATCCACTAGTGATGTTGTATCCCGTAAACCCTTTCCTGATGTCATTCAAGTAGACACCGCCGCGACTATCGCAACATCCGAACAAATGTTCAGAGACAGGATGCCATTTGACATCCCTCCATTCAGCTGTGGTGTGAAAATGACCAACATTGTCGTAATTGCTAACGCGTTCGTCTGTGATATGCAGTTCATCGTCTGACGACGCGCTTAGGATCAAAGAGGAGTGTATCGGATGTGCTGATATTTGCGATATTGACGAAGCATGACTCGTTTGTCTAACGTCTGGGGGTGAAGTTGGTAGATCTTCTAGCTTGTCTTTATATACAGGACTTTTCATCCCGAAAACATCCTTCGTTTGACTTTGTAGATCGTACTTGTAGATAACTGCATCGTTACTTCCACTTTAGGTACCAATGAGGACATGACTATGTTAAGTTTATACACATACCAGTAAAGCGTGTCATCCTGGCAATTGAACTCCAAAGTGAAGATATTTTTCTGTTTTAGATGTCAGTCTCGTCCTTTGAAAGAGAAAGACTAACGGTAGGTCCACTAAATGCATGTATTGGTGTAGCACCGTCAAAATCCCGGAAAAGATCCCAAAGATAGACCGTAGTGCAATCTCCGCCTGACGCCATAATTCTGAGATTAGGATGTGAGAAGGGGTATCTAGTGGAAGCTGAAGATATACCTAGTAAATTGTTAGAGTATGATAATAAAGAATAAGGACTTCACCTGTTACCGTTTGTCTTTGAGAACGTCACTGCGTTGACACAGCCAGTATGTGCTTTAAACGAGCTTATAAGGTAAATGAGTGCTTCCTTATAGAAATAGACAGACTCACTTTGAATATGGCAGTCCATTCTTATAGAAATCTGAATTTCTATATGGCAATCTCATCGCTGTTTCTCTACAACTATCTTATCTTCATTCTTCCACCATCAAAATGTCAGACCAATGTCCAGTTTTCGCACACTTTCTGGGTTTCGTATGTCCTCTAGTTTGCTATAGGATATCAGTATCTAATCATACGCTCAGGGTGGTGTAGCATCAGCTATGATCTTATCGAGTGCGTATACTCTCAATTAGATACCAACAATTGACAATTTTAGCAATCGGTGCTGCATACGGCACAGCTAAATCAGGCGTCGGTATCTCTGGTTTGGCTACATTTAAACCTGAATTAGTTATGAAAGTGAGTATCTGCGTATGGACAATTAATCAGCTAACTCCTTAGTCTCTTATACCAATTATTATGAGTGGTATCCTAGCCGTGTGAGTATATTGTCATTATTATCACCCAACTCATTCCTTTATCAAGATACGGTCTGGTTGTATCAGTATGTCAACAATTCGAGGAAGCCACACTTTCTGATAACTTATAAGGTTCTTATTGCCGGTAGTCTCAGTCCGAGCGAACCATACTCGCTCTTCGCTGGTTGTACACACCTTGCGGCTGGATTAGCATGTGGTGGTTCAGGTTTGGCCGCTGGTTTGGCGATTGGAAAGGCTGGTGATGCCTTCGTTAGAGCATATGTCTATCAAAGCAGAGTGTATGTTGAATCAAACGGAGTAGACCTGCCTTACAAAATACAGATTCGTTGGAATGCTTCTCACCTTGATTTTTGCAGAAGTAGGGGTGGTTTATACATCAGTAACAAAATTCTAACGACATTACAGGTATTGGGATTATATGGATTGATTGTAGCCCTGATATTGAACACGAGGATAAGGTGAGTTTGGTAGTAGATATTAGCAGTACACACTGACACCGTATAGTGGGGATGAATGTAGTGCATAATGATACGATACATAATACGTTTTCTTAATAGATGAGATGTTTACCAATATTGCAAATGTGCAAAAGAGAACGTGAGAAGCATTAAGAGGGCGCAATAACTAATACACGCCATTGTTCCGCTCACTGTGAGAATTGCAATATCGTAATATGCGCGAAAACAGACTGTCTATCAACTACAGTACATCCTATATTCTGCGGACCATAAGTATTTGCAAGACGCTTCCTGAGCTAACTAGAGGTTGACGGCGTCCTCATTGAACTTACGCGTATCTAGTAAAGTCAGTGATATGTCTCAAAATATGAATTCTTTACGCACTAGTGCAAGATTGAAGGAGTTAGAAGGTACTTCAGTAAAGATGTTATATGCCATTTATTGTCGAAAAGTATTCATCTGAATTTAGCTGTCTTGATGATAAGATAATATTTTATCGATTTTCTCTGGTGATGATTTGTGGTCAAGTTCTTTCCTCAATCTCTTCTGTCGCCCAAAATGATGTGCTAACGCGATGGCCCCGTAGCATGATGATTGTAAAAGCTGTGGAGGTTTCTGGACGTATACAACGGCAATGTTACTCTCGCAATCTCTTGACTCTTCTGTTTTGTTATTCTTGAAACAACCAAAAATGCTAGGCAACTGATGGTTTCACTATTTGGGGGCAGCCAGGTATAATAGAATGTTGTTTTGAGCCTTGTAACAGTATTAATCGCCAAAAAAGGGTCACCACTGAATACAACCATCTGCTGTTGCAGTACTACAATATAAAGACACGCACCATTGTCACCAAAGTAGTGTTTTGATGACTACTTCATGTATGTATTTTATAATAAACGCTAATTGCCATCAATATGGTAATCTTTACATCCCAAAAGCTTGATAGTGGTATTGCACGAATCTAATTATGCATCGTTAACTTCAAATTCATACCAATATTCCAATCAACTGAGAATTAAACAAGTGTATAGTAGACAATTAGAGAAGCTAAGAGTGTAAGAATAGTTTTGGTCCCAGTTGTCATCGTTTCTTTCTTCTGCTCGTTCTATTATCCCTAGGATGAAAACCTACTACATATATGAGCTTGTATGAAGCTGTTAAGGAAATCGTATATTTTTATCACAGAAAGCAACTCTAGTTACGATTTATCCATTATTATTGATTTATGTATTGGGGATACGGGCAGTCACGTCATTGTTGTGTTGTCTAACACATTGATATGAATTAAGTAGAAAGAGATAACCATATGTATTTGATAGCATATAGTTTCAAATTTGTCTGTAATTCGTCCTATATCTTCTCTTCTACCTTTAAGACCTAGATACTCCTTGCTTAGCTTAAACAACGCACAACTCCAGAATGTGCCGATGAGGATGAGGTACTATGGAGAGGATACAATCACTGCAAATAGATAACATACGTATAAGATGAATTTTCAACAGAGAGTCTTCTATGTATCGCAACTACTACTAATATACACATTTTCAAGTATAACTAAGAATAAATCCGTACCACTCACGCGAAATAGGTATTTATTGTCAATGTAACACATTCAGATCTACATGATGTGATATAAAGATATACTTTGAAGGAGTATTGGCATAAATTTCGTTACTTCTGTAAACGTTTACGTGCGTTACTGCTCATTAAATGATAACTAACGCTTTACTTATACTTTACTTACTCGCATAAAAAAGTGTTGGTTCTGTTAAATCCCCCCAAAAAAATCATATGGAAAAAATATAATGGGCTCGACAGGGATTTGAACCCTGGACCTCTCGCAAGCTGGTAACCCAAAGCGAGAATCATACCCCTAGACCATCGAGCCGCGATTCTAGTTCTTGTATGCCTACAGATAAGTATGCAAATTCCAATCAATGCGGAAAATTTTCATCGTAAAAATTTTCGAAATATATAAAAGTAATTGATTTACTCAAATAACAGGATACGTGGTCAAGATGGCAGTACCTTGGACAGTAATATTTATACGTAGAAGACACATGCTCACTAGAACCATGTTAGGTAGCAGCAATAGAGGACTAAGAAACAGAAGAAACAAAATGATGGTTCTCAGTATGCTGCTAAGTATATGAAGTGGTAAAAGTGGATTTATCGAAACCACAACCTGCCATTATCGAATCTTCGTCAAGGGGATCTCCTCCGAACGTCGCGGAGCATGAGCCTCATCGAAGGGCTACTTTGAGGCAGGAAGCTGCTGGGCAGATGTCTCCGCTGTCTCAGTAGTAGGGATGAGGCTGGAGGTGCCTTCCTTTGCCTTGAGGTGGTCATAGCGAGAATGACATGTGTTGACACTAACGTCCGTGGCGCTAGGGCGAGTGGATAAGCTGCATCTTGTGTATGTTGTTAGGATCCAGATACTGGGGCTGAGCATAGACTCAACTAATGATGAGGTACAGTCAATCGATCGAAAAATACATGGAAAGAATGGAAGTAACAAAGGATAATGAAACATTGTAAAGTATATAAAGAAATATTATATACTAAGAACAATAATCTATAGAGTCTATTCACCTCTAAGGAACCAACTTATGTAAGTGACAAATCTTAATCTTAAAAAGACCATCTGTAACAGGTATTTTGAAAAGTGGATGAAGTTTGGCATTGAGGAGAAGGCCGAAATTCAAATTAGGAGCAAATAAAACAGAGAGCTTATTACGACTAAAACTACTGACAGAAATGAGAGTGTTAAGAGAGTCTTTCACGAAGTACGCGTCGTTGAGTTCCATTGTTTTAATAGATTTGCCTACTGCATATTGGAACCTTACCTTACCGATACCAGTAGCCTGGATTATTGAGCCATTGATACCCCGAATGCTTTTGGGAGGAATGGTGATGAAATCCACAAATAGGTCGCGACGGCCAGTGATGTGTAAAGAGACACCTGTAGAGAAGATTGCAGACTCGGGATCATGAGACGTACCAGTAGTATGATTAAGAGCTTCAGGGATTTCTGGAGAGTTAGTATCAGGATCGAGAAGATCTTGAAGAGCTCGACTAGAGCGACAGGCATCGGAGGAGTGGTTGACCTTTTTCACACCGCGAAGGAGACAGAAGTTGCATTTGGCAGAAGATTGGAAGTCAGAGGAAGAAGTAGAGGACTGAGAATTGCGAGCATCTTTGTGATAAGTGTTGTAAAGCCTGATAAGTTCGTCCATTAAATTTTGTGGTGAGTTCGTCTCACTGCATAGATGCTGAGCAATTTCGACCGAGTCGGACATTTCTTTGGGCATCGCGAGAAGAACAGTACATCTCAATATGTCAACTGGCATGAGACGGTAGGGTTCGGGGTCACGAATCTTCGCCCATATTCCTTTCATCTCAGCAAAAAATTTGGTGAGGTCGGTGCCATATGTGAATTTCATGCCCATGAGATAGCGTAAATTGTGGTTCACGGCGACATGGTCAATGTTTTCGTATTTAAAGGTGGTATGGTTGGAAATTTCATGTGGTTTGTGTATGTGAAAATCTTCAGCCTGTAAGTCTTTTGGAATGGATTCATGGGAGTGAGAAATGAGTGAGTCATCCTCCTGGTATCTGGATGCGATATATTTGAAGATTTCATGTGGTTTGTTTAAGTGAAGAATGTCGACTTGTAAATCTTCCGGAATTGAATCACGAAGGTGTTCAGAAAGTATAAGGAAACGACGATAGTATTCAGATAGTTGCTTGTCGCTGAGATTGGATTTCAATCGACGTTCCATGAGCTCTTTCTCAGGTTCGGTAACGCAAGATTTAGGAAGGACTGAGAACTCGAAATAGTTTATCTCCTCTTCATTAGGAAGATTCCTTACGTCAGTATAATTTGGGTTATCCCATTCTTCGAGGGAGGCAGGGTTGCTCTCATCGACATCTCCGTCAAGGATGCTGCGGTATTTGTAGGTATGAGCGAAGTAAAAAAGTTGCTTTTCCCATATGCGATAGTTTTTATAGTCCAAAACGATCATATTGAGTTAGTCGACTAACTGATAAACCAGTGCGGACTAACGTGTTTAGAGCTAATAACTTGTGAACCAGAAATACCTAATGTCTTAGACCGGGAAGACAAATTAGGCGGTACAGAGATATTTATATGTAGATATTAAAAATTGGCTGTTGTTTTACGCGTAATATATTATGAGACGTATTGGTCACTGTAGTAGATCAAATTTGAGAAGCGTAAGAGGGTAAGAGGTGAGAGGTGAAGGAAAATATTGGGAGGGAAAGATATTGTCTATGAGGTAAAATATTCGAAATTGACTTACAGACTACATTTAGCTGCGTCGGACTGTGTTGCCATTTTATTCAATGCCACTAAGATTTGCTCTGATTAACATTGGTTTATGTAGGCCTATCAACATTTATGCAATTTTACATCAAGCATAAAAATTTTCGTTACGAAAAAGCTAGGGACCACAGCTGACTTCACATTGAAAGGTGCTTCCTCGGACCAGAGGCGTAGATACTGAATGCTATGAGACCTATTTGAGAGCAGTAATCTCAAACCTTTAGACTTCAGGACCGACACCTCGAAAGTGTCGGCAGGAGTCCAACAACTGTGAAAGGGCCAGGATTATCAGCAGACTGCCATGATGACAAGGTGTCTTGCATTTAACTACAGACGGTCCTCTTCAAACTAATTAATTTATACAAAGGTTGGCTTTGGCGTATGATAAGATTTTTACATGTATTGTTTGTTTGGGGGTGAGAATAATGGTAGAATGGCACTAAAGAGGAATTCAACCAAGGCTGACGTTCAGTTTGTATTAGGACCAGTGCTCAGCAGCATTCAAGTTCTACAAGCCCTTTGTGAGCTTTAAAAACCACAACTGATCATACACGCAAGATATTCCTCTAGTTCGGCCTAACCGAGAAGAATTAAGGAAACGAAATCTCCGAAACATATTATGACATTTGTTAACTAACGCCTGCATCGAATTCAACATCCCATACAGAGTTGTATAATATAAGGGGTATTGGTAAACGTAGCCAAACTTTGTATCGTCTAAACAATATATACCTCTATTTCGTTATCGTCAGACGAGACTTTCAGTCAGGTAACTGTTGTCGGAATACAAATACAGACATTGAACATACGGAATCAATCATTTCGTAGGTGCTAATGTGGCACAGCAATCGTAAAAATACCTTTCATACTTTTAATTAATTTTCAGTACACATTTAGGTGATTAATTGTGGGGAGCTGAACAAGACTTTTGGATACACAAATACACATAACGAAATGCAAGAAACTGTATCACATTTATTATTCTGTTTAAGCGCCGTTTTTATCGCTTTACAGATTCTAGTCTGCGCCTATTTGGGAAGTGTAGATCAAATTGCAAATTGATCTTTCTGCATGTTGCTTACTCTGATGTTTTATTTATTATTTCTCTAGTTATCGAACAACTGACAAGAACAACAGAAATAGTGACAACGACGAATTTTTGACAACAGAGAACAAGAGCATCGTAATAATATATCATATCTACCTACTTGATAACACTAGATCAATGAAAAGTAGAGAACCCATTAACATATATGAAATAACGGGGTCGTAGCGTCATGTATAAGGTCAAATCTGTTGTGTAGAAAATCCCACATTATCGAGTCAATAACGAGAGTAAAGAGGCTCATGTTCATCAAATCCGAAAATTATTTTACTTAGCTTCAGCTTTTAGTTTGTTTGGTTAGGTTAGCAGTGGAAGTCGTATCAAATGTAACTACCATGGGATGCTATGATGATTGTAATTATACCAAATGAGTAAGCTATTTTGTAAAGTATTAATACGTGCTTACATGTTTACAAGGGATAATTTTTACTCAGATAATCAAGTATTAACATTTTCAACAAACAATACATTGTTCTATATGTATATTGTCGGAGTGTATCTGACATAAAATGACTTTTAAAGTGATCCTCATAGTCTATTATATGTTGATATTTATAAAACATTCTCACACTTCAGCGTAGACATCGAAGTCGTCATCGGTACAATCTAAACTGCTATGTAGACTACACATAAAGTCGATCGATAAACTAACCTAAACATATAGACATGAAAATGAAAGCTGTTAAATCATATATGTAAAAGAAATTTGTAAAGTCTACCATCGACTCATTTTTTTCTCCATAATCATCAATATGTTATCTGTCCTTAATCTAAGGACTTACAATGATTTTATAGAATAGAAAAATATGGGTGTACAAAATAGTTGCTGCTCACAAGCAGCAAAAGATGTGACAGGAGTGGGATTCGAACCCACGCCCTTTCGGACTAGATCCTTAGTCTAGCGCCTTAGACCGCTCGGCCATCCTGCCTATATCAATGCACAATTATGTAAGGAAGTGTAGGCCTAACATCAAGCTTCGGTCCGAAAATTCCGATGATAATAATGGAGAAGAGGGATGGACGATCATCATCGAAAATCGGCAGATTTGCCGGAGGGGCATAAAAACCCTCCCAATGAATCCGCAAGCGCCGAATTCACAGGTGAGCACCTTTTTAAACGATATATCGTTCGATTTCGGTGCTGCTGACGCGCGAGGAAATCTCGACGCGTCGCAACACGGGAGGAGACAGAGTCAAAGACTCAATACTAATTTAAATAAGAGGCGCAGAACCGATAATGAAAGTTACGGAACGCGTAGTTTTGATATATTCCCGCTCATTGAGCAAATCAACAAATCGGTGACCCAAATTGTTGAAAAGAGGGAACAAGGGAATGATAATACCCTCAAAGAGATGGCTAACTCTCTTAAAGAGATAACCAACTCTCTCACCGTGATGGATAAATCCCACCGCGAGAGAGTCGACAGACTTGAGCAGGAATTGAGGGAAATAAAGGAGCAAAGGGCAACCCCCAGCCACTTACCAGCAGTACCCTCATACGACCAAAAGGCAGCGCAAGGACCCCAAATGGTACCGTCGAAGAAAGCGATTACGCTCACACTCCACCAAACCGACCCTACCAAACCTGTCCTAAGCGAAAATGAA